GTATATGCATATGTGCATAGCCCATGGACACAGCCAATAGTGTGGTGAAAGCCTGGGAGGGGAGGGTATGGGGAGGAGGGGGTCAATGGGACCAAAAAGAACCACAAAGGGGACATTTGTAATATTTTCAACAGTAAAAATTAAAATTAAAAAAGTACACATTTCCCATTCAAAAGGTAAAAGAAGAGCTTCACAGACAAGAACAAGCTAAAGGAGTTCATCAAGACCAAACCAGCATTACATGAAATGTTGAAGGGTTGTCTTCTTTTTTTATTTAATCTTTGTTGAAAGTATTACATATATCCCCTCTTTTCCCCAATTGACCCCTTCCAGCCTGCCCCACCCCCCCACCCCAGGCCTTCACCACCTTGAAGGGTATTCTTTAAGAAGAAGAAGAAGGGGGGGGGGATCAAAATATGAACAATAAAATGGCAATAAATACATATCTATCACCAATTGAATCTAAAAATCAAAATAAACAAGCAAGGAATCTAATGAACAAAATAAACTGATGAGTAAAATAGAACCAGCGGCATGGAAACATGGTACAGATTGATGAATCTCAGAGGGAAGGGGGGTGGTGGAGGGGTGGCAGGAAGAGATTAACCAAAGAATTTATATACATACTAGAGTCCCAGTGCACAGATTTGCACACCAGTGGGGTCCCTCAGTGTGGCCTGCGGGGATCAGGCTGAAACTGGCAGTCCAGTGCCACCTGCCATTTCTGCCTGCTGCTCCCACTCATCCCGGCCCCACTGCACCTGTTGCAGGCTCACACCCAGTTAGTTCCGATCGGGAGAGGCTCACACTGCCACAGTGGTGCTCGCCAGTCATGAACCCTGCCCCTGGTGCCCGTTGGTCAGCTGAACAGCACTCCCTCTGTGGGAGCGCACTGATCACCGGGGGCAGCTCATGTGATGAGTGTCTGCCCCCTGGTGGTCAGCGCGCGTCATAGCAACCGGTCAACCGGTTGTTCGGTCACTTAGGCTTTTATATATATAGATTGTAGCCCGGTGCACGAAATTCGTGCACATTAAAAGGGAATTAATTGCCCTAACCGGTTTGGCTCAGTGGATAGAGCATCGGCCTGCGGACTCAAGGGTCCCAGGTTTGATTCCGGTCAAGGGCATGTACCTTGGTTGCGGGCACATCCCCAATGGGGAGTGTGCAGGAGGCAGCTGATCGATGTTTCTCTCTCATTAATGTTTCTAACTCTCTATCACTCTCCCTTCCTCTCTGTAAAAAATCAATAAAATATATTTTTTTAAAAAGGGAATTAATTAGCAGAGATATTTTAATATTGCTATTTGCCCTTTCTCCATAATAGAAGTGTGAGAGATGAAAGGAAATCAGTAAAATGTATATGAAAATAATATATAAATTTATTAATAAATAAACAGTAACAAAAGGATATAACAACAACAGAGGCATGATATAAAAACGACAAAAATATGATATGAAAACAACAAAAACATGATATGAAAGCAACAAAAATCTCCCTGACCTGTTTGGCTCAGTGGATAGAGCGTCAGCCTGCAGACTGAAGGGTCCCGGGTTCGATTCCGGTCAAGGGCATGTATCTTGGTTGTGGGCACATCCCCGGTGGGGTGTGTGCAGGAGGTGGCTGATCGATGTTCCTCTCTCATCGATGTTTCTAACTCTCTATCCTTCTCCCTTCCTCTCTGTAAAAAATCAATAAAATATATTTTTTTAAAAAGAAAACAACAAAAACATGATATAAAAACTGATGCAAACAATGACTGATAAAGTGATTAAACTTATTCTAATATCTCCCTGTACACCACATTAAGAGTGAAAACACTTTCAGAGTGCTTGACTAATTTCCCTTGTGGTGAAGTACTTAGAACTTTAACTGTAACATCACATGCTCTTCAAACAGGCAAGAAAGCAACATATAACTGACCATGTGCAAAAACGGGTTCAGGTAGGAATATGCCTACTTTGTCTAGAGTTTGTCCTTGTGATTTATTAATAGTCATCACAAATGCTGGCATCATGGGAAACCATCGTCGAATCAATTTAAATGGGAGGCCAGTGTCAGATGGGGACAAATTAATTCTTGGAATCAGAACAGCCTCTCCGTCTGCAGATCCTGTTAATACTTCAGCTTTGATAATGTTAGGTCGTAATCTTTTGATAATAAATCTGGTACCATTACAAAGACCCCATTTACTATTGAGATTTTTCAATAGCATGATGATGGCACCCACTTTCAATTTTAATTTATGACACGGCATTCCCGAAGGAGTAATACTATTAAGAAATTTGATGGGAAAATTTTCCTTTTCAGCATCATCTGTGGAATCAATGGAATCATCACTCAAATATGTGTGAAAATCTCCATTGAGTATATCCAAATTTTCTTCATTTAATTTTTGAACATGCTCATTTTTTGGACAAAGAATTGCACATTTAGATATATTTTTAATATTATCTATAGCAGTGGTTCTCAACCTTGGCTGCACATTAGAATCACCTGGGAATCTTTTAAAAATCCTGATTCCTGGGCCTCACCCTCCGGAAATTGTTTCTTTGTTATGGGGTGGGGCCACAACATTAGTAACAAAGAAAAGAATTAAAACTTTATTGTGGGGAGCCGCTACAGTGTTTTGGACAGGTTCAAGCCTTGGACTGATAAGAGGGCACAGTCCTCTCATTGCCACCTGCAAGTTCCAGCTTGGAGAGCAGGGCCCTCCCAGCACAATTATAGCCAACAGCTGTAGTTGTAAGTTTGAACCTATGGTCCGAACACGTGGCCACACGTGCCTGAGTGATGTAGGCTTGATAGAGTTCAAGTGCATGTACTTGAGTAGGATAGAAACCCAGGAGAATGTTGTAAACATCTTGGTCATGCCCTTACTTTGCCTTGTAGCATCTGCTATAAAATAAAGGCATGGCTGTGGGCGTGGTCGCTGTCTCTCAGAGAAGCAGTGTCCCACCGAGACCCAGCTTTCATTCTCTTGTCTGTCTTTTCTAAGCCTTTCAGCCGCCCCCACTCAGGTTCACCCTTGGCTGTGCTGGCAGGGTACACTTTATAAAGAGATGCCTCCACGCTTCCAGGGCGGGTTCCTGCCTCAAACCCGCCCTTACAGGAAACAGCTCCAGGAAACAGCTTGGGGGAGGGTGCAGCCGTTGCCAAGAAAACCCCTGCAGGACTGACTTCCTTCTGCTTGGTCGCAGTTCTGGTGGTCGTGATGAACACCACCCAGGGTTTTTATATAAGTAGATATAAGTAGATATGCATTACCTGTGGACACAGACAATAGGGTAGTGAAGGCCTGGGGCGAGGCGGGAACCAGGTGGAGGGGGGGCAATGGATGGAAAAAGAGGACATCTATAATACTCTCAACAGTAAAGATTTTTTTAAAAGATCATTGATGTTACATTTTAAAATGGGCAGAAGAGCCCAGCTGGTGTTGCTAAGTGGTTGATCATGGACCCATGAACCAAGAGGTCCCTGGTTCAGTTCCCAGTCAGGGCCACATGCTTGGGTTGCAGGTTCGATCCCCAGTGGGGGGCGTGCAGGAGGCAGCTGATGGATATGTCTCTCTTGTTGATGTTCCTCTCTATATATCCCTCTCCCTTCCTCTCTAAAATCAGTAAAAATGCGTTTAAAAATAATAAAATGGTCAAAAGATTTAAACATTTCACAAAAGAAGATAAATAATGATCAATAACCACACAAGAAGATATTCAGTATCACTAGTCATGAGAAAAATACAAATTAAAACCACAATGAGATAATACTTTACCTCCATCAGAACACCTGAAATTAAAGACTGACAATACAAATGTTTGCAACTTGAACTCAAATAAGTTGTTGGTGAGACTGAAAAATGATATAGTTCCTTTTGAAAATGGATTGGCAGGGTGTTGTTGTTTTTTTAAATTAAACCTACACTTATATTATTCATTCATTCACTCCAGGATATTAAAAACATCAAGATGTTCACTGTCATGATGCTGAATTTTTAAAAAGTACATATAATTTCATTTTTATGAGTTCTACAATAAGATAAACTAATTGTATTATTTTTCTACTGCTGCCATAAAAAACAACCAAAATTTCAGAGGCTTAAACAAGACAAATTTATTATCATACAGTTCTGTAGGTCAGAAGTCTAAATATTGGTCTCCTCGGGATACTGGCAAAGCTGCATTTTCTTCTGTAGGCTCTCAGTAGGATGCATGTCCTTGCCTTTTTGTATGTTTAGACGCTGTCTGCATTCCTGGCTCTTGGTCTCCTTTCTCCATCTTCAAGCCAGCTTTACACCACAATGACCTCCTCTTCTGCCTCCCTCTTCAACTTTTAAGGAGTCTTGTGATTCCAGTGAAAACTCATTCAGATAATTCAAGATAATCTTCCTATTTTAAGGTCAACCGATTAGCAACCATATTTCTATCTGTAACTGTAATTCCCTTTGCCATGTAAAGTACAGGTTCTAAGGATAAAGTCTAGGGCACCTTTGCAGACCATTAATGTAAGGTGAAAAAAATCAAAATGGTGATTGCAGACAGTGGTGGGGTGAGAAAAATTGGGAAGGGATGGATGTGTGGCAATTTTCTGGCAAAATAGAAATATCCTATATTATGATAGAGGTATATGTTATAAAGATGTATTTATTTGTCAAAAGTGCACAGCAAAGGTGAGTGTATTTCAATGTATGTAAGAGTACTATTAAAAGTAAAAATAAATGACAGGGCCATTGGGAATGGATGGAGGAATAGATGAAACAAGGATGGCAGGATGTTATTTTTGAAGCTGGTAACAAGTATCTGGGAGCTCGTTATTCTGTTTACTCTGTTTTAATTTGGAATTTTTCATATTCAAAAATTAAAAGAATGTTCATTTAGTTCTAAATGGTTAAGTCCTTAAAAGCCATGAAAATGTGTATTTGTAAAATTGAATCCGAGTCATTTCAAATGTTAATTTTAAAATACCAAACTTTGCAGTAATAACTAACTTCTCTTTTTGGCAGCCACGAAGAACTATACTCAGGTCGCCCTTATGGAGCCCTTGATTCAGGTTTCAATAGTGTTGACAGTGGTGATAAGAGATGGTCGGGGAATGAAGTAAGTGTTTATTCTGTTCTGCATGTTATAATTCCTGATTAAGGAAAAATCAAATGATGAAAATGAAAAGTTTCTTAGTAGGGTTCAATTTCTCATTACATAAAATATACAGAAAAACCAAAGGAAGGGTATAAATTCCACATAGTCATACCATCCAAAAATTGTTTCTTCAGTATCTTTTTACCATGTGTGTTTTACATGTTTGTTACCTCAATGTCTTGTATAAATAATTTTATATCCTAGAAACCTAAGCAAGAACTGAGCCAGTTACAACTGATGGGTAAAGAAATGGGAACCTTAGTAAAGAATATCCACATGCTCAAGATAAACAACTTTCTTAGCCAATTATATCAGGTTTCTCTTTTGTTTAGTTATTAGTACTATATTTTCTTTTTTCATGAATTACTAAAGTATAATATTTTAGCTACAGTTTGGGTTAAGTGATTAAGTACCATTTATAACATCATTTCGGAGTCAAAAGCAAATTAATTTTAGGTGTGCACCGATTTGTAAAATTACTTCTTGAGTGGGTATGTACATAATTTTGGTTCTACCCATATCCTATATAATAAAAGCCTAATATGCTAAGTGTCCAGTCGTCCGTTCAACCAATCAAAGCATAATATACTAATGATATGCCAAGGCCACTCAACCGCTTGCTATGATGTGCACTGACTACCAGGGGGCAGACGCTTCAACTGGTAGGTTAGCTTGCTGCTGGGGTCCGGATGATCGGGACTGAGTGAAACGAGCCGGACACGCCCTGGAGCCTTCCCGCAGCCCCTCCCCAGCTGGCCAACCTCCCGCATATCTCCTCGGCCCCAATCATGCACTGGTGGGGTCCCTCAGCCTGGCCTGGGCCCTCTCGCAATCCGGCACCCTTCAGGGGATGTCGGAGAGCCGGTTTCGGCCCTTTCCCGCTCAACACAGGAGCTTCCCCCTAGTGGTCAGTGCACTGCCACACAGGGAGTGCTGCTCAGCCAGAAGCCGGGCTCACGGCTGGCAAGTGCAGCGGCAGTGGCAGGGACCTCTCCCGCCTCAGCGGCAGTCGGACATCCCCCACGGGCTCCCAGATTGCGATAGGGCACAGGCCGGGCTCAGGGACACCCCCCCACTCCCCCCAAATGTGTGAATTTCATGCACCGGGCCTCTACTAGATACATATATGTAAATACTTTAAGTTCATGTACATATGTATACAGGGTGGGGCAAAAGTAGGTTTACAGTTGTGAGTACACCAAATACAGAGTATATACTTCTACTAGAGGCCCAGTGCACGGATTTGTGTACCGGTGGGGTCCCTTGGCCTGGCCTGTGCCCTCTCGCAATCCGGGACCCCTTGGGGGATATCAGACTGCCAATTTCGGCCCAATCCCCGCAGGCCAGGCCAAGGGACCCCACTGGTGCACAAACCTGTGCACCGAGCCTCTAATATGTATATAAGATCTTTGGTTAATCTCTCCATCCCCCCTTCCCTCTGAGATTCATCAGTCTTTTCCACGTTTCCATGCCTCTGCGTTGAGCATCTGCCCCCTGGTTGTCAGTGTGCATCATAGCTACCAGTCAAACTGTTGAACAGTTGCTTAGGCTTTTATATAGAGAGATTATTTATTAATTATTATGTTATTTTCCATATGATCAACTATAAACCTACTTTTGCCCCACCCTATATTTATAGTCATACATACCCTTCTATATCACTCGAGGATATGTTTTTTATAGATCTGAGAGACAGGTCTATAAAAAGATCTGAGAGAGAACCCAGGGATGGGACCCTCAACCTCAGTATATGCCCTGACCAGGAATCTAACCCACAACATTTTGGTATATGGGATAATGCTCCAATCAGCTGAGCCACCCAGCCAGGGGCATTTTAATCATTCCTAAGTGTACATTTTAGTGGCATCAAGTACATTCACATTGTTGAGAAACTTTCACCACTATGCATATCTAGAACTTTTTGGGTATTTTTCCTTAAATATACATTTTAATGAGTTTATATTATATCCATGCTTTTAAATACTTGGTAATCTAAAATGTAGAATGATGTTTTTTAATGTTTCTGCTATTTTTTTAAGCCTACAGATGAATTTTCAGATCTGCCTCTTCGAGTAGCAGAAATTACTAAAGAACAAAGACTACGAAGAGAAAACCAGTACCAAGAGAATCGCAGCAGTGTAGTAGTAGCAAATGGAGGTAAATATAATTCCTGGTGACATTTGAAGTTTTTATAATTACTCTAAAAAATGGTCTTTTTCACACCTACTCTAATTCCTGGTGACATTTGAAGTTTTTATAATTACTCTAAAAAATGGTCTTTTTCACACCTACTCCTTTGGTTTGTGTATTTGAGATTAAATTTCAATTTCTCTGTATTTTCAGGCTTTCAGTTAAAATACAGTGCTTCTCTCTTACCTTTATTTTGGAAGGAAACTTTATTAACGACAATTTATCTGGATTAGATTTTTGTTAATTTTCTGTGCATCATGTTACAACTTTTCCATGTGTTTATCTGGATTAGATTTTTGTTAATCTTAATTTAACCAGAATCTTCTTTTGAAGTACTTGTCTTCTTTCAAAGATCCTTTTTGTGGTCATTACTTTACCTCTTTTAGAAATTCAGTGCTATTCTTCATTACCTTTTCCTTCATCTGGAATTGTGCTCTTCAAGGGCATCTGAATCTGAGTCATCCATATTCTGATATTTTAATATTTGTGATTTAAAATTGTTTTTATAGCTCATTAACAGACAGAACTCTTTTTGTTTGTACTTCTGCGGCAGACTTGATTTTCGTATTCTACTCAATATTGCTTTAATTTGAATTTTTAAATTTTGAGGGTTAGCCATAAGGGAGAAATGACTTTGATTTTCCAGAAATCTATTGTATTATCTGAGAAGATGCTTAATCTCTGACTCATTATTTCAATTAAGTGGTTTGCTATCTTTTTTTCCTACCATCTTATATTCTTTTTTTTCTCCTGTTATTTAGCATTTCATTCATATTTTAGTAGTTTTCTTTTTAATACTGCTTGTATATATAATAATCTTTCTCATTGATTCATTTCAGCCTTAAAATAATGTCTATATCTGTGCTGTCCAGTATAGTAGGCACTAGCCACATGTGGTTATTGAGCATTTGAAATGTGGCTTTTCTGAATGGAGATGTACTATAAGTGTAAACAGATTTTTGAAGACTTTGCATGAAAAAAGGAATGTAAAATAATAATATTTTATATTAATTACATGTGGTAATAATATTTTAGATCTATTGGACAAAATAAAATATATTATTAAAATTAGTCAACTTTTCTTTTGACATTTAGAAATGTGGCTACTAGTTAATTTAAAATTACATATGTGGTTTACTTTTGTGGCTTACATTCTATTTCTCTTGGACAGTGTTGGTCAAAATAGTATGAAAAATGATATTGCATTCTTGGGAAGTAGTCATAAAATGAATTATTTATTTAGTCACACAAGTTGTAGCACATTGGGAAAAAATGCATTTATGTACCTGGTTTCTAATGTGGGTGTAGACCTTTTCATCCTTTTACCTATTAATATAACTAGTAACTCAAAATTTATTTTTGTATTAACTTCAGTTATGGAAATATTTAGAAATAATTGAATTAGAAAACTAAATTGAGAAGTAGACTTCTTCAAATTCACTATTCCCAGAAACTGCAACTTTTAGTCAGCCTACAGAATATCATACAGTAATAGCTGGGGTTTAATGCATCTCTAGAGAAACCATCTTCGTAGCAATTATTTTTTTTTTCTAGCGTGCCATTTTAACTGGATTTTTAAATGGCTAGTTTCTAAGCTTAACAATAATGGGGTACTCCGAAACTTATTAGAAGAAATAATGATGTGATTTTATACTTTATTTATATACTTCTCCTCACCCCAAAACATTTTGAGAATAAAAAATTCCCCAAATGATTTTCTTCTATCCACAAACTGCTATAAAATATCTACAATGCTGACCTCTAGAAAATAATTTTTAAGTAGAAAATCTTTGTTCTGGTTATGGACAACAGTTATAGGAAGGGAAACAGTAGTCAGTATCTATTTCTTTATCTCCAAGTTCACTTTCCTCCAATCCTTTCTCTTTTCTTTTGAGTTGATTGTGTTAGGTTTTCTGCCTCCCACCTCTTCAGAGTGAGGTATGATTATGCCCAAAATCTAAAACTTGGGGAAAGAACCTAAAAGAAGACGTACCTTCCAATGTTTAAAAATTATTCTTTCTTTCTTTGTATCAAAAACTCAGACTGTCTTATTTAAAACAGTAAAGAGCTGTCCATAGAAAAAATAAATATTAGAGGTCTGTATTCTAATACTTACATTAATTACTGTATGCTTCAGTGAATTAGGACTAATGTTTTTCTGGAGCCTATTTTTGTGAGTGGCCATGGACTAATAAAGGCTTACATAATTTAAACTTCTCATTTCTTCCACTTTCAGAATAGAAAATGTTAGGGAAAAGGAAAAAATGCAATGTAATGTCTTTCATTAGCTATCTAATTTGAATGTTTTTTTCTTGATGTGTGTGTGATGTGGACAGTGGAACACGATCTGGATCAAATTGACTACATTGACAGCTGTACTGCAGAGGAAGAAGAGGATGAGGTGAGGCAACCCAAGGGCCTGGACTCAGACAGCCTCAGTTCACAGTTTATGGCATATATTGAACAACGGCGAATCTCTCATGAGGTAGTACACATATTTAAGCCTAACTATGTTGTACCCCCTAGTAAAATAATTTATGGTAGTATAAATTTCTGTCCTATCAGTGATTTGTTCTTATTATTTGTTTTATTATGTTCAGTTCCAGTTTCATTAGTGAATTTTTCAGATTCATTTTTAAAGATCAGACAATAGTCTCAAATAGGGTTTAGGTTTATTTTTCAAATAAAAAGACAGATTTCAGAATTTTTAAAAAAGAATTTAAAAAGTCCTAAGAGTATTCTATGCCTTTGAAGAAAATGCAAAGGAATGTGATGCTTTTAATTGTTGTTCTTACTGCTTTTTTATTGTTACATATTGATAATCATAGTTTGATCAGTAACTAAGAATTGTACCAAACCAATGACTTTCAGAGCAACATAGAAACTTAACCATAGAATTTGTATAATGAGCTTAATGATATTGGAGCTTCTATTCTCAGTCTCACAGAATATAAATTGTTTGCCAATAAAATTCTTGGATGTCTCTTATAGTGGAGCATTGAGTTGCTGTATAAAACAAACAAGCATTCAGTCCACTGCAAGAACTTTGCCAGTTCCCCAAAGGTCTCAAGTAGAAATAGCATTCTTGACTAAATCTTGTCAGCATAATAAAATGGCTCCACTTTAGTTTGTGCGTTGTTAATGTCTGGTGTTGGTCCCAGGTTCTGAGCAGAGGTTATTGAGAAACACTTGGGCCTTTTTGAAGAATGATGAAATAGAGAATAATCATTTCAAGTGGGACATGTTAGGAAGTGATATTATCATTCTTTTAAAAAACCCTTTGGTTTTCCTATCTGAAGGCTTTTGAACACAGTATTTTTGTTGGCATTCAGAAGGCACTCTTGTATTTAAAGTTGAATGAAGTTATATAAATCCGAGTCCTGCAGCCCAGAGATATCAGTGTGTTCCAGGTGATTAATGGAACTACTTGTGGTTCAGGCTATAAACATCCCTGCTAGAGCAACTACTTTGTAATAAAGTTAAAATCAACAGTGTACACTATAATCTTTTTTTAAAATATGTTTTTATTAATTTTAGAATGAGAGGAAGGGAGAGGGAGAGGAGGTAGAAACATCGATTAGAGAGAAACATTGATTGGCTGCCTTCTGCACTCCCCCATCTGGGGATATACCCTGACTGGGAATCAAACCAGCGACCTCCCAGCGCATGGTTCAATCCTCAGCCACCGAGCCACACAAGCTGGGCAACAATGCACACTGTAATATTAAAGGGAATCCTTTTTATTTTCTTAAGGTCTCTCTGATTATTTTATGGTTAATTAAACTGTATAAATGAGGTATCTCTACTAAAAGTGATAATGCCTATTACTCTACTGGTGAAAAATTGTAGTACCATTTCTTCAATCCATTATATTGGCTAGTTTGTAATAATATGTTCTTAATTCTTGCTACCTGTTATGTATGGTAGTCTTTATGTTTGTCATAAGGCTCTTTATGACTTCTGTTTCATAAAGCTTTCTAAAATTTGGCATTTATAAAAATATGATGAAGCAGCCCTGGCTGGTGTGGCTCCGTTGATTGAGCGTTGTCCCATACACCAAAACATTACAGGTTCGGGATCAGGGCACATACCCAGGTTTTAGGTTTGATCCATGGTCGGGGTGCAACCTATTGATGTTTCTCTCTCTCTCTCTCTCTCTCTCTCTCTCTCTCTCTCTCTCTCTCCCCCCCCCTTTCTCTCTCTTTTTCTTTCAAAGCAATTTAAAAGAAAAAAATATTTTTAATGTGATGAAGCAGTATTATTTTAGATCAGCGGTTCTCAACCTATGGGTCCCAACCCCTTTGGGGGTAGAACGACCCTTTCACAGGGGTCACCTAAGACCATCGGAAAACACATATATATTACATATTGTTTACAGTAGCAAAATTACAGTTATGAAGTAGCAATGAAAATAATTTTATGGTTGGGGGTCACCACAACATGAGGAACTGTATTAAAGGGTCGCGGCATTAGGAAGGTTGAGAACCACTGTTTTAGATGGTCAGCAAACTGCGGCTCGCGAGCCACATGGGGCTCTTTGGCCCCTTGAGTGTGGCTCTTCTTAGGTCTTAGGACTACCCTAATTAAGTTAATAACAATGTACCTACCTATATAGTTTAAGTTTAAAAAATTTGGCTCTCAAAAGAAATTTCAATTGTTGTACTGTTGATATTTGGCTCTGTTGACTAATGAGTTTGCCGACCACTGCTAGCTGATTTGGCTCAGTGGATAGAGTGTCAGCCTGTGGACTGAAGGGTCCTGGGTTCGATTCCGGTCAAGGGCACATGCCTGGGTTGTGGGCTTGATCCCCAATAGGGGTGTGCAGAAGGCAGCGAATCAATGATTCTCTCTCATCATTGATGCTTCTATCTCTCCCTCTCCCTTCTTCTCTGAAATCAATAAAAATGTTTTTAAAAAAAAACAGTGAAGTTTTTTTATATTCTTGAATACTATCTGAAAATGGGTTAAGATACTAATCTGTTTGAGATTTTAAACACTCTGCTATTATTTGATTTTATTATAAATCTCTCACATATCTATAAGTATGATAAAATAGGGTATGACTTACAGAATATGACTTTTCTTAATTAAACCAATGTCATATACATTTTGTTGTGAAAATTTCATCTGCCTCTTGCAATAAATTTAGATAATTGTAGTGTAAAACAGAGTGATAAGTCACTGATGTTAACATACTGGGAGAGATTTTTATTTTTTAAAAATCCATATTCACTGAAATTAGAATAATGATTCTCTCATCAGGATTCTAAATTTATATTTCATATGATTCTCATGCCCAGACTTTAAGGGAGTCAGCCTTAGTTAGGCCTTTGGAATAACTCACCAAAGATATTCTAGTCATGTGCGATATACCTATTTCTTGGAGCTAGACTATAACTAGTTTTACATTTGACTGTTAGATATACTTTTTAGTTAAGTTTTTTTCCCTTCAACAATATGCATTTTGATTATTATTTTTGGTGTTGAAATAAGATTGTATTGTTTCTATAGATTTTCATTTGACAAAATATGTTGCTGTGATAACCTGCAAGTTTCTACCTTTGTAAATTTTTTTTCATATCACTTAAGTCAGTTTAATTTTCCTCAGTAATGTTTTTTGAAATGATCTTTACCCTTTAGTTTATAAATAAATCAAATTGACAGTATTTCTCTTTTAATTAATATTTTGCCAAAAAAGACTACTTTTTTCTTTATCTTGATATCCCACCAACATCCCCAGAACTATATAGATGACAAACATGAGTAACAATTTGTGATGATGAAGAATTAAAGAAATGTGATCTGCCAAATAAATTCTTCATTACTAGAAATATTCAAAAGAAGCTGAGTAAAAGGGCTGGTTAGGTAGGAATTTCTGTGGATGGAAATTTGTACTGGATGACCTCTAAGATCCTTTCCAACGCTAACATCTTATTCATTTATACTCTATGTCCACTATAATTTATATAATACAGTGAGAAGAAAATCTACTTTTTTGAAAATAAAATAAACATTTTTGGATTATGAGTAGTTCTGTGTTTACCAAAGCAGTAAGATAGCCTGTAATCCTTTAAACATAAAAATTCACATTTGAAAATTTTGTGATAATATTATAATATTTTTTAGTGTAATATATATATTCCTAAATGTCAAGTTGAATGTGAACTGTGTAATCACAGTGTTCTGGATATATATTTAAATTGATTTATTTCTGCTCTTTTGGTGTAGAGTTCACCAATAAAACCAGTACCCACGAGGGAGTTTCAAAAAACAGAAGACATAAAAAGATATTCACATCAAAACAGGTTTGAAAAACCAATTCTATTCATTTTTTTCTGTGTTAACACTCAATAAAAAGCATGAAATGATTTTAGTTTTATATAGATCTATGTATAATGAAGACATTTAGATACTGTGTGTTTTAGACACTCTGTATTTAGAACTGGGTGATAATGTGCCTTTGTGCTCATATAATAGCAAAATAAGTAAAATTGATTTATTGTTTCTAAATTCAGATCACCTAAAGCATTACCTAAACAATTATTTGATTTGAAGATACTTAATAACAATGAGATTTTTATGTTGATAATCTGGATTTATCCATAAAGAAAGCTAAATGAAATTCTCAGCCTTTGTTTTTTTTGCTTCCTCTTTGTTTTTATGAACTCCTAAAGCAGTAGACTTGGCATGCCTATTCTTAAAACAATAGTATATTTACTATGTAGACGTGTCATACATAGTTCTTTACTTATGCTTGACAGGATATTATAGTTTAGGGGACTGAGATATAGATAGATAAAGAAAATGGCGAGAGTAAAGCCATTTATAACTAGGCCTTTTATAGTCTCATCAGTCAGTTCATAGTGATTTAGTTAAATTTTGTATCTTTGACATTTATCTCAAAATGACTTTTTAGTTGCCATGTCTATTTCTATTGAGGGTGTAGTGTTCTGAGATTCCAATTCAGGGATATCCTATTACATTTTCCCACTTTGAATGGACCTAGACTCTATCTCCTGGCCGTGTTCCTATATTCATCACAAATAAAGCTCAAGATCTCTAGGATTTAGTATAAACCCTCAAGGTGAAAGCCAGCTTTTTAGCCCAGTTGCCTTATGTATTGGTTTCTAATGCTTATGTAACAAATTATCACAAATTTAGCAGCTTAAAACATGCCCATTTATTGTATCACAATTCTGCTAGGTAGAAATCTGAACAGGATTTCCTTGGTTCTTTGCTTTGAGTCTCACAAGGCTGAATTAGGTATTCCCTGGCCTGGATTCTTGTCTGGAGACCCTGGGGGAGAATCCCCTTCTGGGATTATACAGGTTGTTAGCAGAATTCATTTCCGTGCAGTTACAGACTAAGGTCCCATTGCCTGGTTGTCTATCAGCTGGGAGTCATTTTCAGCTTCTAGAGTCCACCCACATTTCTTAGTTCATGGCTTTTTCTATATCAAGCCAGCAGTGGTGGACCAAATCCTTCTCACATTTTGAATCTCTCTGATTTCCCTTTCTGCTGCACCTCACAAACTATATTGCCTTCCTCTTCTTTTAAGGGTCCATATGATTTTATTAGGCCCACATGGGTAATCTCCCCATTTTAGGTCAGCTGATAAGTAACTTTAATTTCATCTGCAAAGTCCTTTCGATGTGTAATGTGTTCACTGGAGTAACATCAGATGTGGGGATCATAGGGGCCAAAAATCTGTCTATTAAACTTTAATACAGAGTTCCTATTTTTACTTATTTTTATAATCTGTGAATTCTTTATTTTCATGGCGCTTCAGCAGTGTATTTTAAAATACTATTTTATTCACCATTTTAGTTGTTTCCATTGGAAGAGTCATTCAGAGTATGTAATCTGCCACAGTGCTAGAAACTGAAGCCATGATTATATTCATCCACAGGGGATTGGTCCCAGGACCACTTCGGATTCCAAAATGTGCAAGTCTGAGTTTGCTCTCCATATCCCTGGGTTCCACATTGGGAGATTCAACCAATCATGGATTTAAAATGTTGGTTGAGCCTGGCCAGTGTGGCTCAGTGGTTGAACGTCGACCCATGAACCAAGAGGTCACCAGTTCGATTCCTGGTCAGGACACATGCCTGGGTTGCAGGCTTGATCCCCGGTAGGGGATGTGCAGGAGGCAGCCAATTAATGATTCTCTCTCATCATTAATGTTTCTATCTCTCCCTCTCCCCTCCTCTCTGAAATAAATAAAAATATACATATTTTTTAAAAGTTACATGCAGATTTTTAACTGTGCAAGGGGGTGAGGGTTGATGTTCCTAACTGCCGCATTGTTCTAGTGTCAACTGTACTTCATTTTTTCAATTAGATATTTGCTCAGTATCTACGTGCTACTTCTATGTGCCAAGTACTTTTCTAGGTATTTGGGAAAAGCTGTAAACTTTAGTCAAAGTTCCCATCCTCATCCCGCTTATATGCAAATGGACTTGATAATTAGAACCTACAAAACAATATCACCTCTAACTACTGGCAACTTCAGGCTACCAAGACCTGTCTTAACCAAAATATCAGTCCTCCAGTTACACTCAAAGGAATTGAGTCAGTTTAACAAACTACTACTTGCCCATTAGTCATTGCTGAAAAGAAAGTTGCTTACTTTCTCCTCCCAATTGCCCTTCCCACCCCTTACCCTCCATGTACATTGCTCCCACCTCCCCCTTCCACACACACATAGTACCTACCCGCCTGGAGAATAATAAAGGTAGGGGGATAGATTATGATAAATTGTTAAGTATTTTATGGTTATTTGCCAAGATGGATTAAATAAGTGTAAAGTTAAAACTAACAAAAATTATCGTTTTTGAAAGTGTTTACTTATTATCTAAATGTCATTTTAGTTCAGGGGAGGTGATAGTATCATGCTTAGTCTTGTAAAGTTTATTAATTTCTATTGGAAGCAATATAGCATTAAAAACATTTGGCTAATAATCATAGTGTAAAATTTCAGGTCCTAAATGTCAAAAAGTCACTGTTGCAACACTGTCAGTTTTAAAGACACAGATGAGTAACAGAGACTTGAAACACCAAGTCCAGTTCAGGAAAAAGATAAATACCAAACTGTAAGAATTAACACTGATAAAACTGAGAGGCAAGTTTTACTATTTTTTAAGCATTAAATCAGGTTTCATCATTTTCTTGAAAATAAAAACCAAGAGTATCTTTACTTTTGCTCTTAAAATTGCTTCATCAATTGAAAATGGAAGTCGGAGTTCTTTGCAAGTACAGTTACCAGGTTCTGTAGTATTCCAGATTTCTGTTGATAAATGACTTTGTATATAAAACGATCTCCATTTATATGTATCTTGTTTCAATCAAGGTAGTAAAGAAGATAACATTTATGCTGTAAAAAAATGATGCTGCTTGAAAGTGATCTCAAATAATTGTGTTATCAGCATTGGCTGATCACAGACAGTTGTTAGCTGTCTATAACTTGATCAGTGATATCATCACGTGAAACATGAGTTGGAGACATCAGGTATTCCTGTAGCTTAATTTAATGACTTGGGCTCAAGTTTACAAAATTTATTTAGCCTTTAAGTGCTCACTAGACAGTTTGCCTGTTGATGAATAGAAAGCTACATTAACAATGAAGTTTCACTTGTCTTTTATATATCTGTTTCTCTTATCAAAGAGGGTTTTTTCTTTCTCTTTTTTCTTTTCTGGGTCAGGGTTCCAGTTGGGCCATCTTCTTCACTGTTACCAAGTCACAATCAGGTAAAAAAAATGTTCTGTTTTAGTTTTTATTGTTTTTAAACTAAGATGGTTTTCTTTTTTTTATAATACTTAAGTTACTATTAATTGCCAGATATCTGTGAACTTCACTACCTGTCTTCTCAGTCATACAGTTAATATAATATGTACACCTGATACTAGCTAATAGTGTTTTTAGATACCAGACAGAAAATAAATCTTTATCCACATGATGGCTTTATCCTATATAATAAAAGGCTAATATGCAAATAGACCAAACAGTGGAATGACCAGTCGCTATGATGCGCACTGACCACCAGGGGACAGACATTCAATGCAGGAGCTGCCCCCCGGTGGTCAGTGCACTCCCACAGGGGGAGCACCACTTAGCCAGAAGCCGGGCCCATGGCTGGGGAGCGCAGCAGTGGTGGCTGGAGCCTCTCCCTCCTCCACGGCAGCACTAAAGACTCCTTGGGGGATATCCGCCTGCCAGTGTGGGGAGTGGGCCTGAGCCGGCAGCTGGACATCCCCTGAGGGGTCCTGGACTGCGAGAGGACGCAAGTGGGCTGAAGGGGACCCCTCACCCCCCCCCCCTCAGTGCACGAATGTTGTGCACCGGGCCTCTAGCAGTACATATAAGAACACAGTGCAAAATGAGAAAAAAAATAGCAATAAACACATTTAAAGAAATGCTAGGTGACTGCAAAGTAAAAGTTGGTTCAGTAGTAGTTCCCTAAATGGATAAGTTGGTCTTTATCCCCACTCTCATATGCAAACTGATTTTTGTTTCAGCTATCACATACAGACTTAGAACTTCCTCAGAGAAGAGAACAATTAGTAGAGCGCACTAGGAGAGAGGCACAGCTTGCTGCCCTACAGTATGAGGAGGAGAAAATAAGGACCAAGCAGATTCAGAGAGATGCTGTCCTGGACTTTGTCAAAGTGAGTCCTTTGAATTCATTTAATGATATTCCTAAAGTTTCTTAGAAGTGTTTATTTGTTTTGCTGAGGCTATCAGTTTTTGTTGTCTTAATTAAAAGGTCGACTTTTTTTTCCTCATATAAGGAATCTTGAGTAAATAGTGTAATTGTCTCCTATTGGTGATTAGATTAATTGTCCTCATGTAGATAGGCCTGAGGACAATTAGAAGTTATGATCTTGCCCTAACCGGTTTGGCTCAGTGGATAGAGCGTCGGCCTGCGAACTGAAAGGTCCCAGGTTCAATTCTGGTCAAGGGCATGTACCTTGGTTGCAGGCACATCCCCAGTAGGAGGTGTGCAGGAGGCAGCTGATCAATGTTTCTCTCTCATCGATGTTTCTAACTCTCTATCCCTCTCCCTTCCTCTCTGTAAAAAATCAAGAAAATATATATTTTTTTAAAAGTTATGATCTTGCTCTTCTTGCTCTTAGGACAGCAGTCTCTTCCTCTTAATTAGCAATCATTTTATTATCCAGCTGCCATTCTCTCAATCTCTAGTGCATTAGTTATGAAAATGAAAGTGCCATGCAAATATAAACTGTTGTTATCTAACCTATCTCTAACTTCCTCACTCTACGGAATACCAGAAATCTGTGAGATTCACAGGCCCCTTTAGACCCCCCTAACATTTTATAGCCTCTGTAGTTGCTTCTAAACATGGTTCATTTTTTGCCTGTATTGCTTAAGTCTTCCTGTTCTGAAATCACCTTGGATTTTTTTTTCATAATTAAATAATTGTGTATTTTCTTCCTGTTCTGAAATTACCTTGGATTTTTTTTTCATAATTAAATAATTGTGTATTTTCGTTCGTTTAATATATGTCTCTCCCATTTATCTATAAATTCCATGAAGACAGGGACCATGTCTATCCTGTTTATTCACTGCTATATCCCTAGATCTGAGCAAGTCTAAGCCTGTAGTAAAGCTCAATAAATATTTGTTAAATGAATGATTGAATGAATGAATCACTTGTGTCCTCCCAAAGTTTTCTCTCCTGTTTCTTAACTCTAGCCAAAGACCATCTTCTTTAAGTATCATCTACATGATAAATTCTTTTTTTTTTTTATTGATTTCAGAGAGGAAGGGAGAGGGAGAGAGAGAAACATCAATGAGGAGAGAGAATCATTGATTGGCTGCCTTCTGCATGCCCCCTACTGGGGATCGAGCCCGCAACCCAGGCATGTGCCCCGACTGGACTTGAACCCAGGACCCTTCAGTCTGCAGGCCGACACTCTATCCACTGAGCCAAACCGGCTAGGGCTTTCTTTTTTCTTTTTTTCAAATGTATCAGCCTATGATGATGATGATCTCTCATGCTCGAGAGGATGATAATTTGCCTAAGGTTAAATACTCAGCTAGTATGTGGCAGAGGAAGGATTCTAATCAAGACAGGCTGAAGAGAAAATGGGAATAAGGTTGAAAAAGAAACAGTTTCTTTAAAAAAAAAGACAAGCTGGCTCCAAACTCTACTCTATGACCACAATAATAATGGCTAACTCAATACTATGTCCTGAGTGCTGTTCTGTGCATTATTTTTGATATTTTTTTGTTAATTTTGAGAGAGAGAGAAACATCACTGTGAGAGAAAAACATCCATGGACAGCCTCCTGCATGCTCCCTACTGGGGATCAAGCCTGCAACCCGGGCATGTGCCCTGACTGGGAATCGAACCTGTGACCTCTTGGTGCATGGGACAACACTCAACCAACTGAGCCACACTGGCCAGGCTATGCTTGACTCTTGGAAAGTTACTCAACCATTTTGTGCCTTTAGTTTCCTCATACATGTAACATTTAACTGTTAAATATTAACTATTTCAGAATTATAGATAGATCTGATACTTTTACTACTATGGTGAGCGCTACACACCCTACCATCACAGTGGATTTTAAAAATTATAAGAGAGATTTCAAGAGACCATCATTACGCTTGTACATAAATGTGTAGTGAATGTTGACTAAATCATTGAAGATGGGTGGGGGAGGGAGATTTTGAGGCTAAAAATGATGGTTTTAATAGGAGTCTAGCATTGTGAAAAGAACGTAGGATTTGGAGTCAGAAGACATAAATGCAAATCTCGCTTATGCTACTTAAAACTTTGCAGCCTTGCATATGTCACATAACCTCTCTTATCTTCAATTTTCTCATCTCTAAATGATTATGATGTTTGTTTATCTCACAGAATAAAAAGAAGAATCACTTGAGAGATACTGTACATAAGAACACATTGTAAAGCACTGGCTATACAGATGTTATAATATTTTTATTTGACATAATAACAGAAATTAGCAAATTGGGGAAAAGAGTCAGTTGGTTTGGAAAATTGTGAGTTTGTTTTTAGATGTATTGAACATGAGGTGAGAGTGGGGTTTCCAAGTAGAGTTGTGTCCTCAGGCAGTTGAAATGCAAATGTGAAATTTGCTGATGGTTGAGAGCTCAAGCTGTTAGCATTAGAGTGATATCTAAGCCATTAGAGAAAAAGAATGATTTTAGTAGGAGAACATAGTGAGAGATCACTACTTTGTGAATGTTTGTATGCATGTGTATATTAAAAACATAGTTTTAAAATTTTCTATGTATAGATGTTTATAGACATGAAAATACTGTTGGTCATTTTATTGCCTTTCCTCATTTCAATTGTAAGCTATTTCAGGGAAAGAGCAATATCTTCTAACCAGTAAATCTAGAAAAATGTTATACATAAGAAATACTGAATATGATTATTTTAGTAAATAGAATTTATAATTTCTAGTGTTCCAGCTTCTAACCAATTTCCCTTTTTGGGGGGGTTTGGGGGTTTGTAGCAGAAAACATCACACAGTCCACAAAAACAGCAACACCCCTTAGATGGTGAGGTAAGTCTTTATAATCACCTTTATTTTGGAATTTTTTTTTTGCAATAGAAATGAAATGTTTGGCATGTGCTTTCAGTGATCAAAATATTGCTATTTTCTCTTTTTCCCTCACAAAATTCTTTTTATTGGATAGAAGAAAACACAAGTCAGGGAGTTTATCAGAATCTGTAGATCAGAGGGTTTTAAAACTATACCCATCCATCTGGAGATTATTTATTTCCTTCCCTATCCCCACCAGAGGTATCATCTTCCTCATCCACTTTCGAAGCATATCACGTAGTGAGAGTTCCAGAGGGGGATCCGGCATGGCTGAATGGTGTCAGTATTAAACAAAAAAACGACTCCACATAGAATTTTCAACTTCATTGCTCATTTCTAAGCATGTATGTTATTGATTATACACTTGTACACATTAGTTAACACACACTTCCTTTTTTCCCTACATTTTCTTCTTGATGGTCATTCTGGAGAATTCATTATCTAAAAATTAAAGTTTTTCAGGGCTATAACAGTGCTAAAATTCTCAGTTATTGTTTTATCTGAGAAAGGTAATAAAAAGATACCTAAACTAGATATCAGGACTCTTGAGTTGATTGTTTTTGTCACTGGCTCACTAACTGACAAATTCTTCATGTTACTGCTCCATCTATACTTCAGCTTTCTCTTCTGTGAACAAAGAATAATCCCTGTTCCCTCTTTGCTTTAGAAAGTTTATAGGCAAGTAAGATCATATTTGAAGTTGTTTAACCTCTTTGGAAGAAAATCATTACTCAAAACCAACTTACTAGCTCTTATGGTATGTGAATCAAAATGATATTGAATGCAGTCCTATATGTTAGCATCTTCACAATTATGTCTTAACACTACGGTGTCGGGTGAATTTCCCGCCAAAATATAAGATGGCGCGTTAAAATGCCTATATCTTTTGAAGTATGGGTTCGATTGAAATGAAATATTTGGTAATACGCAGTTACAATCGGCCCGAGTTTACACGTTTCCCACACTCCACCGCAAATCTATATGAACCGAGTTTTAAGACGGCTCCCGCGGAGTACGCGCAATTCACGCGAGCCGACTTAACTCGTTTCCCGCAACCCAAGTTAATATGGCTCTTTGCTTGTGTATTTGTGAAATATGTCACGTGTTTGCAGTTTGTTTTGACATTGCTTCATTTTTTCCACCTCTCCAGTGTCCCTTCCCATCCAGAAGGTCTCAACACACTGATGATAGTGCCTTGTTAGTGGTAAGAGCCTTGCACAAAATGGAGTTTTAAATTGCTGTGTCTAGAGATTGGACAATAGCGATTGTATTTTTCATTCAGAAATAATCTCAGTATCATAAAACATGATGGGCATTATTATTCAATGCTTTACAAAATAGCTTGAACTGTTTGCCTACATTATTATTCATGATTTATCCAGTGGTCGGTGTTCTGCAGCTATGATTAAAATATCTTTGTTAATGTTGCAAACGTAAACCATTTGCATTGAGAACCATATTGCCTTTGTATGTGTGTTGGGAGTTTTTTAAATATCATTTCTCATTCCAGGTGCACTTATTTTATTAATAATTAATTTAACTCATGAGTCACCTGTGTGTTAAATGGGTTTCTTTACTCCACGATGCTAATTATACAGCTGTGTATTTGGCATCCTATTTTATCATTTCTCTTAAGCTACTGAAAATCCCAAACTTGAAAAAATTACATCTCCATGCCCATTTTTACATTCAAGGGAAGCATTAACTTGGAATGCTATCTACTGATCTTTTTTAACACTGGTTTACTTTTATGGCCTGTTTCATCAGCCAAAAAGCAGTATATTATGAGAACTTTATTGAAAGTTTAACTTTTATCAGCCTTGAAAGATAATTCTAACCATTTACATACTGCTTTTCCCATCATGTTTTGTGTTATTTTTTCACAGTATTATTAAAAGCTAGCAGTTCAAAAATCTGCTGTCTATATCACCTCCTGTCTTATGTGTTAGTAACTGCCGCCATTGTGCATACTACTGCATGAACTGCATACTTCAGCATGAGAGTCCTAGTATGTTAACTTCCATTGTCTGTTCAAATTTCTGTGTGTTCTGCAATCATCATTTCCTTTGAGAGAGATAAAGCACATTTTAACTGGGCAGTTTTATAGATAAATGTAACCACCAACTTCTGAGTTTTAGTGGAAATTAATTGGCATGAGAAGCAACTAATAATTTAAATTAATGCAGAGATATTGAGAGCCTTTGATGATTCAGACAGCTTACCAGAATTATCTCATTCTCTCCTCACAGCAACCTTAAGGTTAATTTATCACCATTTTACAAATGATTACTGAGGCACAGAATGTGTCTTGTCCAGAATGTAACTTGTCCAAGGTCACATAGCTAGTAAGTGCCAGGGTGGGTTTAAGTCTAGAATTGGCTGACTTGAGAACCTGCATTAAACACCATGCTGTATTGCCTCCCATACTATCATTGAAAACAATTTTGGAAACCAAAGATGAGATTTAAGGACACATATAGTAATATAAGTCTGAGTGTCCAGACTTTTTTGCCAAGGAAAAAGTGGAATTTGAAACAATACAATCCCCTTAGCATGAAATTTGAAATGGCCTTCAGCCATTTCAGTATACTTGTATTTTAGTTATCAGTATTCATGTCTCCCCTAAATGAGATGGCCTTTACTCTTTCTCCCATCTTGGAGCCTGAGAAGGCCTGCTTGGAACAGGGCTTCTACAGCGACAAAAGTGACTGGAGGCTGTGATCCAAGGCCATTTCGCTGGCCATGAGTGGGGTCTCCGGAACCAGAGGGCCTGTACTGCTCTTCTTAAAATTTAAGGTGTTTATGCCTGAGGTGAAACTGAATGCTGTCTAGGGAAGAGATGTACTGACGTGTACAAACTAAGAACAACACAGTGACTCCTGTTGGCAAACCGAACAAAACCAAAGTAATCTGGGGAAAGGTAACTCATGCTCATGGAAACAGTGACATGGTTGGATCTAAATTCCAAAGCAACCTCCTTGCTAAGGCCATTGGACACAGAATCTGTGTAATGCTGTACCCCGAAAGGATTTAAACTTATTGAAGAGCAAATAAATAAAATGGATTTGTTCTCTTGTTAAAAATGGGGGGGCACCAAGGGCCATGTCTCACATATTTTTGTGTGCCAGATAGTGTCCAACACTGCAAAAAAGTCACATTTTATTTTTTTTATTTTTAAAATATATTTTTTATTGATTTCATAGAGGAAGGAAGAAGAGAGAGAGAGAGAGAGAGAGAGAGAGAGAGAGAGAGAGAGAGAGAGAAACATCAGTGATGAAAGAGAATCATTGATCTGCTGCCTCCTGCATGCCCCCCACTGGGGATAAGTATTAGTAATATTTAATGTCAGTTGTACTAACATTCTCTTGGGGCTGCTCTTCAGGTTTCTGTTGCTTTCATCTCTGTCTCATCTGCATCTATATCCCATCTCTAGATACTTTCTCTTCCCTCCACTCCTTTTTTCCTTCTTTGCCAAAATAATGGCTTTTAGCCCTTTTATATTTGAAATTGACAGTAATTCCAGTACATTTGTGGTAGTGTCACCAAAGGAGGTATGCATGATGCCAAAGTGGTAAAAAATTATAAATTTATTAGGTTATCTAGAAACCAGATGGGCTAAGCCCCAAAATGGCACCAGAACCCAGGGACCGGGAGTCAGAGGTTTTAAAGGACTCTAGGCGGGCTTTTTTGGCTGGGAATTCTCTGGGCAGGTCCAGATCCTGGGCAAGTCAGAGGGTAAAGTTACTGGTCTTAGCAAATGGAATGTGGGCTAAGCGAAAGGGAATATCGGTTGGGAAATGATCTAAAGGTCAGTTTCCCAGGGGAGGGGATATCGACTCAATATTTGATCAGACCTAACAGTTTGATTATAAGGAGGCCCAGGAAACCTCAACAGGTAAAGTATACACATTGTATTACTGTTGTTCTTTGGTACATTGCTTCACTTTTTTCTGCCTTAAGATAAATTATGTTGTACTATAGGCTGCATGCTTTGGGGTGGGGTGGGGTGAGGGAAGACATTGCTATCAACTCTCATTAAAAATAGTTGTATTTATTTTATTGACCACCTACACACCTTTTTTCTAAACACCCACATGTGTTCTTATTCATCTGTCCCATGGTTCAGATATTTGTGTTCCTAATTTAAATTTCTTAAAATTATTCAACTAATAAAGTCTTTAATATCATTAAGCCTTTGGCATTTTGTTGTTTTAATAGGTACAGTCTTATCCAACACCCTTTGTGAAAGTCCTGTCTTCTCTGATTTCCATCCACGACCAAATGAAAAAATTGTCATGTTTTGAGCAGCTTTTATCTGTAATCAAAATTATGTACAATAAACACTAACACTTACTATCTCTAATTAGTTACATGTAGGGTGGTGAATGGAAAAAGGATTTAAAGAAAAGGACTTGATCAGAGGTAGAAATGAAATGCTGGTTCATCCTTAAGGTGTGGTGCAGAATTCTCATGTTCTGTCTTCTCACATCAGAACTATTAAATATAATACATCTAATTTGGATTAATTTTGAAAAAATGTTGTTCTTCCATGCTGGTTCTGCTCAATTATTATTATTATTATTATTATTATTATTATTATATTTTATTGATTTTTCACAGAGAGGAAGGGAGGATAGAGAGTTGGAAACATCGATGAGAGAGAAACATCGATCAGCTGCTTCCTGCACACCCCGTACTGGGGATGTGCCCACAACCAAGGTACATGCCCTTAGCCGGAATCGAACCTGGGACCTTTCAGTCCGCAGGTCGACGCTCCATCCACTGAGCCAAACCGGTTAGGGTTGGTTCTGCTCAATTAAAATGAGCTCTTTGACTGGACTTTTTTTCTTCTGTCATAGGAACACACAGGACTCATTAGTTTCAAGGCTATTTTGCTAAAATAACCACACGTGATGTTCTCTTTTATTTCTAAACTAGAGGCCCAGTGCATGGATTCATGCACCAATGGGATCCCTCGGCCTGGCCTGCATGGATCGGGCCAAAACCAGCTCTCTGACATTCCCCAAGGGGTCCCGGATTGTGAGAGGGCACAGGCCAGGCCGAGGGACCTCACCGGTGCACAAATCTGTGCACCGGGCCTCTAGTGTGCATATAAAATCTTTGGTTAATCTCTTCCTACCCTCCCCCCTTCCCTCTGAGATTCATCAGTCTGTCCCATGTTTTCATGCCTGTGGTTTCTCTCCTGCGTTGAGTGTCTGTGCCCTAGTGGTTAGTGTGTGTCATAGCTACTGGTCACATGGTTAGCTGGTCACTTAGGCTTTTATATATATAAATAGGGCTACCCCCCCCCCCCCAATATTCTTTCTGTACTAGTAATATCTTAGTAAACCATTTGAAAGTTTGTAAATGACCTTTCCTTTTCTAATTTTACTGACCAGATCTGCTTCCCTGCCTGTGCCTGTCTGACTTTTTTTTTTTTTTTAAGATTTTTTAAAATTGATTTTTAGAGGGAAGGGAAGGAAGAGAGAGAAACATCAATGTGAGAGTAAGACATGGATGGATTGGCTGCCTCCTGCATGACCCCCCTTACCCCCACTGGAGATTTAGCCTGCAACTGGGGTATGTGCCCTGACAGGATTCAGACCAGCAACCTTTTGGTTCATCAGATGATGCCTAACCAAATGAGCCACACTGGCCAGGGCCTGCCTGACATTTTGCTAACATAAATCCTGCCTTCTGTTTCTTCTCTTTCTCTTTTGAAATTTAGTTGCTGTCAGGGTTGAAGCAAGTGGGCTATGCTGGTATCCTGCCTCACTCTTCTGCCTTCACACCTCTTAAGGTATCTTTTGTTACTATAATTTACCGGGAACACTGGGGTGGTGGTATGTAGTGGAGGTCTTAACTTTTCCAGTGGATTGGTCTAACAGCAAGCAGTCGGGCATCTAGGATTACATGAAATGTACTTAAGTTATGAAACTATTTGAGTTTAACCTTAATTTCACTTAAAGTTTTGTGAAAGTTTTATCATACCAGAAACAGTCATAAAGCCTGTGTTAATTCTTTATAAATGTCATTCTAATTTTCTTTCAGTGGTTTTTCTGTTGTCATGAGTTATTTTATTTTGACTAATATCAAATTTACTCTGATACTAATGTACATGCAAAGTAATTTGAGTTCTAGACCTCAAACTGTTACTGCCAAAACCCTCTACAGTGGCCCTAGGAGATCTATTTTGGTAAATAGTTTTATTGCTACACAGCCATTTGTTTATGTATTATCTGTGGCTGCTTTTGTGCTCAACAGCACACATGGAATAGTTGTGATGGACATCATCTAACCTGGAAACCTAAATAAAGAACCTGTAGTATATTATATTTTAAAGGACCATAGGGATGGTAATTCCATCTTTATTATCATATGATACATAAGATATGATTAATAATCCTCACTGTCCTCCTGTGGTTTACGCTTATTTCTTGTATTTTTTAAAAATATATTTTATTGATTTTTTACAGAGAGGAAGGGAGAGGGACAGAGAGTTAGAAACATCAATGAGAGAGAAACATCGATCAGCTGCCTCTTGCACATCCCCTACTGGGGATGTGCCCGCAACCCAGGCACATGCCCTTGACCGGAATCGAACCCGAGACCCTTGAGTCCACAGGCCGACGCTCTATCCACTGAGCCAAACCGGTCAGGGCACGCTTATTTCTTTCCAGAGTGGAGATTTTCTAGTAAATAACAGTCTTCAAATATTCTTTATATTTGTGCCCTCTCACAATCCGGGACCCCTTGGGGAATGTCAGAGAGCTGCTTTTGGCCCGATCCATGCAGGCCAGGCTGAGGGATCCCATTGGTGCATGAATCCATGCACTGGGCCTCTAGTTTAGAAATAAAAGAGAACATCATGTGTGGTTATTTTAGCAAAATAGCCTTGAAACTAATGAGTCCTGTGTGTTCCTCTGCCTGTATAATTCTCTTCTGTGTTAACCCTTTGCTAGCCTTTCTCAGCTATGTTCCTTATATATGTCACCCTTGTCTTATCCTTCAATAAACTCTGATCCTTTTCCATGCCTTTCCCAGCCTTAAGAACTTTCACAAGTTCTCTTCCTTCCATTTTGGTTCCACTGTCTCCAACTACAAATATATCTCTCATTCGAGCTTGCCTGGGGCTGAGCATGAAACACATCTTACAGAGCATTAGGCCGCCTTTTCCATTTCAATATTCATTTGCTCAGTATCTACTATAATTCTCAAATGTTTTAGTTAAATGACAATTTAACTAAATGATAATTTCTACATCTTATATCTTTTGTTTTCCAAAAGACTTAATTTTGCTTTTTTGAATATTTTTACTTCTCTAATTGACCATAGTAGTTTCAAATTCTTACATCATGTCCTTCTAAATGCTGACCCCAGTTTTATAACATCTGTAAACCTGATACACCCCTCTGATGCTATAGGTACCTGAATGACTAGCGAAAAAAGTTTACAGTAGGTCCTCGGGTTACCTCAGAGATCCGTTCCTATGGCGCAACATAATGCGATTTTTGCCCTAAGTCGGAACCCACCTGCATAAGCACCTACGTCACTCACATGGAGCACATACACAGCAGTAATGAAGTGAAACAGTTAAAAAAATGTAAAAGATAACAATTCCTGACCTTTACTTGTGGTAAATAAATAATAAAAAACATAAAGCACATATATACATACGTCGAAATGATGGAACTTTTTTTTTGTAAATAAACTAGGGGCCTGGTGCACGAAATTCGTGCACAGTGGGGGGGGGTGCAGTTCCTAAGCCCAGCCTGCTCCCTGTGGTTCTCTGCTCTCTGCGGACCTGCCTGGTTGATGCCACCGCAGGCCCTGGTGTCTGCTCTCTGTGGGGGCCTGCTTGCCCTTCCCTGCCAGGGCCAGGGGTGAGCAGGGCCCTGCTGTCTGCTCTCTGGCTCGCCGCCACAGGGGTAAGCAGGGCCCTGCTGTCTGCTCACTCGCTGCGGGAGACGTTGCCACCCCGCCCTGGCCACTTGCGCACGCGCTGGCTCAGAGTGCCTGGGTCCCGGGGATGTTACCACCCCACCCCCAGCCTCTCGGTGCCTGCGCATAGTCTGGAGTGGCCAGGACATTCCGGGACCCCAGCCGCTCTGGGCCTATGCATGGGCCTACAGGCTCAGAGCAGCCTGGTTCCTGAGCACGCCTGTCCTCGGGACACAGGCCACTTGGTGCCGGTGCTCTCACAAAAGGCCGCCTCACCCCCAGCCACTCAGCGTCTGTGTATGCAAATTAACCCGCCATCTTTGTTGGGTTAATTTGCATACTCCGAATTGGCTGATGGGCATCGTGGAGTGATGATCAATTTGCATCTTTCTCTTTTATTAGTGTAGATGGGATATGGCAATGTAACCATGAAACAACGTACATTGATTCAAGTCCATGTATGTCAGTTCTAGTCCGACGTAACCCAAGGACTGCCTGTATAATTCTCTTCTGTGTTAACCCTTTGCTAGCCTTTCTCAGCTATGTTCCTTATTTGAGCAGCAATACAGAAAATTATTTGAGGAACTGTTTTCAAAATTCTCTCAAGTAAGCTATATAATTAGTACCATTCTAGTTGTAGAGGAGAAAACTTAATTCATTACCCTTAATGGACAGTTTAGGGCATTGGGGCTTATTCTAAATCAGAGTCAAAAGACCAGATGGAAATTTGCCAGAAATTGTGTGTAAGTCTAACTTTTTACCAGACATGCTACACAGTCAAAGGATTCATTTTTAAAGATTTAGTCTTTATTTTTTGATATCCAGTTACTTTACAGAAGGTATACACTATAGTTAGTGTGATTTTATTTCAGTTGTTGCTTAACCAGGATAAAAGTTGAGTTTATGTCAGTTTGCTTTTTTTGCTCTTTAGTTCTCTAAGAGTTCTCAAATTTAGTCAGTGGCTTGTGAGGGATTTGAACTAATTGTTTTAATATCCTTGAATGCAAGTCACTTAGATTTATCCTATATAATAAAAACCTAATATGCAAATTGTCCCCTCAACCCAGAGTTAGGGAATTCGACCAGGAGGTAGGGCCAGCTGGCCAACCACCAGGCGAAGGGAGGCCCTGGCCTGCCGCGGTGGAAGCAGGGAGCCGGGGGAAGAGAGGTCACGGCCAGCAGCCGGCAGCCACTAGGTACCCTACCCATGCATGAATTTCGTGCACTGGGCTTCTAGTAGTTTTAATAAAATTACATTTTTTAAAATCATCATTTTACAAGTTTCCTCTATTCTAGCTTTGTTTTTCATTACACCTAACTGTGTATTGTCTTTTATTGTTTTGGGAGGTAGAGAACATTTCCTGCCATTCGGTGGAATTTTTTTCAACTCTTCCTTCTATCATCTAATAAAGTTGCTGTAACTTTATCATTTTTTTCCCTTAGCCTAACTCCTACTAATAAGTTTTTTTAAATTCCTAAAGAATATTTTTCCTCAAAAAAAAATATATATATGGAATAATCTCTACCTTTTTCATTTTTCTGTTTGTGCCATTGGTCCTTGAATAAGTCTTTATTTAGCTAACTAGCTTTCTCCTTTCTAGCTCATTTTTTTAAAAAATATATTTTATTGATTTTTTAAAGAGAGGAAGGGAGAGAGATAGAGAGTTAGAAACATCGATGAGAGAGAAACATCGATCAGCTGCCTCCTGCACATCTCCTACTGGGGATGTGCCTGCAACCAAGGTACATGCCCTTGACCAGAATCGAACCTGGGACCTTTCAGTCCGCAGGCCGACGCTCTATCCACTGAGCCAAACCGGTTTCGGCATCTAGCTCATATTTTTTAAAAATAAGGATAGTCTTTTGTTTCTTTATAAAGATATCCAGGTTTTGCCTCATTTGCCTGTAAATTTCTTTTAGTAGTTCCTCTTGTTATTTTAAGTTAAATTTATTTATTTAAATTCCATTTCTTCTCAACATTCTAAATTTAGTTTATTGTCATCTGTAAACTTGTTGAACATATTCTCTTTTTCACTAATGAGAATGTAGTCCATTACCTTACTCAAGAATGCAGCTTGCTTTTTAAATCTTAGTTCTCAGACTAAGAGTGTCAGATCAAGGAATAGTTACCACAAAATTGTCTTCCAGATCAGTCTAAGAATTTACGCAACAGCATGGCTCCTATTTATGTATTTATTTATTGTAGCAGTTAAAATTCCATTTCATCTGACCCAACTCCAATGAGAAATAAGAGATTTCTGGAAATGCCCTAGCCAGCTTGGCTCAGTGGATAGAGTGTTGGCCTGTGGACTCAAGGGTCCCGGGTTTGATTCCCGTCAAGGGCACATGCCCTGGTTGCGGGCTTGATCCCCAGCAGGGGGCATGTAGGAGGCAGCCAATCAATGATTCTCTCTCATCATTGATGTTTCTATCTCTCCCCCTCTCCCTTCCTGTCTGAAATCAATAAAAATCTATTTTAAAAAAAAAGATTTCTGGAAATATTGAAACCAAAAAGGGGGGGAAAATGGGAGCAGATATGTATGTGTGTTTTAAAGTCATTCTGTTCAAAATGTGTCAGTTATTATAAAGTTGTATTTAAATTTTTGAGTATAATTAGATATCAAGGCCTAAAAAATTATTATTCTAGTACCCTGTTATTCTTCAACAACTTTAATCCAGCCAGCCAACACTTCTTTTTTTAAATTTTTATGTTTTTATTGATTTCAGAGAGAGGAAGGCAGAGGGAGAGAGAGAAATATCAATCATAAGAGAGAATCATTAATCGGCTGCCTCCTGCATGCCCCCTACTAGGGATTGAGCTCGCAACCCCAGACATGTGGGCTGACCAGGAATCGAACCATGACCTGGTTCATGGGTTGAAGCTCAACCACTGTGCCATACTGTCTGGGCCCAACACTTCTTTTTTTTATGTTTTATAGATTTGAGAGAGAGTGGAAGGGAGAGGGAGAGAGAGATAGAAACATCCATGACAGAGTAATATCAGTCGGCTGCCACCTGCACCTTCTCCCCCCCCACCCCCCCCACCCCCCACTGGGGAGGAAACCCACAACCTGAGTATATGCCCTGACCGGGAATTGAACCAGTGATCTCTTGGTTCATGGGTCGACACTCAACCACTGAGCTACTCTATCCAGGCCCAACACTTCTTTTTAAATTAGTTTAACTACATTTTCCTTTATTTAGGTAAACTTTATACCAGTTGACCTACCTCTTCTTCCTTTTTACAGTTCCTTTGTTCAATGAATGAAAAACATCTTGTATTCAAATTCTAGTCTAGAAATACAGCTATGTATAATATTTAAACACCTTGTTTCCTAACTGAAATAAAAAACCTTTGTCACTCTTTCTTAACACATTAAATTTTATTCTGCAGAGGAGAGGGGAGAATACTTTAGAAACTATACCAGAAAAATACTATTATAAAATAAAATTTTATTCTCTTCTGTACATTTCCCAATAAATGATGATCTTTTTTCAGTCATAAGAAAGGCTTGTTATATAATAGGACTGTCTTTAGAGAATGCAATACATAAACCTTGTATTCTATAGAAATAAAAAATTTGGCCTTAAAAAAATATATAATCACTTCTTAGCCTTTTGGCTAAGATCTTGTGTAGTACCTGTTCTTATAAGTGTAAAAAGCATATAAAATTAATTCAGTAGTCCAAATTTTCATTTCTAGACTTAATTTTGAAGGAAAGTTGCGTGGGTTTTTTCTCTTTTATAATCCTAATGTTCCTAAAAATGTGGAGAGTACCTCTTGAATAATAAGTATTGATATATCTCTTTTTCTCCACAGAATGATGACAGACCTAATGCTGTATCAAGTCCACCTACAACAGAAACAGGTAATAGACACAAAGGTGCAGTTCACCACATCAAGATTATAATTCTTTACCAGGATTTTCCTCATAAAGTATTTTTTTTTCAATTACAGTTTACATTCAATATTATTTTTTATTAGTTTCAGGGGTACAGCATAGTGGTTAGACAATCATGTACTTTACAAAGTGCCCTCCCCTCCCCAATATTTAAAGTACCCACCTGGCTGATAAATTACCTCTTAGAGATGAGAAATCAGACACAATATTGGGAACTTTCTGCACATTTAAAATTTTTTAATTCAACTGGTTGTTCAACTATTCAGCCATTTGGTATGAACAAATGAGCATGAGCTAGCAGTGCTATAGGTTTGCAAGCGACTATATTCAATATATTAACGTTCATTCTACCTTTATTGATACACCAAAATAACATGACAATCAAAAATACACACAAGCAGCCTTCCTGCTGTCAGGGTTACTTTTCTGTACCAGATTTTGTATTAACAAAATTATTATCCTTTTATATCATTACCATAATTAATTTGATTTTTTTCATTTATTGAACTTTTGTGATATATGTCTGTTACATATTTAATGATTTTCCATCTCTTTTTATCTAATTTACTCTCTGGGCTGATTTAGTTCATCATTCTCCTGCATATTCTTTTCCTGCTGCTACCCAGAGAAACCAGCCCCAGCGCCCTGAAAGCTTCCTTTTCCGAGCAGGTGTCAGGGCAGAAACAAATCAAGGTAGGAGATAGTGACTAAAGGGGGAGGAGGGAATGCTTTATACAATGACATTTACTGTTACATGCTTTTATTTATTTTTTTTAAATATATTTTTATTTATTTCAAAGAGAAAGGGAGGGGAATAGAGATAGGAACATCAATGATGAGAATCATTGATCGGCTGCCTCCTGCACGCCCCCTACTGGGGACGGAGCCGCAACCCAAGCATGTACCCTTGACCAGGATTGAACCCAGGACCCTTCAGTCCGCAGGCCGATGCTCTATCCACTGAGCCAAACTAGCCAGGGAGCTGTTACATGCTTTTAAACTTCTACCCTAAGATGTCACCTTGGCAAGAGCTTTAGACTCTGCATTTATCTGTAATCTTGCTGACATTAAAGCAGGAGAATCTTGTTTGAACTTGTTGTTTTTAATTTTTCAAGAGAGGAAGGGAGAGACAGAGAGAGAGAAACATCGATGTGAGAGATAACCATCAATTGGTTGCCTCCTGCACTTGTATCAACTGGTGATTGAATGTGCAACCCGGGCATATGCCACAACCAGGAATTGAACCCTCCACCTTTTTAGGTGTACAGGTTGACACTCCAATCAACTGAACCACACTGGCCAGGGCCTGAATTTGTTTTAATTAGAAAGTTTCTTGGCCCTGGCCAGGTAACTCAGTTGGTTAGAGCATCATCCCAAAACACCATGGTTGCAGATTCATTCCCCAGTCAGAATACATCCAAGAAACAACCAATGAATGCATAAATAAGTGGAACAACAAATTGATGTTTCTCTCTCTCTCTCCCTTCCCTCCCCTCTCTCCCTCCCTCTCCCATCCCAACCCTTTCCTTCTCTCCTTTTCTCTCTCTAATGTAAACAGTTGTTGTTTTTTAAAGAGTTTCTTTATACCACCTAAAAGCAGGTTATAGTGTTTGAACAAATAAAATACTTTTTTTAAGGCTTTAGAGAATGTTTCTCTTCTCTACATGAGCTCTCTTTCAGATTTTTTCTTTCTGTGTTCTTAAAGAAATGAATCTGTAATTTTTTTTTATCTAGTCTCTTTTTTGTGTGTGTTTTTTGTTTTTAGTTAATATGAAAAATTTCTGCCTGGTCCTAAAAGAAGTTACTACCTGGAATTAAAAACAAACATTTCAAGTCCAAAACTACCTTTAATATAACTGATAGTTGCACTTGCAGTGAGATTTAAAATCAAACCAGAGACATACTGCTGCTGAGATTGTAAATTAGTATGGAAAACTGTTTACATTATCTACTAATGTTGAACATTTGTATAGCCTATAACTAGCAATTTTACCTTCTGAAATATGTATACATGTATACCAAAAGATATGTACAAAAAGATTCATAGCAACATTTTTCATAATAGCTCCAAACTTAATGTCTATCAGTGATAGAACAGATTAAAAATTGTGGTATATTTATACAGTGGGATACCTTATAAGCAAGGAAGATGATCAGATTAACATACACAACATGGATAAATCTTATAGTGTTTATTATAAGAAGACACAAAAGCATGCACACATAAATATAGTTTCATTCATAGCAAGTTCAAATATGGACAAAACTATTCTGGTGTTAGGAGTCAGGAAGTACATGGTTGGAACCTGTGGTGGTAGAAATAATCTTTGGGTATTGATGATAGCTTAGAGGAGCTTCTGGGTGTTGGTAATGTTGCATTTATTTACCTGGTTGTGTCCACTTTGTGAAGATAATTCATTGAGGTGTTTGCTTATGATTTATGTATAATTTTCTGTATGTGTGTTATTTTTCAATAAAAACATTATGAAGTGGACGTGATTAAGCAAAAGTAGTTCAGCCAAATCGGTAATGGACATTTGTTGGTTTTTTATACTATTCTCACTTTGATTTTGTATATTTGAAAATTAGCATAATGAATTTATTTTTAAGAGTTAATCCAGAAGTAGAAAGTGCTATACTTGAAAGAAAACTGTGATCAGGTGGATCAGAGTATTTTTCCAACACTGGCAAATCACCTTTCTGTCTTACATATTAATATTTTTTTAGGTCATGGTTCAACCCTTCTTTCATCTTCTGAACCTACCACTGATTCTACAGATCCCATAACAAGACAGAATACAAGGCAGAGAGAAGAAGAACTGGAATCAATAGATCAGCTACGGAAAGTGTGTACATTACCTTGAAATTACACTTTTTCATTATAATCCTGTAATCAATTATTTGTGACTTATAATTTTTAACAGAGTAAAGAAGTACCCATTGTATGACGAATGTAAAAGTAATTTTGCTATTAAAATTCAACTGTTTACTAGGAAAATGAGATGGGTTATTCTATAAAGCTTAGTTCTATAAAGCTGGCCCTACTCATTTAAAAATTTTTTCTGCTTCATGTAAGAATTCTTATAAGAGTAATAATAATTTATATGTATATACTCATATACATATCACACATCATTTATAGTATTTATTTTTTTATTTTGGAGTTAAAAGAGAATCTAGTTTTTTTGTTTATTTTTTTTAATCCTCACCTGAGGATATTTTTCCATTGATTTTTAGAGAGAGTGGAAGAAAGGGAAAGAAATATCGATGTGAGAGAAACACATCGATTGGTTGCCTCCTGCACAAACCCCGACCAGGGCCCAGGCCGGATGGAGCCTGCAACTGAGGTACGTGTCCTCGATTGGAATAAAACCCAGGACCCTTTGGAACGCAGGCTAACGCCCTATCCACTGAGCCAACCCTCTAGGGCTAGTTGTTTTTTTAATCAGAAAATTATAAATGAATTTCTCTTGTTTTATTTTGCACCACTATATCCTGACTGCCATATATCTGTAATTGATATCCTTAACCTACTGACTTAGATAGAAGGATAAAATAGGGATTATAAAGTTATTTGTGTTTAGTGATTTCTAATTAAATATATTCATTGTAATTCCATTATGTCCTGTGTGTCAGCCACTCTTCAGTTAATATATTACATGTTTTCCTGTTCTTTTAGCATATTGAGTACCGTTTGAAAGTATCTCTGCCTTGTGATCTTGGAGCAGCTCTAACCGATGGTGTTGTTCTTTGCCATTTGGCCAATCATGTGTGGCCTCGATCTGTCCCAAGTATTCACGTTCCCTCACCAGCTGTAGTAAGTTTATTATGTTAAAAAATGTTGGCTGTTCATCAGACATTTATTAAGTACAATGGCAGGCATTGTGCAGAATGCTAGAGATGCAAATATGAATAGTGCAGTCCCTACCTCCCTACCCTTCTACTAGAGAAGAAAATGGGCACATAGACAATGACTTACAGCAGTGTGCGAAATGTTAGAAGAGAGGTCTGTAAAAGGTGTGCAATAGGAGTACAAAAAATGGATCACTTATTTCTGCCTGAGGAATTCAGTAAGGCCCTTCCAGAAGAGGTAAAATTGTAGGAATTCTGACATAGTATTTCTAGATTTGAAAGATAAGGAAGATCATGGCACATTCAAGGAATTTTAACTTGTTCAGATTGATCCTGCACAAGGTGTGGGTGCAAATGGCAGGATATGTAGCTAGAGAGGTAAGGCAAAGGCCAGCACCTGTTTTTGAAATAAAATTTTATTGGAACACAGTCCCACTTACTTGTTTATATATTATATGTTACTTTCAGGCTATTAACAGAATTGAGTAATTACAACAGATCATATGGCCCTCAAGACTAACATTTATTTGATCCTTTAAGAAAAAGTTTGCTGACTCTGATCTAGAGCATTGAGTTTATAAAGCAACTGGCAAGAATATTTTTAACATTAGCAAAATTTTTAAAACTTTGCTAGTAACATCACATTTTTCTTCCTTTGCAGCCTAAATTGTCAATAGCAAAATGCAGGCGAAATGTGGAGAATTTCCTAGAAGCTTGCAGAAAAATTGGTGTGCCTCAGGTAATAAATTCATCATTTTTATATTGCTTAAATAGATGGTTATTATTTTCCTAAAATCTTTCAGAAATGCAAGTATCTATAACCTTATAGGGCTAGCTTTGAACTAAACCGATCATTACTAACATGATTTTGTGTTCCTAGAGGCAATCAGTATACTTTGAGCATTTTTCCTTAATAATTTCCAAGGACCAAGCAAAAAAATCATACACATATAAATTTATTTATTTATTTATTTATTTATTTATTTATTTACTTTAAATCGTTATTATTGAAAGTATTACATATGTCCCCTTTCCCCCATTAACTCTCTCCAGCTCACCCCCACATATAATTTTAAATGTATTGTAATAACTAATGCTAATAATCAAAAATAGTTATTCTGACATTTTCCTAAATATTCCCACTTGCTCTTTGACTTGTAATACATCTTCATGCATAATAGAGTCTGTGTTTCAAAATAAGTGCATCTTCGATTGAGAATGCTTCAGTGAGTTTCAAGTATTTCACACTTGTAATACTTTTCTTATTTGTTTATTTTGAAATAATTTTAGACTTAGAGAAATGTTGCAAAAATATCTCAGAGAGTTATTGTGTACACTTCACCCAGGTTCCTCTACTGGTAACATCTATATAAACATAGTACGCATCCGGACTAACACACACTGGGACAGTGCTGTTAACTGAATTACAGACTTGGTTCAGATTTCCCTTTTTCCCACCAAGCTCTAATGCTTTGGAATTTAGCATTTAGCACCCAGAGGCCATTTCTAGGCTCTTGTCCTACTATTGAGATTTATTGCCTCTGACTTCTTCAGTCACAGCTTTATTGCCTTTAATAGTGCAAAAAATTAAACTTTATAGATGTGATTAAGGGATATGAACTTGATACACTTTTTATTCATTTTACCCTTTTAAAAACAATTATGTTAAACCAACTAAGCATGATACTCTTTTTTTTAATTTATTTTTTATTTTTATTTTATTTATTTATTTATTTATTTTTTATTGCTTAAAGTATTACAAAGGGTATTACATATGTCTCCTTTTTTCTCCCGCCCTTGACAATCCCCTGGCCTCCCCTACCCCCCAGTGTCTTATGTCCATTGGTTATGCTTATATGCATAAGCATGATACTCTTAAGAAATATAATATTTAGGGAGAGATCAACCAAAGGACTTATATGCAAGCATATAGGCCTAACCAATGGACGCGGACATCGGGGGGGTGGGGGCATGAGCGGGGGATGGGGGTAATGTGGGGATAAGGACACATATGTAATATCTTAAACAATAAAAAAATATATATTTATAAAAAAGAAATTAATATTTAATGAAATTAAATTTATAGAAATAAACAACTTGGTAACATTTTATACTTTTTTTTCATTAACCACAGTCATTACAGTTCCTGTCATCATTTTCTCCTTCAAGGAGAAAAACATGATTCTTCTATCTTCTTAATCAGAAACCCAGTATTGGCCCCCGGATTCAACGATTCCACTCTTTTTCTTGAAGTTAAGCCCTTGTCCTAATAGCTTTCACAACAGTGACTCTTTTTTTACCCAGCTCACCATTCCTGTCTCTTCACTAGCCATGACTTGCGAAGGGTTCAGCATCACTTGTCCAATGAGCAGTTTTCTCTTTCAGCTCTTTCACATGTTGCAAAGTGGAAGAGAAAGAGCTCAGCTCCATAGAGCGTCTGCATTAGTCAATGTGTTTTTTCCTCCTTTTATTAAGTAGATCGTGATTCTACTATGTATTTTTCACTTTTTTCTTTTGTGTTTATTTTTTAAGAATTACAAAATGAAAGAATTGAAATATGTTTGGTGGTAGTTAGCAAGGACCTTTAATTGCTATATGAACAAATTCAAAAATTTTTTCCATTTTCATATCATAGTTTCCTAAAGGCTCATCATCTCATAGAACAAACCTTTTTTTAATGTATTAATAAGTTTTCTAAACGAATAGCATGCATTTTCTCCAAATTAACAAGCAGGTTCTAATACTCAGATGTTCACATTAACATTCAATGCTTCCTTTTTGTCTACTGAATATGTTCCTACCTGGTCATCACATTACACAAGCATGCCCAGTACCTGCCCGCTTACATACCATCATGTCCTGAACAAAAGAATGTCATGGGTTGGCACAGGGAATGGCAACCAGAGAAAAGATATGAGTGATTAAAGAGAGCATACATAGAGGAATGCGGAAAACAGCCCTAAACAGCAAGACATGTTAGTAGCATTAACCTATGTCAAGCCTGTTGAAAATACTGTGTTTACCAGTGTTTATAGTCATGGGACCTGTATTCTGGGCTTTATGGAACCATCATCTACCTCAAATTTAAAGTGCATACACTGAAATTCTTCAGAATGTACCTGCAATCAGCGAAATACAGTGCCTTAAAGCATGCATTTAATTCAGCATTTGCCAAGCAGTGAATAGTATTTATTGTGGGCCAGGTTGTCCCTATTCATACCAGAACTGTGCTATTTGAAGTCAGGAGGTAGAAAGCAGTATAATTTTAAAATACTGGATGGTTAGAAAGGGTTTCTTAACATATCCTTCCTCTCCCTCACTTCCCCACCTGAAGGGGGAAATGGACATTCCACATAGGCCACCTCTTCCTCTCCTCTGCCTCTACTCTCTACCACCACTGCCACCACCACCACCACTTTTAGATGGGTTCCTGTTATGCTGCAACTTCTGCTAAAAAAAAAAAAAATGAGTCATTTGCTTAGAACAAAGTGAAGGAAAATGAATGAATATACAAACTCATAGGTTCAAACTAGCATTCTCAGGTCCTTCTGCTAAGAAGGAAAGAGAAAGCCTTTGCCTCCTCTTCCTCGGTTTCCCCTGCTTCTGGGCGCTCTGAATTACTGCACATCCCCATTTATCTGTTTGACTTGTAAAGAAAATTGGGGATGTAAAAATGATCACCTTTGAAATTGTATAATGTAAAATTTAATATTATAAATATTAATATCAGATTCTATGTATAAAAGGCAATTTCCCTTCTCAATATAATTTTAAGTGTTTACAAGGTAAGTTATGAATAAAATATTAAAGAATAAGGTGACTATGCCCTAACCGGTTTGGCTCAGTGGATAGAGCGTCGGCCTGTGGACTCAAGGGTCCCAGGTTCGATTCCAGTCAAGGACATGTACCTTGGTAGCAGGCACATCCCCAGTAGGGAGTGTGCAGGAGGCAGCTGATCGATGTTTCTCTCCCATCAATGTTTATAACTCTCTATCCCTCTCCCTTCCTCTCTGTAAAAAATCAATAAAATATATTTTTTTTAAAAAGAATAAGGTGACTATTAAAAACTTCTGATAAGATTGGGCATGTGGGTATTCTTTTTATTACTTTGCTTTTATTAGATATGTTACATTTGAAAAACTAGTGGGTGATAAAAATTTCTATGTGAGTTCAATATCTTGTGTACTAAAATTATTATATGTTATGTGTTGAGTATTTTCTTGCTATCACGTCCAACGATATATTTACTTATTTAATTTCTTCATCTATGAACTGGAGGGTTTGGGTTATCTCTGAGACCTTTGTGGTGTAGCTTCATTTTGCACATATTAGTGAAGACTTGATTAAGATGGGCTTGCCTTGGTTTTAGAGGAATACCAAATCATCCAGTATACCTGACCAGCTAGTGAATTTCTCTGATTATTAGGCTTTCCTCCTTTTTGAACCTTCTCAATTTACCTGGCTTTCTCTGAAAACTTCTTTCTCCTCAGCCTGCTCCCAGGTTTTGTCCATGTTTTCTGAGAAACCTATTTTTTTTTGTTACTGAGGAAGAATGAGATCTGAGAAAGAGGTTCCCTCACGAACCCTCACTGCTCTCAGGCCTCCCTCAGCCAGCAGCCAGTGCTGTTCATTGTATCCTGAATGTTCACACCAGTCACCATTCCAGCCAATTTTATTCTGCTATTTTGTAGTAAAATCAAACTCAGCACACAGAGGTGTCTTTGTAGCTTTGTTTTTCAGCATTTTTTTTCATTCGTCATAATAAAAAATGTTAGATGTGTTTCCGTGAGAATGATTGTGAGATGATCATATTGAATTCTATACTCAAATCTGTATTTCCGATCCACTGACTTTGTTTTTCTGTTTCCTTTCCTGCTCACACTTTGGACAGGACAATCTTTGTTCCCCTTCTGACATCCTTCAGCTAAACCTCAGCGTTAAAAGAACGGTTGAAACACTACTTTCTCTTGGGGCACATTCAGAAGAATCCAGTTTTGTCTGTCTGTCTATCCAGCTTTTGGGTTTTGTGGCATTTTATTGTATTTTAATGTTAACTCTCTGTATGCTTTATTACTGGACCTTCCCCCTCTAGCTGGAAGATTGCATTCCAGTGGTTTTTCACCTCATTCCTGGGCTTGGTCAAGGAGGTTTGTTTCTCATTCAGAAATATTTACATATGTGCTTTTATTTTCCTGGCCATCGAAGAATTAACCCCTAAAGTAGATAAATCCTTTCCTCATATGTCCAGATGAGCAGCCCATCGCGTTAGTCAGTAAGCATTTATGGAGACTAACAAAGAGTAAAAGACCAGCATTTTTTCTCCTGATTATTCATCCATTCTCCTGGCCTGTGGCCTTGTTTCTGTTAAGTGCTGAAGTGTTTCTACTAACACAGTCTTGAGCCTGTCTTAGAATATGACTAAGAACTCTAGTTCCAAAGGACATAATAACATTCCCATCAGGCTGTTTTCCGTGCCTGACACACTTTTCAGTGTTGAAATTGTGAGTTGCCGAACCTCTTTAACAGATGCTCATACGGAAAATAGCTGTGCCCTTTCTGGTTTGTAGGGCCTGTGCTCACTTAAATCTCTGCACTGAACTGTGCCCTGAAGTCTCCCTTTGGCTGTCTGGGCATCTGGAAGGCACTAGTTATTTAACCTTAATAATTTTAATTTGATCAGCATGGTCAGTCCAAAATCATGTAGCTTCTCTAGATTGCTATTCTGAGCCTAGTGTATACATTTTAAACAGTACACAACAAGCAAGTGATCTAGAGCTGACTTTGCAGGGGTAGGCAGCTGTCCAGATTTACTATGTGTTTATCTTTAATTGAGCTTCATTTCTAGAATCCTATTGAGAATTTAAAATCAGAATTTATGTAATTCCCAATACCATTTGAACCATCTTAATAGGTGAACTTGTATTTATAGGCTGTTGAGGAGATTGTATCTGAACAGTAGGTAAAGTATTAGGCAGCAGTCTCTGTTCTGTACCCAAGGCAATGAATAGAGTCGTTTTAGAACATCCTGTAGAAGTCAGCCTGGAGGTTTGATTGCTTTCAGTTTCTTCTATATTAAATGAGACAGTTACTTACAACATTTAAAACTGTTTACTGTTGGTGCTGAAACATTGAACACTGTGTTGGAAACTTTAGTTTAAATAGTAGTAGTGCCTTCCAGAGTTTGGGGGAGGGGAAGTGTCAGATGTTTCTGAGTCAGAGATCATTCAGTTCTGTGGAATTTTTTCCTTTTGAAAAAATACCTGATAAAAAACACATTGTCTCGTGTGTGGTTTGAAGGGCGTAATTGTGCATTCTTTTCGGAACACATGGTTTCTCTGGGCCAGCTGGAAGGTAACTGTGCATCTGGAAAGCATAGCCTCTGAGGACATGTGTCAGTCACATGGCGCACAGGCCGTAGGGCACTCAGAGAAGAGATCAGGGAACTGGCCTCAGAGAGACTAGGTCTCTGCCAAGAGCAAAACCCTGAAAGTTCATTTTAAGTATAGATAGCCTATACATGCAGTTGTACTCAAAGTATTTATACAAAGTTGATCATTTAAAAGAGCAAAAGATTGCAGTTACCTTTTTCTTTTTTATCGGGTATTTTTTTAAAAGAAAGAAGCATATAAGGACCAATAATTGCTCAGTATTATTGCTATATTTTTTATTGCAACTGACTTTGTAAAACTTCCTAATATAGTAAGTGTTAATGAAAAGCTGAGAAAAGTTCAGTTATCTTTTTTAATAAGTATGTATAATTTCTTTTTAATGAAACCAGAATTCCACTTTCTGTCCAGTTTCTTCCCATAATCCCTGCCTGGTATGAAAGCCCTGGTTTTCACAATCAGGACTGTAATGCAGAGAGTAGGCATCCCACTAGTGCAGCCTGAGTGATGGCATCAATAATCTCACATTCCTAGTGTGTGTGATGTCCAAAGTGCTTTCTCCTACAGGCTAAGCCATCTGGTATAACTTGTAATCTTTTCTCTTTCACCTGCCTGGTTTGACTAATTTACATTGCTCTTTTATTTATCAGAGATAAAGATGTTGCTTTCACTCCATAGTATTCTGCTTATCCTGTTGTTTGTGTAAGTGTATGTAACATGTCCATTTTCCATTTTGCAAAACAATCTTATGTATTGTTAGTTGTGTTAATAAAGTGATAGTGTCAGATATCATCTCTGTGTACCTCATATTAACAGAGGTCATTTTCCCAGGTACTGACTTTTCACATCTCAGTTGATTATTATTATTAGAGAAGAGATGCTTATTTTTTTTTCTTTTCAGTTCTGTGATGTTCATCCTACTTTCTTTTGTGTTTGTTTTTATGTCACGTTTTCCCATTTCAGGAGCAATTATGTTTGCCTCTCCACATTTTAGAAGAGAAAGGTTTGAGCCAGGTTGCAGTGACGGTCCAGGCTCTCCTGGCACTCGCCCCACCCAAGCAGCAGCAGCACCAGTTATCTGCTGTTTAAGGACTCCCAGCACTCCGGGTATTGCCTGGCCAAAACGGAACAGGACAACACCATCACGCTGCCAGCCGTCTGCTTAAACAGAGCTCTAACATGTTCTTAAAAGGGACTGTTTCCATGATTCCTAACAGGAATATTTTGCTTCATTTCTCCATTTTAGGGGAGGTTATATCCATTTCCATTGAATTGTTTTTGAAGACCCGGTTGGTTTTCACAAATGAAATGTAATCCTGTCATTGCTGAGAACCAACACTGATGCCTAACCTGGCTATGCTTTCCTGGAGCGAAGGGTTTCCCCGCACACCAGAGAGCTCAGAGGATAGTTCGCTCTCCTGAAGGCACAGACAGGCTGTTACCTTACCTGTTCCCAAGACGTCTAGCGCACTGGTTTCTAAACGTGGTTGTTCAGTAGAGTCTCCTGGAGCATTTGCTAACATACAGGTCCTATTCAGTAGAGTCTAGTATGGCCTGGATATTTGCATTTTCAACAAACATTCCAGGTATTTCATGTAATAGACACAACCGTTCCAAGCTAGATATTTGTATGATTGGGGGAAGTAATGACTCCACTGTTTTTCAGCCACATTTAAAATCAAAAGCTATATGATGACTACTTGGACTTTTTGTCCAAGGCAAAACAAAAAATGTAGAAGGCCTAGATTTTGTATAGTAAAACAATGGAACAAAGTTGTATTTAAGCCCAGTGTCCTAGGCCCTGGACTGTTCCAAATCCTCGGGCCAGTAACCTGCGCTAAGCAGCATTTGCTTTGACTTCCTTGAGCCCCCCCTCCCTCTTCAGCCCCCATGCTGCGCCCAGAATCCCTGGGCCTGCCAACACCTTCCAGTCACAGCAGTACACTTCCAGCTCCCCGACTAATGGAAGACCATGAAAACAAAGCAGAAGGAATAAGGGAACAGCCAAGAGTCTTCTCTTTCTTTCAGGTAACTGTCAGTTCCAGTGGCTGAACTAAAGCGCTTGCGGCATCTTAAAAACAGCTGGCTGCCTTTTCATCCCGCTCCACCACTAGTGCCTGTTCCCCCAATTGTGTGGAATAGAAGGGCCCGAGGTCTCTGCAGCACAAAGCCAGGGGCCGCTATCTAAGCCTCTGGGGGGAGTTTAACCCTCGTGAGTCTTTCTTCCTCTATATTTTGAACCCTTTTTAGTTGTCGGTGGTATGTTTTGGTCACTGTCTTTATAAACCAAGTAAATAGCATAAGTGAAAATACTAATTATCTAGGGTTTTTTTTTCTGTTGTTGACTATTCTGGGTTTTCTTTACCAATGCATGCATTTGAGCATAATGTTCTCACTCTTTTTATCATGTAAACGCAGCATCTAAAAGTAACTTTGGATAAAATAATGTTTAGTATCTGATAAATCAGTGTTTTCTACTGTTCTCATAAGGAAACAAGTTCATCAGAACATTACCACTAGTCCTAGTTTAAAATTATATAACACAGAACATCTGCACTCAAAGCCCAATGCTTAGGGTCCTCACAGAACAAAGTAAAATGTCTCTTAAGTGCTTAGAGCCAGACCCATTAACAGTTCCAAACACACCCACCAATCATGTGACTTGTTTAGAATTTAGTTACATGTATTTTTAAACTATAGGTATTTTTCCTTCTAGTCAACGTTAAACCTCAGTACTACTTCCAAATCATAGCGAGCCATTTGAATGAAACTCAGCAAAGGACAGGACTCTGTCACATATTATGCAAGGAATAATCCCAGAAGACATACCTAATGCAACATTCAGAACATTTGCAACTAATTTTCCCAGAGGAATAAATGGAAATTTTAATTTATTTCAAATTTTACACATAGCATGAAACCTGTTAATGTGTTTTTATCAAATTTTACATTTGAATTGCTAGAAAAAAATTGTACAGTTTTTGTTGATGATGAAAGGAAAATATCAAATGTATTGAATTTCTTTTCTGTGTCAAGATGAGAAAACAAATCATGATTTTTTTTGTTGAAAATTATTTGTATTCAGTATTTTATTTGTACCTTTGGGTTTGTTTTTGCTTTTTATTTTAAGCCTTATTGAGGTAAAATTTATATGTCACAAAATTCTGTTGCTTTATAGTAATGTGCAATTTTTTAAGTTGTACCTTTGTTTTTTTTAACTGAAAAATACGGTTTAACATTTAGCCTTGCCAGATACTAATGAAGATGACTTTGTAACAGTCCCACCTAACCATTTATTTATGAACTTCCTATTGAAGCAGCAACCTTCCCAGTGCTGAAGTGTGAAGGAAGAAAAGGCTGTGCCCACCCACCTGGGCCCTGCCAACTACAGGGATTGTAAGTCAGCGGGTTTCTGGACTTTCAAACTCATAAATGCTCGGCACTCCAAACCATTTTTCTCTGGAAACAACTCGTAGGAGGAGGAGGCTTACTAGTAGGTCACTTTTCTTTATAAAAATACAGTCTTACAGCCAATCAAGGAATCTGATTTCTCTTAGTTGCTATTGCTCAGCAGTGACGAATGATGTGCCTATGCTGATGAGTGTGATGAATTTTTAAAAACTAAGCACTTAAATGGTTATAGAAATGAAGGAAAACATGGATATTTTGAAGGTTTTTTATATACATATTGCAGTGAGATGGTTTACAGCAGATTTTATTTCTGAAAATGTTGTAAACATGTAATTAGTAAAAGAATTTGTGAAATGTTGTCCTATATTTGTATGTCTGTAAATATGATGCGTAAGTTCTAACTATAAATATGTCAATATCATGTATGTTATTTTAAATTGCCTGTATGCCACCTTACACTTCCACATTAAAATAAAAACCAACACTTCAATAGCATGAGATAAAGGCTGATTGGAAATGTTCTTATCTAAAGCATGGTTTCCTTGGCAAAAATGAAAGCGTATCTAATTTCCCGAAGGAATGTCAGGTCAGGAGAAGCTGGGTTCTCATAATGGCCCTGAAGATCAGAATGTGCTGTAAAGAGGAAGCATGGAAATCAGTAGTGCCCTGTGTTTGGACTTGGATATAAGGTTTTTTTATTAACACATGAAATATATGTGACTCTTTGAGACAATTTTTTTCTCTCAGAAACTACCGGTTGTGCCATTGGAAAAGCTTTAACATCCCAAGACATTCTATTTTGATTAAGCAGAACATGAATGACGCAGCGGGCTCATTCTTTTTTAGGGAAGAGGGAGGATGACCAACAATCAGCTTAATGTTGCAGGCACAGGTTAGGTATTTTCACATGCTTTGTCTCTTAGTCTTAATACCCCTTAAGGGGAGAATTGTTGAGTAAGCAAAATAGGTATAGACCCTAGTGTCTCAATTATCAAAAATATCTCCAAACTAGTCTTCCAGGGAACCTGTGTCCCCCATCTTTACCTGGTTGGGTTATGCTATCTCATTTCTATCATTTCTGGGAAATGTAAATTATCCTTACCTACTTCCCAGAAAAGGAGCTGAAGCTAAACCACCATCAGCCCCTAATAAAAACACTAAAGTGATGATAAATCTAAAAGGCAGGAAGGAACCAACCTTTAATAAAACTTCACTACATATGTATATTATGCTGGACACTTTATAAACATCATCTGGTAATTCCTATTGAACACTTCACTTTTGCTCATAGAGCATTTTCACTATCGACCAATTGAATAAAATCAGAATCAGAGACATATTACAGGAATTACTGAAGTTTTAATGCATTACTCCTAACAGCCTGAGTTTTTTCCTGGTAAGAAAGGGCAAGAGGAATCTTCACAAGGCTCCTACAAAGACTTCCCAGCAAAAAATTTTCAAGATATGAACAAGCCCTGAATCAATGCTATAATCTTAATTTCATGGTTTAAAACTGATATAATAGGCAAAGTGAAATAACCAGGCCGCACCTGGGAATGTCCAAATCAGAAACTACCTGTAGATGAGTTATTTGATGATAATGTTTCTTATTCCCTTCAAGTCCTTCCCACCTTCAGAATGCCAGAGGAAAAGACAGAAGATACTTGGTCATTATCTCTTGCTTCTCTGTCTGTCTTTGCCTCTACCTTTACCTTTTGAATTCTTGCCATCATCTTTATCCTTCCTAGGCAATCTGAAACCACCAATTTCATTCCGTACTATAATGCCTCGCCACCAGGCCTGGAGCTGGAAGAGAAAGGGGAGTGGGAACAATTTATAGTGCCTGACAAGCTGCATTCTTCCTACATAAGAGATTGGGTTTTAATAAAGTAACTTGTATCTGAAGAATGGACTGAGAAATGGGTGTGCCAAGCATGCCCTCCCTACAGCAATGCTCCCCAGTTGTGCAGGACCCGGAGCTTAAGCCATGGACTCTGAAGTTCTCAAGGAGTAAAAATAAAAGGAACCTTTTTCTTACACTTAGAAACCTGACTCCATTGTACTTCTCTTTACAAACATACTTTTCCATCTTACAACCATTTGATCCAAGTTTAAAATGTGCAGGTAGCCCTAGCCCGTTTGTCTCAGTGGATAGAGCGTGGCCTGCAGACTGAAGGTCCCGGGTTCTATTCCGGTCAAGGGCACATGCCTGGGTTGCAGGCTCAATCCCCAGTGTGGGGCGTGCAGGAGGCAGTCGATCAATGATTCTCCCTCATCATTGATGTTTCTATATCTCCTCCCTTCCTCTCTAAAATCAATAAAAATATATTTTTAAATAAATAAAATGCAAATAATCTAGATGATTTTAACAGACTTCTGGTGCACTTCATATCTTTAATGATTGATTAAAAGATCAATACTCATTTTCAAAAAGTAAGCCTTGCATATCTTAGTCATTAGAGACAACTGTTCTGGGCTACTTTAAAATCACACTCAGGCCCTGGCCGGTTTGGCTCAGTGGATAGATCAGGGGTCCTCAAACTATGGCCCACGGGCCACATGCAAATACAAATATTGTATTGTTCCTGTTTTGTTTTTTTACTTCAAAATAAGATATGTGCAGTGTGCATAGGAATTTGTTCATAGTTGTTTTTTTAAACTATAGTCCGGCCCTCCAACGGTCTGAGGGACAGTGAACTGGCCCCCTGTTTAAAAAGTTTGAGGACCCCTGGGATAGAGCGTTGGCCTGAGGACTCAAGGGTCCCGGGTTCGATTCCGGTCAAGGACATGTACCTAGGTTGCAGGTACATACCCAGTAGGGAGTGTGCAGGAGGCAGCTGATTGATGTTTCTCTCTCATCGATGTTTCTGACACTCTATCCCTCTCCCTTCCTCTCTGTAAAAAATCAATAAAAAATATATATATTTTTAAAAATCACACTCAGCCCTAAAGACTGAAAACAAATCCACCAGCAAAAAAAAAAAAAAAAAAAAAGGTGGCCTTCCACTAGTTCTTAGGTTTTTGCTCTCAGTCAAGGAATCCTGACAAATAGAAAACACCATAGGAGCTCAATAAATACTAACTGTACATATGACTCTCCTAATGGAAAGCTCAAGTTTGGATTTGGTTACCTGGTCCTGAATGCATGTTAAAGCTTTTTAAAAAAATATATTTATATTGATTTCAGAGAGGAAGGGAGAGATAGAAACATCAATGATGAGAGAGAATCACTGATTGTCTGCCTCCTGCACACCCCTTACTGGGGATCGAACCTGCAACCTGGGTATGTGCCCTTGACTGGAAACAAACCTGGGACCCTTCAGTCTGCAGGCCGACACTCTGTCCACTCAGCCAAACCAGCTAGGGCTAAAGCTTACTTTTTTAATCCACCCCTAATACATATCCCAAACTACAGCCTGCATATTATTCTATCTCCACAGGTACTCCTCTTTCAGAGACAAGGACGATCCTCAAAACAAGTTTCAGTTCAGTTGATGTTATTTTTGCTTGATATTTCCTAGAATCTGACCTGCCAGTTAAAGCATCACGAATATATAGACATTCATATAAAATCAAAACTTTTTTTGTCTAAACTTACCCCCTCTACCTTTTTTGAAAACGGCTCTCATCAGAATCTGGCAGATAGCCTGGGCTAACTTATAAACAGGACTTTCAGAAGCAGTATAATATTAGAACTCTGTCAAGAGCTGTTTTGGTTAGCCCGGCTTGTATGGCTCAGCTGAGCTTCATCCCATGCACCAATTCAATTCGTGGTCTGGGTTTTGGGCTTGATCCCCAGTAGGGAGTGTACAGGAGGCAGCCAATGGATGTTTCTCTCTCTCCCTCTCCCTTTCTCTAAAAATCAATAAAAACATTTTTTAAAATATTTTTTGGTTAGAAATAGTATCCTTAAATTTGACCTCTGGGCACAAATTCTAGGTTTTGCTTCCCCTGCTAAGCCACCTCCTTTTCCCTGGATTAAAGTTGGAGGAATGGCTTTTTCTGTTAGCTGTCTCCCTGCACCACCGACTGTAGGCCATGTTTCCTCACAGATCTCCTGTTCTGAGTTTGATAATAAATGAGAGGTATTTTGCATTCCTCAACGGTAAGCCAGATGTAGAATTGAAGGGACCCCACAAAGACAATTACGACTTTCTACCTTTACGATGCTCTTTAATTCCAAGAGAGACTGCTCTACTTGCTTCTTGTTCTTCTCCTTTTCTATACGATCTTCAATGATGACGTGTTCATACTCCCTTATCTGCAAAAGTAAACATTAATTATGGTACAGTACTCTTGGCTAAGCTGTGGCCCAGCCAGCCCTGCAGTTTTGATAAAATTTAAACTAAAGCATGCCAAATCTAAAGATAAGCCAAAGGAAAAAATACTTACTGGATTCCTATATTATAAATATGCACATATTAACTTCATAATTGTTCCCACTTGTTTTTCAGTTTGAATAACTCAAATTTACCTGAAAATATTTCATAAAAATGAAATACTAACATGGGATTAATGACCTCAAATTAATGTAGTGTTTTAAGAGCTGTGATAGAATGTACACATGAAGCCATAATTAGAAGCATTTTGGAAATCATAATTCACTTTATGGTCTTCAGAGACCATAAAGTGGAAATCTCAAGAGGTGGTTATGAGGGTCAAATTAAGTTCTACTAGTGTATGTGCAATACTAGTAAAGCGCCTAGGACAGAGTAAGCACTGAGTGTTAGCACTGCTCTTGTTGCCCCCACCATCAATGTTGTTGCATTGTCATCGCTATTATCATGATCATTGAAAAAGAATCCTATGGCCCAGCCAGTGTGGCTCAGTGGTTGAGTCTCAACCTATGAACCAGGAGATCATGGCTCGATTTCCAGTCAGGACACATGCCCAGGTTGCGGGCTTGATCCCCAGGGGGAGGCAGGCAGGAAACAGCCAATCAGTGACTCGCTCTCATCATTGATGTTTCTATCTCTCCCTCTCCCTTACTCTCTGAAATCAATAAAAATATATTTAAGAAAAAGATGGTTTACATCTTCACTTTGTGACCAAAAATAGCATTACCCCAGCTACTGTAACTTAGCTCCACCCACTCCTCAGTGCTCAGCCTTAACTCTTGAAACTCTGCTTCCTTACCAGCCTTGCAAGGTCTTGAAGGCGTGTTAAGTCACTGGCTTTAGCAGATTTGAGAGCATTCAGTTCATTCTGTTTCATTTCTGTGTCCTTATCATATTTCTCCATCCAGAACTCTAGCTTCTCCTCAAGTTTCTATTTGGAAAGAATATTAAATCATGGCTTCTACCAGACACAAAAAAAATCACTTATATAAAGTTCAAGAACAAGCAAAACTTTTCCATAGTGATAGAAGTCAGAATTGTGGCTATTTCTGGAGGAGGGTTGGTTTATTGATGCAATGGGACATGAGGAAGACTTCTGGTATGCTGTAAATGTTTTCTTTTTGATTGTTGTTGTTAATCCTCACCCAAGGATATTTTCTATTGATTTTTTAGAGAGAGTGGAAGGGAGGGGGAGAGACAGAGAGAAACATTGGTGTGAGAGACACCTTGATTGGTTGCCTCCCACATGCACCTGGACTAACTGGGGCCAGGGGTCAAGCCTGCAACTGAGGGATGTGCCCTTGACTAGAATTGAACCTGGGACCCTTCAGTCCGCAAGCCAATTCTCTATCCACTGAGCCAAACTGGCCAGGGCTGTAAATGTTTTCTGTTTCTCTATCTGAGTGCTGGTTACAGGAGCATATATATGTACATATTCATCAAACTACTTAATATTTATGTTATTTATATATTAGTGTTATTTATGTTATTGATATTTATGTTATTACTGAATTTAAAAATGAGCAAGAGGGCCTTTTCAGTGTCTGGATAAGAGAAGTTGCAATGAAAAGGAAAGGAATAAAAGGTCGATAGAAAATTCTGAAGGGTAAGGAATGTCATCAGACATTTCTTTGATTGAGAACACTAAATATTAGTTGAGAAGGGTGCAATGTCTTCAAAACTCTAAAACATAATAATGTGAATCTAATATTCTATACCTAGCCAACCAAGCATTTGAATATAGGGAAAGAATTACCTAGTCTTTCTGAAAGAGTTACTCAAGAATGTACTTTAGCAAAATAAAATGAGAGATGTACCAGAAATGGGAGAGAAACCAGTACAATATATATTTAAAAGCCATTTAATGTACTTGTTAATAATAAATGAGAATATGGAATTGAAATCTTCAATTGGGCACAAACAGGCTCTGAAGCCACGTTGCCTAGGTTCAACTTGCAATTGTGGCACTCACATAAGTCTACTTAAATTCCCTAAACCTCAGTTCCCCATCTATAAAATGGAAGTATATAATGAATGGTTTCAATATGGGGTGTAGGAGAGGAAGAGAAGTAAGAGAAAGCTTTGCCCTAATAAAAGAAATAGCTTGGCTGTTGTGGTTCAATGGTTGAGCATGAACCTATGAACCAGGAGGTCATGGCTCGATTTCCAGTCAGGGCACATGCCCAGGTTGTGGACTCGATCCCCAGTAGCGGGTGTGCAGTAGGCAGCCAGCCAATCATTCTCTCTCATCATTGATGTTTCTATCCCTCTCTTCCTCTCCCTTCTTCTCTCTGAAATCAATTTTTTTAAATAGCAAGAAATATAGATATTGATTAACTCTACCCTTAGAGAAAGAATCAAGTACGCATATGTATGTTAAAAATATAAGGGTTACCACTGCAAGAACAGAATGTATGTATAACTTCCAAACTTCTACAGTGTGTACCACAAGAATGAGACATCAAGTGGAACATAGATATGGAATTTTTTAGAAAACATGACTCACATCAATCATTCTAAGTTAGAGAGAAATGTCAGTTTGGCTAAAGCTAGCTAAAATGTAATAACATCATTTAGTATTTATCATATTTCTGTTTACATTAATTTGTATAGCAAATTATATTGGTTTTCCTCTTACATAATTATATTAAAATCTTAATTGAAAATAAAATTTTTAAAAATGCAGCTATGCTCGGTCAGCATAGCTCAGTGGTTGAGCATTGACCTATGACCCGGGAGGTCCCAGTTCAATTTCCAGTCGGGGCACATGCCCGTGGCGGGCTCGATCCCCAGTGTGGGGTGTGCAAGAGGCAGCCTGTCAATGATTCTCTCTCATCATTGATATTTCTCTCTCTCTCTCCCCCTCTCCCTTCCTCTCTGAAATCAATAAAAATATATTTTATAAAATAAAATAAAAATCCAGCTATGTGCTGTTATAGAAACCACAGCTAAAACAATATAATCAAAGCAAAAGTAAAGCAGGTTTAGCCCTTGCCAAGGTGGCTCGGTTGTGCAGCAAAAGGTTGTGGGTTCGATCCCCAGTCGGGCACATAGAAGAATCAACCAATGAATGCATAAATAAGTGGAACAATAAATTGATGTTTCTGCCTCTCCCTTCCTCCATCCCTCCCTGTCTCATTAATAAATAAAAAAAATTAAAAAACACTGACAGGAAAATAATAGAATTGTTCAATAAAACCAAAAGGATAACTACAGAAATAAAGGAACATTATATTTTATTTTATTTTATAAGTTTGATTTTTTGTTTTGTTTTTAATCCTCACCCGAGAATATTTTTTCATTGATTTTTAGAGAGAGTGGAAGAGAGAGAGAAAGACAGAGAGAAAATATTAGTGTGAGAGAAACACATAGATTGGTTGCCTCCTGCACACACCCTGACCAGGGCCCAGGCTGGGGAGGAACCTGCAACAGAGGTACATGCCCTTGACCGGAATCGAACCTGGGACCCTTCAGTCTGCAGACTGACGCTCTATCCACTGAGCCAAACTGGTTAGGGCTAAAGTAACATTTTAAATTGTAAGAGACTATAGTGCACAGCTTTATACTAATAAATTTGAAATGAATGTTTAGATAAAATGGATTATTTTCTAGGAAGATAGTTACTAAAAATGACTCAGAAAGAGACTTTTTAAAGGGAAGGCATCAATAATCATTAACTGATTGTAATAGTAGCCAAATATCTCCCCTATAGAATGACATCCAGTGCTCGCTCGGCAGCACATATACTAAAATTGGAACGATACAGAGAAGATTAGCATGACCCCTGCTCAAGAATGACAAGCAAATCTGTGAAGCGATTCCATTTTTTTAAATAAATAAAATAATATCCAGACAAGATTGTTTATGACTGAATTTGACTAAAGTTTCAAAGAACAAATAATATATTTTGTTCTATTTATATTTTTAGATTTCAGAGTATAAGAAGATAGAAAGCTCCCCAACTCAAGCTGCCAAGCTAGCATAACTGAGAGCAATACAACAAAGAAACACCAAAAACCAAATCATCTATAGGTTAATTTTGTTTGTGGAATATATAAATACAAAATAAAAATATACAAATAAATTATAAGGTTTAGCCCAAGAATATAAAGATGATTCAACTCAACAAATCTATTAGTATATTTTATCAACATATTGAAAGAGAAAAAATAATATCTCAGTGGATAAAAAAATCCATCTCATAAAGTTGAATACTGTACTCATCCTGGAAATCTATTCCCTTCTGAGGTACACTTATCTGAGTTATCTGTTCTCCCCAGAACTTGCTGAGAGTTGACCCTAGTTGTGGATCCATGGGCTATAGAGGTGATTGTGCTAGGTCTTGAGAGTAAGCATCCTTTTTCAAGGCATCTGCCTCAGATGAAGTTATTATCACAGGATTTTCAGGGAAGAGACAACTGGTCTCAGACACAGGGGTGTGCAGTCTAATTCCACTGGCAAGGCAGTGACTTAGGGTCTCAAGATTGTCAGTATGTATCAGAGTCCAACCAGCTATTCCCATTCCAAGTTTCTGGGTCCCATTCTCTCCCAATGAATGCCCTCAGTTGCTCATGAGAAACATGACATGACTATCTACTCATGTGACTGAAATTCCGTTAAAACCAATAATAGAAAAATGGTGGCCCCGTATCACTACTATTAGTCAACATTACACTTGACATTCTATCTATAAAAGAAACCACAAAATGGAGATAGACGTAAATAATGAAAAGGAAAATATAAAATTGTTACTATTTGCAGTCAATAACATCTTCTACCTAGAAAACAAATCAACTGAAACCATTAAAATGAATATGAGAGGACATAAGGAATCTAAAAGCAATATACCAAAATAGTCTTCCCATACACCATGCACTTAGAGACATGTCCAAGAATGTTCAGCATTGTTTTAACAGAAAAAGTCAGAAACTGACAGAAGAATGGTTAATTAAATGTTGGTATAGCTTGTGTATGGGATATTATACAGCAGTTGTACTGACAAGGAAAACATTAAAGACAAGGTAAGTAAATAAATAAATAGGGTCTACAACAATATACCTAGTATGACCCCATTTACTTTAAAAACATGTAAATAGATACACATAAAAGTATGTCTATTAAAAGAAAAAGATGTGGAAGAAATGTTTTTTAAGAAGGGGAGTGATTAAGAGAGCTTTCACCTTTGAAACTATATATTTCTGTCCTAATTGGTTTTGTTCAGTGGTTAGAGTATTGGCCTGTGGACTGACGGGTCACAGGTTTTATTCCAGTCAAGGGTATCTACCTCAGTTGCAGGCTTGACCCCCAGCCCTGTTCAGGGCCATTCCTGCAGGAGGCAACCAATAGATGTGTTTTTCTCACCTCTCTCTCTCTCTCTCTCTCTCTCTCTCTCTCTCTCTCTCTCCTCCCGACCCCCCACCTCCATCCTCCCTTCCACTCTCTCTAAAAATCAATGGAAAAAAGATCCTCGGATGAGGATTAACAACGAATATATATATATGTAATTTCTGTACTGTTTCATATGTTTCATTAACAAGTATTTATGTACTGCTTGTGTTATTGGGCTGAAGATCTGGGCAACACTGACTTCATCCACCCATCGTTCACTTAATCTACTAGCTCATCTGATTGTTATGCCTGCTGTGTCTAACATTTGAAACAGGTAAAATGATACATAATTCTCTCTTTTTTAAAAATATATTTTATTGACTTTTTACAGAGAGGAAGGGAGAGGGATAGAGAGTTAGAAACATCGATCAGCTGCCTCCTGCACACCTCCCACTGGGGATGTGCCCGCAACCAAAGTACATGCCCTTGACCGGAATCAAACCTGGGACCCTTCAGTCCACAGGCCGACGCTCTATCCGCTGAGCCAAACTGGTCAGGGCAATACATAATTCTTAAATTGCAGGTTACAGGACCCTGATTCTAATAACCTACCAGATATTTTTTCAGTAAAGGTTTGTGATATAGCATCTAGTAATTCTTCAACTACAATTTTGGAATTCTTTACTGAAAATTCATTAGCTTTCTCAAAATCAGGCTGTAACATGGAAATTTTTTCCGTATTGATCCAACAGATATTCAGCTTGGTTTGTTGTTAGAATCAGAAATACTAATTAAAACCCTATGATTCACACAAGAAGAAATAAAAAGAGTAAATAAATATATAGAAAAATGGTCAAGTCTATCAGTAAGAAAAAAATGCAAAATAAAACAGCTCGTTAACAGACTTTTAATAATATCTAAAATGGTTAGTGCTGTGGAGGATACTTGATATTAGTGCCTGGATATACTGCTGATGGCAGTGTAAACTACAAAGTATTAGCAATATTATCAAGTCACAAAATACCAGTCTCTCTGACATCATAATCTCATGCTTGAGATTTATTTTGGGTAAATAATTGCAATGAAGAAAAACAGTCATTTGGACAAAGCTTTCATTACTGCATTATTTATAATAACAAAACTTTAGAAATAACCTAAATATCTAAAATAAAGGGTAACAAGTAAACTATGGCATAACCATTCAATGGAAAATTATAAAACTATTTTTAATTATTTTATAAAGAGACTGGTAACATGAAAAAATGGGTTAAACAATTGGCAATTTAAAAAAATCTTCCCTCAACCAAGAATGTTATTTTTATAATTTTAAAAAGTCATACTTTAAAATTATGACAATGAAACAATATAGGAATGAGAAAAGTTTCTCAGGTATTCAAATTACAGCTTTATAAAATATTTATTCAGATGAATAAATTTATTTTGTTTTGATGTATGGGAAATACATGTTTTTTTAAAAAATTTTAATACATTTTTATTGATTTCAGAGAGGAAGGGAGAGGGAGAGAGAGATAGAAACATCAATGATGAGAGAGAATCATTGGTCAGCTGCCTCTTGCACACTTCCTTACTGGAGTTCTAGCCCGCAACCTGGGCATGTTTCCTGACCAGGAATCAAACCATGACCTCCTGGTTCATAGGTCAATGCTCAACCACTAGCCACACCAGCCGGACTCAGATGAATAACTTTAAAAGATAACATGGGCTATAGCTCATTCATTAAGCTGGTAGAATTAAGATTGATTTTTTTCCCTTCAAAAAATGTTTGGCTGTCCTTGGTATTTTGTAAGTGAAACACAAACATGTCAGAGGATAAAATAGTTTTGGTGACCCACCTGCTGCTCCCTTCGAAGGAATATTTCAATCTCCATATGAATCTGGTTTTCTTCTTCAGTTCTCAGCCTTAGTTTCTGTGAGAACAATAAACCGCGTCAGGAGTTCTTCCCAGCAGGGCTGCTGGGTTGGAAATGAGAACTTCTCAAAATTAGAGGTGTAGCTGAGGCAGAAGCACAGGACCCTGTGGTATCGCTCCGGAGCCACAATTCTGCTCCTTTCAACTTGCTTAGTGTTTGTTCACCAACCACTGAGCTGTGTGTCAGGCACCGTGCTGGATGTGTGAGTAACCAGAACAAAAGGACCATAATCCTGTTGTCTGGAAAGTGATGTCAATTTAAGGAGAGAAACGATGCTTCGAGGGCACAGGTTCTTAGGCCTAGAAAAGGGAAGTCCAGGGTGCAAGAAAAAGTTTTCTATCACAGACGTAAGCCACCTGGGTAGTGAGCTTCAAATAAGCAGGGAGCTCAGAAGAAAGGAGTCCTGACACACACTCTACTGCTTGCTCCTTGTCGCCTACCTGTTGTTCTTTTAGCCATTCAGCATTCCTTTTTAAGTTTTATGAACTTCAGATCTCTAGATTGTGTATTTCTTAGTGGAGGGATAAAAGGTACTGGTTGACCTGGCCGGTGTGGCTCAGTGGTTGAGTGTCAACCCAGGAACCAAGAGTTGGTGGTTTGATTCCGTCAGGGCACATGCCTGGGTTGCGGCTCAGTCCTTAGAAGGGAGTGTGCAGGAGGCAACCGATCAATGATGTTGCTATCTCTTTCCCTTTCTCTCTCTAAAAATCAATAAAAACATTTATTTTTAAATACTTAAAGAAAAAAAGGTACTGGTTGAGTGAGGAAAGCAGCAGCAAAATCCTGCAGTTACTGCGTACCTTGTTTTATTCTCTTCTGAGAATTGCCAGGAGATATGGCAAGTGGTTTTATAAAAGAAAGTGGCCAAGGGAAGAAAGTACAACCAGTTTTCAGTCATTACAAAACAACAGGAGATACAGGCTCTCCAGCCCATCAGAGACTCTCCTGGCAAATATGCAAGTCCTCCTTCTGTTCTCATTTTTAACCTCAAACGTTAGGGCTACAGAAGAGAGAAAACAAATCATGAGGATCTCCCTCTCGCTCCTGCGTTAGCTGAGGCAAGTGAGGAGGGACAGCAGTGCCATCTACCTGGCCCCTGCCTGTGAGCAGCGATTACCTCAATCTCTTCCAGCAGGAGCTCCTCTGTTCTGTTACATTTTTTCTGGGTCTGAGAAATCTGCAGCTCAGTGTTTTTCTTCATAAAGCGATTCTCCATGTTAGTTTTTGCCTTCAGCTCTTGCAACTGGTCCTTGAGGTGAGCAATATATTCATTCCGATTCTGTAGAGGTAAGACCAGGTTTGTGAATTAAAATACATTCTACCTCCATTCAGTTCAGCCAGTGGTTTTAAGCTTACCTTATGTATGTATATAACAACAAGGAACTGAATCTATTTTTCTGCTATCACGCTATGGGAAGTTTAGCCAGTAATCGTGGATAGTATAAGTGAAAAGGAAAGATAGGTAGTTCTAAACATCAGGACTGTGAGATTCTTTCTGAGACACACTATTTGGGTACTCTGTATCCACAAGAATTTCCCATTGTGCGCTCTCTCTCTCTCTCTCTCTCTCTCTCTCTCTCTGTCTTTCTTGATAGATAGATAGATAGATAGATATAAATTTAGATATATATCCTCCTGCACGCTCGCATGCACGCACGCCCACGCGTGTGTATATATATATATATATATTATTCTTACTAAAAAGAAAAAGGTTTTATTGATTTATTTTTGAGAGAGAGAGGAAGGGAGAGGGAGAGAGAGACATGAATCAAGCCCACAACCTAGGCATGTGCCCTGATCGGGTATCAAACTGGTGACCTCTCGGTGCACAGGATGATGCTCAACAAACTGAGCCACACCAACCAGGGCTCCATTGCTATCTCTTTTTGGTAGAAAGAGCACTAGTCTAATGGTCAAAAGACCTGCCACTCTTCCCCCCAAGCCCTCAGCTGTGTGAACTTGGCCAATGAGTTGAGCTCTCCAAGACTTACCTTCTGTAAAATAGAAAATTAACATCTACCCTGCCTGAAATATCTCATGAAGTGACTATAAGGACTGAGAATATGTATGAAAACTGTTTGCAGGTTACAAAGCAGTTGGCAATTTTAAGGTCTCAATATTTATTTTAAAGTATTTATTCAATACCACACTAAATAAATAGTAGAGATCTTACTAGACATAGTCCTTGACATCATAAAGCTTACAATCTTTTGGTAGACAAGTGGTTAAAGGAAACAAACAAATATGTGTAAACTATTTTAAAGGTGCAAAATGCTATGAAAGAATAGGGCAACTGGCCGGAGAAACTAAGAAGGAAGACCTATACTAGAATGGATTGTCTAAAAAGGATTCTCTGAGAAAGGAATGTTAAATCTGACACCTGATGGATAAGTATGTCTGTCACATGAAAAGTGGTGTCAAGGAGAAGTCTAAGGAAAAGGAAATAAGCATGCCAAGACCTGAGGCAGCAAACACCTAGATGTATTCCAGGGACCGAAAGAACATTCTGGAGGCTCTAGTCCAGTGAGTTGACAGTGGGACAAGATGAGGTTGGAGAGGCAAGTAAGAATAAGACCTGCAGGACCTCAGAGGCATATTATAAAGTCTGAATTCTATTCCGGGTGCCATTGGAAGCCTTGAAAGAGTTTTAGTCAGGGTGGTAACATCTGATTGAAAAAAAAATCAGACGAAGTGTGAGTAATTTCACAGAGAGATAATCAGAGTTAGCCGACAGTACAACAAGCAAGCATACAACTAATAACAAAAATGCATGGCTTTACTCATTGATCTATGTTTCCCCAATTATCAACCAACTTTAATCTTACCATGTAAACTGGGCAGAATTAGTTCTAAGTAAGTATTAGAAGAAGAAACGAAGCAGAAATTGGTCAAGATAATCCATAATGAAAAGCAAATCCAGTTTAAAGAACCATAAAATTAGTCAGGAAGGAATTCTTCAAGTTGTTTTGCCTAACTTCTTGATATAACTCTGTGGAAGTGTTCCAATTGTATAGCAATTATTCCAACTGTATCAGAGGATTCCAAAGAGTATCTCTGGCAGAGAATATGCTACAAGCCCAGTTGATAATACTTAGTACTTTATAAGTTTTTATGAATTATAGGACTGTGGGCAAAGTACTTAACCTCTCTAAGACTATTTCTCATCTGTAAAATCCTGCCAGTTCCTGGCACAACTTAGGTGCACAATAAATGCTTATTAAATAAATTTTAATATATGACTTTTTTGGCTCAATTTTTCCTTCCCTTCTCTACACTCTCCTCACTTTTCTCCATTCTTCTCCATTTTTCTTCTTTCTTCTCTTCTAGTTCCAACTTGTATGGCAGTCAGTGATAAAGTTTGAATCTGTAGGAAGTCTTGAGTTAAAGTAAAATGTGACGTGTTCACTTCTTCATCAACTGGGATCCTTTAACCTTAATTGCTTAGACTTTCTTCAAGGCCCAGCTTATATATCACTTAAATCCAGAAAACCTTTTCCAAAAACTTCAGTCCACATAAATAATTGTAGTCTTGTTTTTCACAGAATCTAATAGTGTTAAACAGGTAGGTATTCTTTAACCAGTCAACTGCCACGATTTTTTGAATTTAATTAAAAAAGGTCCGCCGCTTGCGTCTATAGACGCTTATGGAGTACAAATGTTAAATAATGTCCATACAAAAATATACTTTCAAAAACTCAAGAGAATGTTCTGGTCAGGTTTCTTTATCAAACTGAACATTAAGTCCTCCAGAGCAACAATATGAGGATCAGAAATGCAGAGTTAAAACTCTAGGAGTTCCTGTCCATGGCAAGCAGAAGGCATTACATTATGTAACTGTGAATAAGGTCATACGACGTTGGTCTGCAGTTACACTGTGCCAAGTCAAAGGCATCTGGTTTTCTTGTTATTACCATGGGCCTCTGATAACCCTGAGTTCCTCTCTATATTTCTGTTCTATACAAATGTATGGCCTTCCATGGCAACAGTGTGGAAACAGAAGAGGAATACTGAATGTATAATATTGACAGGCCAGTGATTGTAAAATCATGACCAAGGCATACATACTAATAATGAACTGAAGCATCATTCTACTTCTTCGTCTTCCTAGTGTGCAAAACAGAGAAGCAGTGGATTGCAGGCCAAATGCCTTGAATTGTATGATTTCCTTTTGAGATTCTCACTAAGAAAAGATCTGCCTTCATCACCACTCACCATCATAACCCTCGTTGTCTACAGTGTCTGGAGCTCTCCCTGCAGTCAGGGTCTGTGGACTGAACAGCGTATTGGTGGGGTTTTGTAGCAGACCAAATTTCACTTCCAAAGCTGCCTTCAGATCTGGACTTTTGGAATTGTTACTTGAATTCAAAGAAGCATGATTTAGTAGTGGAAAGAAGGAGTCGACCGATGAAAGTTAATAAGGCTCTGGTGGCTGCACATTATTGTGAGCCAAAGAATTTTAATGGTAGTGTCTGTTTTCATAATTGAACATAAAGTGGGGACAAGAGTACTGGTTCCTGGAATTTTTGGAAGCTACTGTCTGGAGAAGTTGGAATTTGTCTTACAACTCAGGCTGTCCTCTGTGGTTGGATGGAAAAAGGAAAATGGGAATGTGGCCTATTAAAGTGATAACAGCCACAGAAACAAATACAGTTGTGTGTTAAATTAACATTTGTATTTGTCTGTCTATCACTAAAAATGCTGGCTGATTCTCTAAGAGTCTATGAATGAAGTCTGAGCTAAACGGAGTCTACCGTTACAAGACATAGATGAAACCCAATCAAGACCAAATTCTAAAGTTTCAGACTCCAGTTCCACCCACTTCCACTTGAACTATTTTCTTTCCAATAGTACCAATTTCTGGGGGGGGGGGGGGGGGATAGGGGAGGGGGGTAAGAGATCAACCGAAGGACTTGTATGCATGCATATAAGCATAACCAATGGACAAAAGACACTGGGGGATAGGGGAGGCCGGGGAAAGGTCAAGGGGGGGAAAAAAGAGACATATGTAATACTCTTTGTAATACTTTAAGCAATAAAACAAAATTTAAAAATAAAAATAAATAATAAATAAAATAGTACCAATTTCCTTTTTTCTTTCCTTTTGTAATAAAGTTTCCACACACCTCACTGTCTTGGCTGATCTCTTCTAAGTAAACTCCTCCTTAAATGTGATGCCTAAAACTGTACACATTATTCTAGCTGTCTAACCACAATAGAAGACAGGGGAATGGTTTTTCCCTGTTGGATCAAAACCCACAGTGCCACATTTCAGTAACCAAAACAAAGAGAAAGCACTCCAAATGCTTTCAGAATGTATGGTAATATGTTGTCATATTGTGAAGACTCTGGTGACAAGAAGGAAGACGGAAGAAGGAAGAAGGAAGAACTATGAAAGGAAGACAGAGAAGTTTAAAGAGACAGGGGTAGGCAGTCAAGGCTGTTGCTACAACTAGTGGTGAAGCTGGGCCTAAATTCAGATTCTCATGTTACAACCTGGCTAAACCTCTAATGATACTGCTGAACACAAGTTAGGTCTTCACAATGCTCAACTTAGAAGATTCTTCTAGGGATATTAGTTTCACATTTGCTTCTTTTTGGAATCAGTTCAAAATTCTAATAATCAACAGGATCTTTAATTCTAATGTCTATTATTTATCACATACCAGCTTTGAGTTGCTTGCAAATTTAGTAAGCATGCTTTCTATATCTTCATTTAATTCCTGAATCCATTTTGGACCACAGAGATCATTAGAGTATCTCAACGTATTCTCTTTGTTACTCTCTCAACCTGGCCCCCCAAAAAGAAATTAGTCATCAAAGTGTGCAAAAAGCTGAGGGGTCTGCCCTGGCCGAGTGACTTAGTTGGAGCGTCGTCCTGTACACCAAAAAGGTTGCGGGTTCGGTTCCCAGTCAAGGCACATACCTAGGTTGTGGTTTAGTCCCCGGTCGGGGTGAGCAGCCAATCAATGTTTCTCTCTCACATTGATGTTTTTGTTGTTTTTTTCCCTCTCTCTCTTTTCCTCTCTTTCTAGAATCAGGAAAAACAAAACATATCCACAGGTGAGGATTTGTTTTAAAAAAGGTGAGGGGCTTGAGTGAAGAAAAGAGCCAGGTAACATGCGAAGTAGTAATAGGGTGGCTAGAGAAAAAACAAGTATGGCTTGAAGGGTGGAGTCATTCAGGCCTGTTTTAGGATATCATGCAAAGTTTCCAGGATAGCATTGAGTGTCCCAAAGTACAGTGACCATGGATGAAAATGGGGTTGCTGGCCCTGGCCAGTTTGGCTCAGTGGATGGAGCGTCGGCCTGCGGACTGAAGGGTCCCAGGTTCGATTCTGGTCAAGGGCACATACCTTGGTTGCGGGCACATCCCCAGTGGGGAGTGTGTGGGAGGCAGCTGATTGATGTTTCTCTCTCATTGATGTTTCTAACTCTCTATCCCTCTCCCTTCCTCTCTGTAAAAAATCAATAAAATATATTAAAAAAAAAAAAAAGAAAATGGGGTTGCTGAATGGAGAACAAATGGGTGAGGGATTCTTAGTGCTGCAGTTGACTTATTAGTGGTCGGCAAACTGCGGCTCTTTGGCCCCTGGAGTGTGGCTCTTCCACAAAATACCACGTGCGGGCGTGCACGTACAGTGCGATTGAAACTTCGTGGCCCATGTGCAGAAATCGGTATTTTGTGGAAGAGCCACACTCAAGAGGCCAAAGAGCCGCATGTGGCTCGCGAGCCGCAGTTTGCTGACCACTGATAGGGTTACCCACAGACCCGTGATGGTGAACCTATGACACGCGTGTCAGAGGTGACACGCAAACTCATTTTTTTGGTTGATTTTTCTTTGTTAAATGGCATTTAAATATATAAAATAAATATCAAAAATATAAATCTTTTTTTTTTTTACTATGGTTGCAAATATCAAAAAATTTCTATATGTGACACAGCACCAGAGTTAAGTTAGGGTTTTCCAAAATGCTGACACGCCAAGCTCAAAAGTTTCGCCATCACTGGTCTAGACATTCACGTGAACCCAATTCTAAGGGGAAAATGTCATGATTAGCCCCTGCTAAGGAGGAGGTACAGAATGCCTTCCATCCAGCACTAGAATACATGTAAGGCACTAGCAGAGTCAAAGGGCAAGAGTTTGTACTCAAAGTCACTGAGCACCACTGGGAAGGTCCTCTTACCATTGCAATAAGGTTATAGGGTTCCAGGACATCCAGCTTCATGCCCTTTGACTCTTTGGGAAGCAATTTGTTCAGAAGACTTAAAGATAGTATGTACGTTGGAATAAAGTCTAGTGGCCTTTTTTAGACAATTCTTCCTAATATATTTTTAAATATTCGTCTAACTTCCATGCAGAGAATAGTGACAATTCCCTGATATGAAGCATAAGCTTGTCCAAATAGCTAGGTAATGATAAGCTGAAATTAGGCCATCCTTTTAAACTCCCTAAACTGCTAATAGTGTTCGTCATTCTAGTAGAACTAATTTCTAACTGCCTAAGTGGTAGCCCAAACATTACTTTGTAAGTCAATTGCTTAAAACTTGGATGCATTTTCTTATAGAGGTAAATTAGATATAAGGTTAGGTCCTAATAACCATAAAAACTCAGTAAATCCACTCTGTATCTATCCTATCTAAAAATAGACAAACATGGTAATTAACCATACCTCCGACACGCTTCCCATTGGTTAATCGGGGCGATATGCAAATTAACTGCCAACCAAGATGGCGGCCGGCAGCCAGGCAGCTGAAGCGAACAGGAGGCTTGCTTGCTCCAGTGATGGAGGAAGCCAAGGTTCCCCGCCTACCACTGCCGGCCTCTGAGCTGCACTCTAAGAAACAATGTTGCAATTATAGAAGCTAAACAAATCCCAGAAACCTGCTTTCAGCCAGCCGGGCCTCAGAGCTGGAGCTGCAACAGTGTTTCAATTATAGAAGCCAAACAAACCCAGATACCTGCTTTCAGCAGCTGAGGTCTCAGAGCTGGAGCCGTGCCTCAGAGCTAAAGCCGGCTCTCAGTTCCAGTGACAGCCATAGAAGGTAAATAAATCCCAGAATAAAAGAAAAAAAAGGAGAGGTTGGGAGCTTCAGTCACCCGCCAGCCTGAAAATGGCCCTCAGCCCCTCACCCAGACTGGCCCGGCACCCCAGTGGGGACCCCCACCCTGAAGGGGGTGTGACCAGCTGCAAACAGCCATCATCCCCTCATCCAGGCTGGCCAGGCACCCAAGCGGGACCCCCACCCTGATCCGGGACACCCTTCAGGGCAAACTAGCCGGCCCCCACCCGTGCACCAGGCCTCTATCCTATATAGTAAAAGGGTAATATGCAAACTGACCCTAACAGCAGAACAACTGGGAATGAGCGGTCACTATGACACACACTGACCACCAGGGGGCAGACGCTCAATGCAGGAGCTGCCCTCTGGTGGTCAGGGTGCTCTCACATGGGAGGAGCTCTGCTCAGCCACAAGCCAGGCTGATGGCTGCCAGTACAGCGGTGGTGGTGGGAGCCTCTCCTGCCTCCTCAGCAGTGCTAAGGATGTCCGACTGCAGTTTAGGCCTGCTCCCCGCTGGCAAGTGGACATCCGCTGAGGGCTGCCGGGCTGCCAGAGGGATGTCTGATTGCCATCTTAGGCCCAATCTTCCGGGAGCGGGCCTAAGCCAGCAGGTGATCATCCCCTGAGGGGTCCCAGACTGCGAGAGGGCACAGGCTGGGCTGAGGGAACCCCCGCCCCCCCAAATGCACAAATTTTTGTGCACCGGGCCTCTAGTATATATATAAAAGCCTAAGCGATTTTTATGACTGAATGACCAGAACAACCAGAATGACCGGTTGGCCAGTCTCTATGGCATGCACTGACCACCAGGGGGCAGATGCTCAATGCAGGAGCTGCCCCCTGGTAGTCAGTGTGCTCCCACAGCCAACCTCCAACGGCTGGCCAAACTCCTCGGGCCCCTCCCCCCTGGCCAGCTGGCCAACCTCCCAGAGCCCCTCCCCCCAGCCGGCCGGCCCCAATCAGCCCCAATCAGGACTGGGCGAGATGCCCTGATTGGCCCAATTGCCAGCCAGGCCGAGGGACCCCACCCATGCATGAATTCATGCACTGGGCCTCTAGTTTAAAATACAATATAAATGGCCCTCCCTGGCCCGATAGCTCAGTTGGTTGGAGTGTCATCCTGCTATGCCAAGGTTATGAGTTCAATCTCTGGTCAGGAAACATATAAGAATCAGCCAATGAATGCATGAATAAGTGGGACAACTAATTGATGTTTCTCTCTCTCTCTCTCTCCCTCTCTCTCTCTCTCTTTATTCAATAAATAAATAAATTTTTAAAAATACACTACATATGTCATTATAAACCCTAACCATCATGTATAAGAAGGTTCGTAATGTGCTTGATGTCCTACCAAGGACTATAGTCTCCCATCTGGTATGCTGGAATGAGACTGCCTGAGATAAGGTCTCGTATAGGGAAGGAGTAAGTGGGATGGTTGGGTGGAATGGGAGGGGTAAGGCTGACTGAGAGCTCCAGAAGGTTGGGGTCTCCCAGAGTTCTATTCTGGACATACTTGTACATCTCAGACCAACTCTCTAGTTACTCTCTTCAGGAGAAACAGCAACTTTTCATACAAAACTTGGCTTAAGAAAAATGGCTTCTATACCGCAGTTTTAGCTCAGTAACTTTTGGTGTTGCCCAGGAAATTCTTACCTGTACTTCAACTTGCCGTTCTCTTTTGACATTATGAAGCTCTTTTTGAAGAGATTTTATTCGTTTTCTTCCTTTTTCCTCCCTAGAAGAAGTAAGAATGATTTGTGTTTAGAGCAGTGTTTCTCAAACTTCAATGTGCACAAGGATCACCTGGATGTTAAAAAACAGATTCCTGGGCTCTCCCCGAGATTTTTATTTCAGTAGGTCTGGGGTGGGGCCCTGGAATCTGCATTTCTAACAAGTTCCCAGGTGATGTTCATCATGCTGGTCCATGGAGCACACTTTCAGTGACACGTTTTTTAAAAAACATTTTAAAAAATGTTATTGATTTTAGAGACAGAGAGGAAGGAAGGAAGGGAGGGAGGGAGGGGAGGGAGGAGGAGAAGGGGGTGAGAAACATCAATTTCACCCACCTGTGCTTTCATTGGTTGACTCTTGTATGTGCCCTGGCTGGAGATCAAACCCCCAACCGTGGCGTATCAGGACACTGCTCTAATGAACTGAGCTACCCAGTCAGGGCTCAGTGATACTTTTTAAAAGACTGATTTATTTTACTAATTTGAAGGAGGATTTTTTTTGGCTTATCAGTGTTGTATCTAAAATTGTTGCTGCTGAATTACTTATTCTAAGTTCAAGCTCTTAGTTAAGGTGATAACCACCACATCTCTATCATACAGGCACATTCTCACCATGCAAATATCTTGTTTCCCAAGCACCTTTTACCTAATGTTTTCAGTACCATTGCTAACATTTGACTGAATCATTATTCAGTATAAAAAGTTGCAAAAGTGGTGAATTTGTAATTTTATCATTCCTTCTCCATTTATGAACTGGCATTCTTCTGTTTAAAAATAAAAGCTTCCCTTTTTCTTCCCACCCACCCCCCAAAAATAAAATAAAATAGCTACTGCTGAGAAAACTAAGAGGAGAAGATACAGGAAGAGGATAAAAAGAATCTTTTCTACTCTGAGCACTTCACATATTCTTACCTTGCAATAACCTTATGAGTAGTCTCTATCATTATCCCTATTTGACAAATGAGGGTAATAGAGAGCTGAGGTAACGCTGTGGTGGACATGAGAATGTGCCTCGCAGACCTCCAACTACAGGGAGTGTAAGCAAACATAGTTCAAGGCTCTGAGATCCTTCACTCTGTGTGTTCTGAGGCCTCACACTCCACCGACTGCTCCCAGCCAATTTTTAAATCTGGCGGGGATAAAGGGCAGGCCCTTCCTGAGAGACCAGGGCTTTTCTTATGGTTGACTTTGGCTCAAGGGCTCCCTGATGACCTTACCCAACATTCTTACACCGCAGGCGGTCTCTTCCAGCCAACCTCCCCTCTCCTTCACTTGGGATCAGTCCAGCATTGGGTCTGAAGGCTCCCTTCCATTTTCTTTAACTCAAGTGACTAATCTCATCTTGGCATCCATCTCTCAGAAGACACAGACCTCACACTCTTATGAACAGTAAACGGCACAGCAGGATTCAAACTCAGTACTTAAGTTTAAAACAAGCAAACAAAATAATAAAACAACATAAAGATAAACAAAACTAAACAACTGCCTTAGCTCGCTCGGGCTGCTATAACAAAAATATCAGAGGAGCCTGATTAGTTCAAGGAAAGAGTCTTTGTTAATACCATACAATTCATCCTTTTAAACAGTACAATTTAGTGGTTTTGGGTTTATTCACAGTTGTGCAACCATCACCACTATCTAATTCCAGAACATTTTCATCATCCACCAAAAGAAACCCTGTACTCATTTGCACTCACTCTCTATCCCTCACCCCTCAGTCCTCTAGTTATGAAACTTCTTTTGGGGGGAGTGAGGGGTGGAGGTGGGGGCGGGGAAGATCAAGGCCTAATAGAGAAGGAGGCTCTGAGGAGCCTTCTGTGTATAAGGATGCCATCCCACCCCCTCTCATCCTTGCTGGACCTGCATAACCCAGTTTTAGCAAGAATCCTGCAAAGTCAGTTTAGATCAGCAGTACTCAACCTGTGGGTCGCAACCCCTTTGGGGGTCGAAGGACCCTTTCACAGGGGCCGCCTAAGACCATCGGAAAACACATATATAATTACATATTGTTTTTGTGATTAATCACTATGCTTTAATTATGTTCAATTTGTAACAATGAAATTGGGGGTCACCACAACATGAGGAACTGTATTAGAGGGTCGCGGCATTAGGAAGGTTGAGAACCACTGGTTTAGATAGAATCCCCCACCCTTGTTGACATCTGATCACCCTGGATATTTGCTCAAATTCTTCATTCCCCACCCTTGAGTCTAAGCCCTTGGTCTATCTTCAGCAACAATCCTGTTAAGTTAATTTAGCAAGAATCCCCTACCCTTTATACCTCCTTTTAGGAATTTTCCATCCACTGAACCCCTCACTGTTCTCACTGGCTATACATCCCCAGATGCCTTTGCTGCATTCACAGTTGAGCCCAATCTCTCTCCCCTATTGCTGTAGTTTTGACACCTATTGCAATAGTCTTGGATAAAGTCTTCCTTACCATTTTAACAAGTGTCAGAGTAACTTTTTAACAGTATATAAACTTCTCAATAAAACTCTTTTTAAAAAAAACTAAAGAGAAAATTGTCTAACTCATACCCATCATTAAATTGGATGTGACTTTAAAAGTACCAATCAGCCGAAACCGGTTTGGCTCAGTGGATAGAGCGTCGGCCTGCGGACTGAAGGGTCCCAGGTTCGATTCCGGTCAAGGGCATGTGCCTGGGTTGCGGGTACATCCCCGGTGGGAGATGTGCAGGAGGCAGCTGATCAATGTTTCTCTCTCATCGATGTTTCTGACTCTCTATCTCTCTCCCCTCCTCTCTGTAAAAAAATCAATAAAATATATTAAAAAAAAAAAAGTACCAATCACACAATATTTAAAGTACTAAACACCATTTGTCATTGATTTGCCCAAATCTAGATATGATTTTCCAATTTAAATTAATCTAAATTGATGCCTATCTAACTAGAAGAAAAAATGAAAAGAAATCATTATAATTAATCATATGTAAAATCAATCACTGGCAAACTGTCTACATTGAGTTTTAGACTATTTTCTCCCTCCTATTCAATGATACATATATTTATTATTTTTCTTACTTGATTAGCTTTTTCAAAATTACATTTTCATTATCCACCAAAAGAAATTCTGTACTCATTTGCACTCACTCTTCATCCCTCTCCCCTCAGCCCTCTATTTATGAAACTTCTTTTGGGGGAGTGAGGTGTAGGGGTGTGTGAGGGGAAGGAAGGTCATATACAATTAGTGCACATTGTAATATTTCAAAACAGAATAGAAATATATGAGGAAAAATAGACAATCTGCCATCTCCCTTCTCCCCTCCAATTCTACTCCTATGAGGTAACCAATATCAAACCTTTTGATGTATATATACTTCCACATCTTTCTCTGTGCTCGCAAATATGTGAATGAGCAGGTATTCTTTATAGAATGATGCTCTATACATAATACTGTAACTTTTTGGCACTTATCTATATATGAGAAACATTCCTTCAATCAATCATAACTCTAATTCATTCTTTTTAATAGCTGTATGTTTTTATTTTATAAAATTAACAATCATTCAAGTACTCCCCTATTGAAGAACATTTATGCTATGTCTAGGTATTTGCACTGTGCTGCAATAAATGTTTTGCATATATATCTAATTTTTTTTCCTATAGGCTAGATTTCCAAAAGTAGGAATGCTGGGTCAAAAGGGTATATATATTTTGTTTAGCTTTTCTGTTAACACATTTATTTTCTCCCTTAATAAAGTGAAAATTGAGAAAATACTTAAAAATTAAAAGGTTTTTGGGCCCTGGTTGGGTAGCTCAGTTGGTTGGAGTGTCATCCTGATATGCTAAAGTTGTGGCTCCCATTCCTGGTCAGGGCACATACAAGAGTCAACCAGTGAACACATTAGTAAATGGAACAATGAATCAATTTTTCTGTCTCTCTTTCTCTCCCCCCTTCCTCTCTCTCTCTAAAAAAATCAATAAAAATAAATATTTAGGGGAAAAAAAGATGCTTTGTAAAAACACCCCAGTGTTAACACATTGGCATATATTTCCTTCCAGTTCTCATTTTCTATACATGTTTTTGTTAATTTTATTATACAGATGTGATAATACTAAATTATGTCTAACCTTTCTTTTTCTACTTAAAACTGTAACAAATATTTTCTCCATGTTATTATGACTTTGTAAGCAATATTTTTAACAGTTTCATAATATCATCCATCAAAATATAGACTCTCTTTGATTCTGTAATTCCACATATACTGAGTCAACCAAATGGAAAAATAAAAGATTCAGACATTTGATGATGCATATTTACATACAAAAATGTACATGACACATTATTTGCTATAGCAAACATTTGGAAACAAGCTCAATGTTCAAACTCAAGGAATGGTTAAATAAGTTATGGACCAGTACATATGTAATAGTGAATAGTATAAAATTAAAATCAGGTGTGTATCTTTTCATTTTCATAAATAACTTTTTTAAAGTTTTACCAATTTATTCTCCCACCAGCAATGTATACAACTGCTCATTTTCGTGCTTCCTTGCCAACTATAACTGTTAAATTTATAATAGTAGCTATTATAATAGTAGCTATTATAAACTTATAGTAGGCATTTACTAACTATGTGCCAGGAACTATCCAAAGTGTTGTATATGTATAAATTAATCTAATCTTCATAATAACGCCACTACTGAATTTATCACCAATACTAAGGCACAAAGGAAGAGTAACAAATTCAAGGAAAAACAATTCCACCTATGCAGACAAGATCAACACTTTCTCACTCTGAGTACTCAGGGTTCTTATAAAGAGACTTTTGTCTTGGTCCCAAAGCATTTCGATTGCGTTGAATGTCTTAAAGCAATGAAAATCTTTGGAATTAGTTGAAAGGCCCTGGAAAAGTAAACTTCCCTCAACATGCTTTTTATTGTCACTTGTTATTGTTCAGGAATTTTCAGTGAACTCAGTCTTAAGAAAGACTACTATAGCCCTGGCTGGTTTGGCTCAGTGGATAGAGCATCAGCCTGTGGACTGAAAGGTCCCGGGTTCGATTCCAGTCAAGGGCACGTGCCTGGGTTGTGGCTCGATCCCCGGTTGGGGGTGTGCAGGAGGCAGCCAATCAATGATTCTCTCTCATCATTGATATCTCTCTCTCTCCCTCTCCCTTCCTCTCTTAAATCAATAAATATATATTTTTTAAAAAAGAATACGTTTTCACATGCAACTTCTTTCCAATTTGCTGTGCGTGAGTCACTAAGATGAATAAAAATGTATTTTTTAAAAAAAGACTACTATATGATAGGAAGAATATTCTTGGTATATTGTACATACAGATAACAGGAGCCCAGAAACTTGAATTATTGTCGGAGCAGAACTAAGAATAAAACCCAAATTTCTGACTTCTATCTATCCTCCCTGAGAAGCACAAATTTTACTTGTTTTAGAAATCAAGGACTTGTGGTAAGTTTTATAGCACTTTAAAATGCAACAAAGAAAACAAAATTAGTTTTACTCTGACCTGTCAATGATATCATAGAAATGCGTTTTGTTTTCCCTCTCTTCATTCAAACATGTCAGGAGATTGTTGAAAGTGCCTGAATTTTGCAACTCCTGCATGGTATCTGCAATCACATCACTGAGAAATTGCCTGTAAGGAGAGAAAAATATAAGTTAATAAGATTCATATTTCAATACATTCACAAAGGGCTACAGAAGTCACACAAGTTAAGACCCAGAAGGAGATCTCATCTCCTCCCCCTATACTCCCCCTCTCCTCCCAGTGGGGGGGGGGGGGGGCTGGAGGGGGGGCGGGGAAAGACCCAGAAGGAACATCATATCTAAGTTGGAATTATTTCTGAAATGCCAATGTAGTTTAGTGTTAGAAAATCTACTAAAGAATTCATCACATTAATAAAGGCAAAAGGAGGAAAAACCATATAATCATTGCAATAAGTGCAGAAAAGGCATTTGGCAAAATTCAACATACACTTATTTATAAACAAACAACAAAAACTCTTAGAATACTAGAAATAAAACAGAACTTTCTTAACCTGAAAAAGTTTACATACCAAGGACTGAGAAACATTGAATGTACAATTAAAAACATGTAAAGTATACATATTGTTTTTTTGTTTTTTATTGATTGATTTGAGAAAGAAAGAAACATCCATAATTTCAGAAAAAATAAATAAAGAAAGAACCCACATTCTAGGAGTGATGGGTTGGAAATGTGGAAAAAAAAAAGAAAAGAAACATCCATCTGCTGCCCCACTCATCCATGCATTCATTGGTTGCCTCTTTTATTTTTTTTAATATATATTTTTATTGATTTCAGAGAGGAAGGGGGAGGGAGAGAGATAGAAACATCAATGATGAGAGAGAATCATTGATCGGATGCTTCCTGCACACCCCACATTGGGGATCGAGCCCGCAACCCGGATATGTGCCCTGACTGGGAATCGAATCGTGATCTCCTGGTTCATAGGTTGATGCTCAACTACTGAGCCACGCTGGCTCTGCCACTGGTTGCCTCTTGCATGCGCCCGGCCAACCAGGATTGAACCCACATATTGGGATGACACTCTAACCAACTGAGCTACCCAGCCAGGGCTATATGTATTGCTTAATAATACACTTACATACCTAACAAAAGAGTCACACCCAGCTGGCATGGCTCAGTGGCTGAGCATCAACCTATGAACCAGGAGGTCACAGTTCAATTCCCGGTCAGGGCGCATGCCCAGGTTGCGGGCTCAATCCCCAGTTGGAGGTGTGTAGGAGGCAGCCAATCAATGATTCTCTCATCATTGATGTTTCTATCACTCTCTCCCTCTCCCTTCCTCTCTGAAATTAATAAAAATATTTTTTAAAGTATCACAATTTGCAAAAGAATAATTCAGAAGACAGTTTATCTGTGGGGGAAGCACGACAGTGCTGGGATCAAAGGCTTCAATTATATCTGAAATTATCTTATTAAAAATAGAAAGCCCAGGAGAACCAAGATGGCAGCGTAAGGTACAGACCTGTGCGTGCTGCCTCCCACAACAACATTGAAACTACCAACTATAAGACAAACAGCTATCATTCAGAAACATGAGAAAGCTGGCCCAGTGGAAGCTCTACAACTAGAAAGGAAAGAAAGAAGAGCATTGAGATTGAGTAGGATGTACAGAGGTGCTAAGAACAGAGGTACGGAGTCGAGCGCCAGGCGGGCTGCAAGTGGATGTGCAGTTTTTTTCAATCGGAAGGGGTTACAAACTCTCGAGTCCACTGAGCTTGTTTGGGGCGGGATTCTGAGGTCCCAGACCCCTACGGGGAGAAGCGGGACGGCCTTGCAGCGGGTCGGAGAGTGAGGGTGGCTTTCTCGCGGAGCTGCTCGCCGGCACTCGGGGACGCGGAGACGCGGAGTCACGGAGAGGCGAGGAGTCTCGGAGACACCATTGCTCTTTGCTCCGCCCTGGTGATTCCCAGAGACCCCGCCCTACTCAATTTACATCCCCACCCAAGCTGTGCCAGTGGCACAAAAGGAACCACCTGCGCTTTTGCAGCCTAACCCAACAAACTGTAGATTTCAACTCCTCGCATATATAAGGGACACACTCAAGAAGCAGAATCAGGTTCGGAGGAAGCTGGAGCCGGACCCAGCTGGACCGGCGACATGGAACCGCTGTACCAGCAAACGCACAAGAAAGTCCACCAGATCCAGTCTCACATGGGACACTGGGAGACGGCAGACAAGCAGTCTGTGCACTTAGTAGAAAACGAAATCCAAGCAAGCATACTAGATATTCAGCCAGCAAGAACGCCTGGAGATTTTGTCTAGCAAGGAGCTGCCCAACAAAAGACAGAATGCCAAACTTCGTGTTGACCAGTTAAAGTATGATGTCCAGCACCTGAAGACTGCTCTCAGAAACTTCCAGCATCAGCGATACACAAGGGAGCAGCAAGAGAGACAGCGAGAGGAGCTTCTGACTTGCACCTTCACCCCCAACGTGGGATGCAGCACCCCCTGCGAGGCTGCGACAGCCCCTGCGAGGCTGCGACGGCCCCGGGGAGGCTGAGACGGCCCCTGTGAGGTTGAGACGGCCCCTGTGATGTTGAGACGGCCCCTGTGAGGCTGAGACGGCCCTGAGAGGCTGAGACGGCCCCTGTGAGGCTGAGACAGCCCCTGTGAGGCTGAGACGGCTCCTATGAGGCTGAGACGGCCCCTGTGAGGCTGAGACAGCCCCTGTGAGGCTGAGACGACCCCTGCGAGTCTGCGCCGGCCTCTGGGAAGCCGAGAAAAATACACATGATCTCACTCATTTATGGATAATAAAGACATTTATGGATAATAAAGACCATTATAAACTGATGAACAAAAATAGATACAGAGGCAGAGCAGCATTGAACAGACTGTCAAACTACAGTGGGAAGCCTGGGTTGAGGGGGGGTGGTAAGAGATCAACCGAAGGACTTGTATGCATGCATATAAGAATAATCAATGGAGCCCTAACTGTTTTGGCTCAATGAATACAGCGTCGGCCTGCAGACTCAAGGGTCCCAGGTTCGATTCCGGTCAAGGGCATGTACCTTGGTTGCAGGCACATACCCAGTAGGGAGTGTGCAGGAGGCAGCTGATTGATGCTTCTCTCTCATAGATGTTTCTAACTCTCTATCCCTCTCCCTTCCTCTCTGTAAGAAATCAATAAAACATATTTAAAAAAAAAGAATAACCAATGGACACAAGACACTGGGGGGTAGGGGAGGACGGGGGAATGTCAAGGTGGGGGGGAAAGGAGACATATGTAATACTCTTTGTAATACTTTAAGAAATAAAACAAAATTAAATTTAAAAAAAATAGAAAGCTCTAAAGCAATCATGGCCCTAGCTGGTTTGGCTCAGTGGATAGAGCGTTGACCTGCAGACTCAAGGGTCCCAGGTTCGATTCCAGTCAAGGGCACATGCCCGGGTTGCGGGCTTGATCCCCAGTGGGGGGCATGCAGGAGGCAGCCAATCAATGATTCTCTTTCATCATTGATGTTTCTATCTCTCTCTCCCTCTCCCTTTCTCTCTGAAATTAATAAAAAAAATATATTAAAAAAATGAAATGATCACTTATGTATTCACATGTTAAAGCAATTTAAATACTTAAAATTTAAAAAAATAAAGCAATCATGGTAAAATGCTAATTTGATGTTTATATAGATAAGTTCATTATTTTATTCTTTGCATTTTTCTTCACTTTTGAAATAGTTTATAAGTTTGAAAAGTTAAATCATTTTAAATTTACAAAAAAGAAAGACCCTAATAAAACCCTCACATTTTAGAGATGAGTAAACCTAGGCTCACAAAGGTTAAACATGGCTAATTTGAGATAAAGCTAGAACCATATAATCCAGGTTCCTGACTCCTAGTCCATTGCTCTTTATATTCTCTTAAGTAGAAAAATTTTAAACTGCTATTTAATGTTCTGATATAGAGTCAGCAAGAATTACACTTACATAGTAATGTATTAATAATAATTCACATAAAAAGATTCAATAACTTTTTTTCATAATAATTAAGTATATTGAAGTCAAGAATCTGAAAAGCTATGAGCCTCATCCTGAGAATGAAAAGGGCATTAATAGTAAACACCTTTCTGTCATGTCTGCAAATCTGAGCCAGACTGATTTTAACAAGAGACATTACTCTACTGGTGAGGGCGTAATGCAGGGGTCCGCAAACATTTTCAGTAAAGAGACAAACAGTAAATATTTCTGGCTTTGCAGGCCATAAATTTTCTGTTACAACTACTCAGCTCCGCTGTTGTAGCGTGAAAGTAGCCATAGACAATATGTCAACAAATGAGCAATGCTGTACGCCAATAAAATTTATTTTCAAAAACAGACTACAGGCTGGATTTGGCTAGTGGCCCGAGGCAATTACTACAAGCTCCCACTTACCAAAAATCCTTACCATAATGTTATCCCTCTCTTTTTTTTAATGTTATACCATGTTTTATTTATTTATTATTATTATTATTTTAATATATTTTATTGATTTTTTACAGAGAGGAAGGGAGAGGGATAGAGAGTTAGAAACATCAATGAGAGAGAAACATCCATCAGTGGGGATGTGCCCACAACCAAGGTACATGCCCTTGACCAGAATCGAACCTGGGACCCTTCAGTCCGCAGGCCGGCACTCGGTCTACTTAGCCAACCCGGTTAGGGCTGTTATACCCTCTTTTAAACATAACAGGCTTTTTTGTCAGCAAGTCGGTTGACAACAAAAACTGAATAATGAGACAATGGAAATTGAGACTGTCTTTAAAAACCCACCAGGATTAAAACATTAGCTTGAAATTTGGCTACTTTGATGATGTCTCTCTCTTATTAATGGATAAAGCATCGCAATAGATATCAATTTATGCCGGGCACTTGACTGAAGCCTCATTTCTAATCCTCACACTAATGTTGCAAAGTTATTCTAATTTTTAAAAATTGCAAACAAAGACTCAAGTCAATACTATTATCAGCACTCACTTTGGATACAAGAACCATCCAGAAGGGAAGAAGGCAGCCAGCCACCCTAGCACTCATTCTTTATCCACCCAGAAATACTTACACTTCCAAATATGCTCTCCTTCCTTACCTATCATTCTGAATTTTTTTCAGTGTTTCTGTAGAAATTACGGACTGCCTTGCAGGTGTTTGGAGGACAAGATCTTGCACTTTGTTATATTCGTTGGCCAATTGTCCTCCTTGTCTGATTTCTGGCAACTTGGGTTCTTCTTTTGACATTTTTGGGACCACTGGAGGGTTTTCTGGGCTTTTTTCTTCTAAATTCATTTCATTGTTTTTCTTCTAAAAACAATAAATGATTTTTTATGTAACACAGATTTTTAAAGAGTAAAGAAACAAAGCTATACGAGGGCCTCTGCCTACAGTTTTACCTCATTTTTGTCTAGGAGAGAAAGGGGAACTGTAAGGCCTAGGAAGCTGTTTTTCTGATAGCCCTAGTTTGCCTCTTCCTTTATGCATAGGCATCTGGGAAAGGAAGCAATTGTGTCAAACTGATTTACTGATTAATAGAAATAGGAATTTTTAGAAGAGAACTTTAAGGAACTAGCTAAGTATCCTATCTAGTCCAGTCACTAATATTTTTACATAGCATACATTATGTACAAGATAGGGCATTAGACTATAAGGAGAAATAGTATTTCCTGCAAGGGATCTCTTTCCAACCTTAGGTCCATTACTTCGCTTCTGATAGAGCCCGGTATGTTAGTATAGTTTCATCATTCCATTCCATGTTTCAAACAAATTAAAAAAAAATCTACTTGGAGATGTCGTTATCTATAAAAGTGACTGTAAAAATGGGATAATGCTAACTAACCTTTCAACTCCAGGTTGTTATAAGGTTAAACAATGTGAAGTCTTTGAAGGAAAAAAAATCCACATATATACTAAGATTTTAAAATGTATATCCCATGCCATATAGGGTAATGGCATAGTAACATTTATGAAATTGAACAACTATAGTACTATGAAGTAAAAACAAAACATTATTTTAGGAGACCCATCATTTTTAAAAAAAAAATTTTTATTGATTTCAGAGAGGTAGGGAGAGGGAGAGAGAGAAACATCAATGATGATAGAGAATCATTGATAAGCTGCCTCCTGCATGCCCCACAGTGGGGACTGAGCCCACAACCCAGGCATGTGCCCTGACCAGGAATCAAACCATGACCTCTTGGTTCATAAGTCAATGCTCAATCACTGAGTCACACCAGCCGAGCAAACCTTTATTATTTATACTTCTATAAAATCATAAGCAGAGCCCTAGCTGGTTTGGCTCACTGGATAGAGCATTGGCCTGGGGACTGAAGGGTCCCAGGTTCGATTCCAGTCAAGGGCATGTACCTTGGTTGTAGGCACATCCCCAGTAGGGAGTGTGCAGGAAGCAGCTGATCGATGCTTCTCTCTCATCGATGTTTCTAACTCTCTATCCCTCTCCCTTTCTCTCTGTAAAAAAAATCACTGAAAAATATATTTTTAAAAAAATCATAAGCAGAACCTCTGTTAAGTCAGAAAATTTTGTAAGTGAAGATCATTAGCCAGAATAAAACAGCTCAAAAGTTGTGTTCTTTTATTTACTTAAGTGGTGACTACTGCTGAAGGCTATTTATAAATTTGGGTTTTTCATTCTTTCTTGAATTTCTATGATGGCAAATTACCTTTTTTTTATGCCTGACAGTATCATTGTTACGTATAAGACTTCATCTTGTTAACTGAGTATCTTTTTTACTCACCTGAGGATATTTTTTCCATTTATTTTTTTAAAAATATATTTTATTGATTTTTCTACAGAGAGGAAGGGAGAGGGATAGAGAGTTAGAAACATCAATGAGAGAGAAACATCAATCAGCTGCCTCCTGCACACCCACCACTGGGGATGTGCCCACAACCAAGGCACATGCCCTTGACTGGAATCGAACCTGGGACCCTTCAGTCCGCAGGCCGGTGCTCTATCCACTGAGCCAAACCTGTCAGGGCTCCATTTATTTTTTAAGAGTGGAAAGAAGGGAGGGGTTAGGGAAGAAAAGGAGAGAGAGAGAAAGAGAGATACATCCATTGGTTCTCTCCCACATTCACCCTGACCAGGGCTGGAAATTGAACCTGCAACCCAGGTATGTGCCCTTGATGGGGAATCGAACTCAAGACCCTTAGGTGCATGGGCTGCAGCTCTAACCACTGAGCACACTGGCCAGGGCTATTTCTTACTGAAGGAGACAGTAAGTAGGAAGGAAACACTACTCTCCTCTGTACTATTTTTAACTATCTTAATTCATGAACCAGAACATGCATTGAAAGGCTTAGTTCTTGGGTTTCTAATCTCTTTGCCATTCATAAATTGATAAGGAAATTAATTTGTTATAAAATACCTATTAATATCTATTAAGGTTATTTTTTTTAAAAATATATTTTGATTTCTTACAGAGAGGAAGGGAGAGGGATAGAGAGTTAGAAACATCGATGAGAGAGAAACATCGATCAGCTGCCTCCTGCACACTCCCCACTGGGTATGTGCCCGCAACCAAGGTGAATGCCCTTGACCGGAATCGAACCTGGGACCCTTGAGTCCACAGGCCTACGCTCTATCCATTGAGCCAAACCAGTTAGGGCTCTATTAAGGTCATTTTAAAATTACCCCAAAACTCATAGAATTTTAGCATTGGAAAGGACCATATAGATCATTTACTTAAAACTCCATCACAATTTACAAATGAGAAAACTAAGACTAAGAAAGTGAAATGAATTGCTCATAGCACACAACTAAACTGCAAAGGTCTCCTGACTCCAAATTCAGTCTTCTTTTAAAATTTTGTGTAAACTTTTTAAAAAAATATTTTTTTATTAACTTCAGAGAGGAAGGGAGAGACAGAAACATCATTGATGAGAATCATTGGTTGGCTGCCTCCTGCACGTCCCCTACTGAGGATGGATGGAGCCCGTAACCCAGGCATGTGTCCTTGACCTGAATCGAACCCGGGACCCTTCAGTCCACAGGCCAACGCTCCATCCACTGAGCCAAACTAGGTAGAACTAAACTTTTAAACTTCATTTTATCTTTTAAGTCTTTATTGTTGAAACTATTACATATTTCCCCTTTCTCCCCCCCACTGACCCCATCTAGCTGCCCTCCCCACCCCCACCCCAGGGCTTCACCACTCTATTGTCTGTGTCCATGGATTATGTTTATATGAAAAGTTTTAAACTTAAAAAAAAAAAGCTTTACAAACCCAGATTATAGATATAATAATTTTTAAATTATAAGGAGCAATTAAAGGGAATTTTATCTAGTCACAATAAATATGGACTTCTTGTTCAGTTAGACATAGAAAGCAATTTACCTTCTCATTTATGTAGCAATTTTCTTCTTTTTGTATTTATTGATTTGAGAGAGAGAAAGAGAGAAACATTGATTTGTTGTTCCACTTATTGATGCATTCATTGGTTGCTCTTTGTATGTGCCCTGACCCAGGTTGAAACCCGCAACCTTGGTGTGTTGGGATGATGTGCTAACCAACTGAGCTACCTGGCAAGGGCTGAAAGCAATTTTCATTTGTCAGAAATAAGAATATATTGTGTACCAAAAAAAATTACAAAGAATATATTCTATACAGATTATATAATGTTAATTTTGCTAAACTTAATAAAGATGTATGTGGGTTATTTTTTGTTTGGAATCATTATTATCTTTGTCGCTCTTTATAGACATTGGTCCACTTCCACATGGAAAGTAGGGAGCATCTATTTACACTTAATATTCTATAATGATATAAACCATAGTTACTGAAAAAAATTTTTTTAACGTTTTTTTAATACTCAACCAAGGATATGCTTTCTTATTGATTTTGAAGAGAGAGGGAGAGGGAGATAGAGAGGAACATCAATTCAAGAAAGAAACATTGACTGGTTGCCTCTTGCACACACCCCAACAGGGATTTGAACCTGCAACTTGGGTATGTGCCCTGACCAGAAATCGAATCTGAAAACAACGGAGCCACACTGGCCAGCAAACTAAAAGATTTTTATATTCATGGCCCAAAATGTTCCCTCAATATGTTTCTGTGTGTATAATTACAAGCATTTATAACTCCACAAAGCTAGTTTCTTCTTAAATCACTGTATTTTTATTTATTTATTTAAATTCTTTATTAGTTAAGGTATTACAAATGTGTCCTCCACTGTAGTATTTTTAATATCCACATTAGACCAAATGTGGATCATCAAACTTTCAGAATAAGTTAAAAAACAGCTATCCTCTGTCAATCAGATGCAGTTCTAAATCTAAGTGACTGCACATGCACTTTCATAGTTTAGGGCTGCTCTAAAGTTTAAAATCTTTTCTCTTGCTTCAGAGATATTAACATCAAAATAAGCCACTGCTCATAGTATATAACAACCCAAATATAATTTTCACCTATCCTGTGTAAGGAAGTTGAGCATTTAAAAGTTTCTCTAATAAGCCCTAGCCGGTTTTGCTCAGTGGACAGAGCGTCGGCCTGCGGACTGAAGGGCCCCAAGGTTCGATTCCGGCCAAAGGCACATGCCCGGGTTGCAGGCTCAATCCCCAGTAGAGGGCGTGCAGGAGGCAGCCAATCAATGATTCTCTCTTATCATTGATGTTTCTATCTCTCTCTCTCCCTCTCCCTTCCTCTCTGAAATCAATAAGTATATTGGGAAAAAAAAGGTTCTCTAATAAACTCAAGTGCTTTTTCTCAACATAAATTACACAAACTATTCTAAATGTTTTACATTTATTTCAGTGCATTATATTCAAATACTAAATGGAATGCAATTATAATTAATATTTGAGCATATTATGAAATCTATCACACAAATCAATTCATGTCAATATACTTTACTATAAAACAACTTCACAGGCACACACAAAATAGAGAACAAAATTTGCTTTTTAAAACAAATTTAAAGTATACTATCTACTTTAAATTACACTATTTTCACAAAACAGCCAATTTCCAAACCCCTTTTGTATCTCTGGCATAAAGGAAGTTCAATCCACTCGAATCTTCTGGTTTGTCATCCTATAAATGATGCTATCATATCCAGGATCCATGTTCCAAATATTGTAAGAGGTGATAATCACAGCCAAGGCCAAGGAGACCGTTACCCAAAGTACCATGTTGAAAACCACTGCATACTCAAAATTATACTTGTATGCAAGGTTATAGGGACTTGATGGGTTCTTCTCTTGTTTTGTCTCAAGGATAGTCCTTGTCTTCCTCACAAGTGATGTGTCGTATGATCTGACAGTCACTAGCTCTACCACTGCATTCCCATCATAAAGACTATACATGCCATCTGCAAACTTTTGCAGAGCATCAACAAGGACCTTAGAAGCATCTCTGAATTGCTCAGAATCTTCTCCGTAATGTTTCCCAATTTCATCCAAACCTGCCAGCTCCAGTGAATATAAATCAGGAGAATGATCCTTGGCTAGATGCTTATGTCGAGACAGCAAACTTGAAATATCACACAGAACTTGCAGTTCAGAAAGAAAGAGCAGATCAACTTCACTGTTACTACTCAGAGAATTGAGGGGAAGTGAATTAAGAACAGAGTTTTCTTGAAACAGGCGATTGCGGAGCTGTCCTAACGTTACTGAAAGATCTTCAAAAATTGAGTTGGCCTTCCCCACCATATACACTCTTTCCTCACTGGGAGCCAACTGCAAAACTACAGGACTTTCTTGAGAAAATAAGGAATGAATGGAATTTGCAACACTGTCAAGACTAAAAGGAACTGCATTCTCCAAAGGGTAGGAAATGACACTGCCTGGGGGTAGAGCGAGTTTGTCCACTCCCTTCACTATCACCATAACAGTCGCCTGAGGACGATGGAATAGGTTACCCACAGCAAGTCCAGGCCAAGAAAGTTCTTCTTCCACAGAGAAGCCCATGGCTAATGCAGCCACGTCTGGGATTCGCTCTCCTGGTATAGACCAATTTCCACTGCGGAAAACAACATACTCTGGTGATCTTAATACACTAAACTCGTTCCCCAAAACACCCGCCACCAAGGACAGAAGCATGACGAGCACGGCCATGGTTCCCCGCTGGCCACAGCAGTGCAGGGCAACACGCAGGGAAGGTGAGCGATCACCGCAGCGCCAGGGGGTGACACGGTCCAGCTGGTCCCGACTGCCGGGGACCGCCCCATCGTTGCCTCCACTGGGACAGCTGCCGCTTTCTCCACCAATCGCCAGCTACCAATAAATATGTATTTGTATTTAAAATTTTTATTGTATATGTACAACCTAAGTTATTAAAATTAACAAGAGTTTAATAACTTATAAATCTTTTGTACACTACCATGTTGAATTTTTTTATAACTAAATACGTGCTTTGAGTAGCCCACAGCATCACTGAAAATGTAATGACTGACACAATAATGTGGCGGATATTCAGAAGGGCAGATCACAATATATTCTGAAATGACAACACAGTCATTTTAAAAGATTAAAGCAATGTTTAGAGGGTCCAGCAGTTGAATTTCCTCCACCTAGTGTTCAGTTAGCTTTTAGCAGCTGAGAAATATACATGGGACAACTCAGTAATTTGTCTGATCTCAGTGCACATACTGTACTTATACCTATTTAACTACAGGCCTTTTGAATAATGCCAGCATACTGGAAGAAAAGGATATTCTGGCTGGTAATGTACCTTGAGATATGGCTATTTCACTCCAACTGAGAGTCCATATTTCAGGTGATTATTATAGCCCTTATCTGAGATAAAGATGCTATTTCCCATGTTAAATTTAATGACATAGATACTGTAAATGGAGAAATAAAAAGAAAAAATAGATTCAATGAAATATACCATGGTGCTACTTTGTCTTCTTTCATACTGAACTGGCATGATGTAGTTCAGAATAGAGAGCTGGTCTGTGGTATCTTCCAGAACAGCAGAGATCCTCAGTACATCTAGAATGGAGAGTGCCTCTATGATTTCTGGGATGACTTCTATGTCTGCTTCTTGAGCTGTTTCTTCTACTACAACACTAGGTGGTTCGCCTGTCACTGACACCATCACCTCAGGTTGCCAAGGTTTTGAAGAAAGATCTGAGGCTTCCAGTTGGCTTCCACAGAAAAAATAAAGAAAAAAATAAGTCAGCCACCAAAGGTTTTAAAGTTAAACTCAAAAGCACAGGTAGCATGTAGACTGGCTCCTATGAAGTCTATATTGTCATATAATATAACCAAGATGAACAAAAGTAGGAGTTTTGCATGTGATTCTGCTAAATACCTCAGTGACATTTTAACCAACCATAAGCAAGCAACTTACTGTTTAACGAAGTTATGTGATCCATGCAATTTGGCTATGCTTAACCAATTTGAATTAACTTTTTTTCTAGCAACATCTTTAGATGCTACTAACCAAAAGTGCCTCATGATTAGTGAAAAACAGAATGTGGTAGACAATTTCCAAGTTGGCCCATATGATTCTCACCTTCATGCCCTTTTGTAATCTCCCCCACATTGAATAGGACTAACTAACCTATGTAACTAAAAGAATATTGTGGAGTCCAAGGCTAGGTTATAAAAGGCTAGGTGCAGGCCCTGGCCCGGTAGCTCAGTTGGTTAGAGCATCCTCCCGATACATCAAGCTTGCAGGTTTGATCCCTAGTTAGGGCACATACAAAAATCAACCAATGAATGCATAAATAAGTCAAAAAACAAATCAATGTTTTTCTCTCTCTAAAATCAATAAAATAAAAGACATTGCAGCTTCTCCCATATGCTGTTGTATCTCTCACACTGTGGGAAACCAGCTGCCTTGTCATGGAGACTCTTAAGCAGCTCTGTGGATAAGTTCATGAGGGTGAGAAACCAAGGCCTCCTGCCAACAGCCAGCATCAACATGCCAGCTCTATAAATGAGACATCTTGGAAGAGGATCCTCCAGCCTCAGTCAAGTCATCAGATGACTGCAGGATTGGCTAACGTCAACCTTTTGAGGGACCCCAACCCAGAACCACCCAGCTAAGCTGCTCCCAAATTCTTGACCCACAAAAACTGTGTGAAATAATGTTTATATTTTAAGTAGGTAAGTTTTGGAGTAATTTGTTACATAACAATAGATAAGTAATTCACAGAAATTTAATGTAAGGGGCAATTTAAATAAATACACACAAAATAAATTGAAATTTTGAACATACGCTTCCATTCTTCTTAAGTTAGCTTTGTTAACTTCCAAGGTACATGTATAATCTCACAAAAATGAAGTCAGCTAAAATGGGAAGAAAACATTGAGATTAGTTTGAGTATTGAATGACATTTAAGTTATTTCTATGCTCTTCCATTCTGAGAAAATTAAAGAATTACAAAAGCTGTAGCTTATCCCATCTTTTTACTGTTAGAAGTTTTAAGTTTTAGAGATGGAAGAACCATCATGAGGTGAAGGTCTACTAGGTCACCAGCTTAATTATCAGTAGGTAAATGCAATCTTTGAGTCTGTTCTTAAGGTAAATTAATATCCAACATGGTTTTCATACTTTGTATTATATTCTGATTTTTTAATTGGTAACCTCTATAAAATCGATTTGCTTTTCTGTTACCTTGATTACTAAAATATTTAATTAGATTAATCTTTCCCCTGATCTGTCAGATAGCAGAGTTGATTCCATCTGGACTTAAAGAACACTCGAGACTACACTTAAAAAATCACAGCTACCAAGATGTTAACCCTCCTCGGTAAACTAGAGTCCTTTCTGCTTAAAAGAGCTTTAAATTTTCTATGGAGAATTTTGCTCTGTACTGAATGAATAGTGAATGGTAAGTTTCCAGTGTGGTTTTGTTCACAAAAAAAGTGATCCTAATAAGGGTGGTACAAATGTCTCACACAACGAAATTCTCATATGCAAAAATTCCAACATATGAATCAGAATGTTTATGTAAATTTTAAAACAACCATACTCCAAACTAGCCACATTTTCTGGTGCAAGGGCAGTCTTGAGGAAGCAGCATGGCGTTAATAAGATTTTGTTCTTTTGTCGTGTTGTTTATTTTTACATTTTTTCAACTTGGGGCCTAGGTCCATGTGCTTCACATAGGTAAGATAGAGCTATGCTTATAAGTTTCCACTACTTTTGTTCTGTTCTAGCTTCTCATTCCTCAGTGCTAGAAACCCAGGAGTCATTCCTGCTTCCTCCTTCATCTTGACATCAGCATCCTCCAATCTAAACCACACCAAGTCCTGTGGATTTTACCTAATATTACCATATTCTCTAACACCATGCTAGATCATGTTGTTTCTTGCTTGAACTACCCTAATTGCCTCCAAATTGGAAGTGATCTTTTTTATTTAATATATTTTTAATTGATTACTCTAGCGAGAGGAAGAGAGGGATAGAGAAATAAGCACCGATGAGAGGAACATCATCAATCAGCGGCTTCCTGCACGCCCCCTACTGGAGATTGGGCCCACAACCTGAGCATGTGCCCTAACCAGGGATCAAACCAGTGACCTCTTGGTTCCTGAGTCCCTTTTGGTTTCTGGGTCAATGCTCAACCACTGAGCCACACCAGTCAGACTGAAAATGATCTTTTTATATATATTCAATATATATTTTGTTGATTTTGGAGAGGGAGGGAGACAGAGAGAGAAATAGAAACATCAATAATGAGAGTGAATCATTGATTGGCTGCCGGTTTGGGGCTGGAAGTGATCTTTTTAAAATGAAAAAGTGATCTTTTAAAATTGAAAATCTGATAAGGGAAGACAAGGGTGGGTGGGAAGAGATGAAGCAAAGAACTTGTATGCATAACCCATGGGCACAGACAATAGTGGGGTGAAGGCCTGGGGCAAGGGAGGAGGGCTCGGGCTAGAAGAGGTCAAAAGAGAAAAAAAGGGGACATAGGTAATACTTTTAATAATAAAGACAATAAAAAAATTCTGATCATGTCCCATCCATGGTTTCCCTTTGCCTTAGGACAAAAAATAAAATTCTTAACTTTGCCTATAAGGCCTTCATGATCTGTTCTTTCCCTTATCTATCTGGCGCTGTCTTTCTTTTTGCTCTCGTGGCTCTCATCTTGTAAAGTCCCATCAGGCAGCAGTTTAAATTAGTGCCATTTTGCTACCTATCTGCCTTTTGCCCCTCTAAATGTAATCTCCATCACTTCCTGTGCCCTGGGATTCTAATCCACATGGACTGCCTCATGCATCAGTGGGAAATTTCAAAAGAGATCCAAAGAGTAGGATTGTAAGGTCCCGTGTTTATTCCCCCGGACCACCATTAGTCGGCTGTTTCTCTGTCAAAGGCCATGGCTCCTGTCAGGCAACCCTCTCCATATTGCTCTCTCTTGGGGGCTCAGGTAACTTCTTCCCCGTGTGCCTGGAGCATGCATTATCCCTTGCAGTTTCACTCTTGCTGACACCTTTGTAAGCAGACTCCTTATTAAATTCTCTTCAACTCTGCTAATCCTCTCCTTCCAGGACAACACTGACACAATGACCTATAATGACACACACACATTTTATATACAGTATATATGTAAATACACATCTATGCACATAACTGAAAAAGTTTCATAAAATAATTTACCTGTAGCATTTGTGATACATTCTATTTTTCATTCTATTGCATGGGCCTTAGAAAAGGATTATAATGATGACCTAATGGGTGACCACCTGCAGTCTGAAAATGCCTTGACTGACACTTCTGCAAGTGACACCTTCCCTTACTCCTCCATCCGGCTGGAGCAGGATTCCTCTGTGCAAGCACGGATTTGACTACACTTTTATTTTCCTGCAACACTCTCTTCACACTTTGCAATGTTTATGTCCGTTTCCCCCACTAGACTGTTAAGTTCCATGAGATCAGGAACCATGACATTGATGCTCACTATTGCATCCCAAGTTTCAGGCACCATGTTCAATAAATATTTGTAAAATGAACGAACAAAGGAATCAAACTCACAATGCGTTATTCCTCCGAGGAGTACTTTTCTAATACATTTAATGCTGGAATTGTTAGCACATTCTCTCACAGTGAGTTTCTAGTATATTTCTCGGATACAGAAAATCAGATGGGGGGAGTGGGCCATAAAGGCACATAAACTCTATCCTGATGTATATTTATAAGCATCTGACTTGAAATAGGACTGATATACATCTATCACATAAAACTCTGGAGTCATCCTTTACTCTTTCTCTCTCACTCCTTATCCATAAGCAAACCTGGTCAGCGTTACATTTAAAATGTACTCGGAATATATTTTGCTCCCCCTACTAGAAAGTCAACTCTGTGAGGGCAGATCTCTGTTGTTTTGTTTACTGCAACGTCCTCTGAGCCAAAAACCAAGCTTGGTACAGGGGAGTCGTTCAATACACGGTTCGATAAATGAATGGATCCGTAGGGTAACCCAAACAAATGTGCGATAATCAGGAAATGAAAATCTCCGACGTCCATTAATCTACATCAAGCTTGTCTCTACAAGTAATTACTCAAGACCTATTACTGGGCGCCCAGTTTGCATGGCAGCTGAGTGAGTTCTCCCTAAAAAGGAATAAGGCTTTTTTACAACAAAAAAAAAAAAAAAAAAAGCCTTGTTTTCTCCTTACCTCGGGGACAAAACAAAGGATGAGGTGAGAGCTTAAGTCATTTCTGGGAAGAGAGAAAGGAGTACAGGAGGAAGGAGGAAGGGGAGAGGGGAAGGCACAGAGAAGAGCTCCACCTTCGTGCGACCGGCCTCTCTCCTCCAGGCTGGGCTCCGAGGCCCCGCTCGCCCTACTCCCGTGTGGTAAGAGCCAAAGACACCCCCACGTTGGCGAATCAAACCTGAGGTGCCCGAAGCGGGGGTGACGTCCTCCGGCCCGCCTCACTTTCTCAGCCGGCCTCACTTTTTCCACCTACCGCACGCGATGACGCAGGAGCCCAACCACGATGTTTCTATGGCAACGCGGGGCTTTCTGGGACCGTTGTTTCTCCTCCTTTAGCTGGCTACCGCTCTGCCTGCCTCTGCTCCAATATCATACACGTTGCAGCTTACAAAGCTGAAATTACTTAGGGACACAACTGTGAGAGTGCTTTTGAATGTGGCTGGTTTTAGTCAGAAAAGGATTTCCCGGATCTGTGTTTTCTTTGGGCGGTTGCGGAAGATGCCTAAACTGAGGGCGGGGCGGAGAGGTGTTTCTCCCAGAAGGCCACGCGGCGGGGCCTTGCCTTCCTTTTTCCGCCATCTTGGACCCTGTGGAGGTGAGTGGAAGCGCTGCGGCTGAAGTTTAGGGGTAAATAACTGGAGTGGGTTCCACCACATCTCTCGGAGAGGCACTGCTGGGACACGGGGGCTCTGCCAGGCGTTGATTTTGATGGGTCCCAGCAACAGGGAGGACGGGATGGAGGAGATGTGGGGCCGATGGTGCTGGTCCCCTGACGCCCGGGAGACGGGTGCTCCCGTAGTCAGAGTTGCTTCCTGGGCCCGTACCTCGTGAGACAGATGCACTTTATCGTCTGCATTCACCTTTTTGAGACAGCGGCAGCTTTTGGCGGGGTTCTTTTCGTTGGGTCCCCCTGCAAACCTGGCTTTGTCTGTAATCTCTAGCCTCAGTGTTCCTTTCCCATTCATTGCTTAAGAGTCTTGTTTTCTCCGTGCTTCTCTGACTTGTTGATCTTTCTAGTGATCGTGACATGAGTTTTCTTAGGACTTCCTTTAGGAGTTTTCTAGGGGTTGCAGGTGTACCGTCTTGCAACTTTCATTTTGGAGTTTACTTAGTTACCAGGCATTCTCCGACGTTGGAGCGTCTTGCCTGACGGCGCTTCATGTGCTTGCTAAGCAGCACAATGACGTCTCCCCGTGCTCTGAACGGGACATGCCGACAGGTTTAAGCCTTAAACTTTAAGAAAAGCAGGAACTAGGTGGGGAACGTGCGTGGCAAGAATTTAAACTGCTTCTTTTTTGTTTAAGGCCTGCTGGGAACAGGACTTCTATAAGGACCAATATGTCTGGAAGGTATGCGTTTTTAACATAATCGCTTTGTTCTTGTCGTTTTTTGTTCATTAGGCATGGACCTAACTAAAGGCGAACTGGAAACTAGTGCGGGGGTGGGGGGTGGATTAGATGTTTGCTGTGGATAACCGGTGGATGGGGTCATTCCAAGTCAAATCAGACTGGTGGTTTGTTGAATTTAAACGAGATCTTGCAGCAGTTTGTGGCTGATACATATTCTGTGTGTCCTAGGCTGTGGTCCAAGGCCATTTTTGCTGGCTATAAGCGGGGTCTCCGGAACCAGAGGGAGCACACGGCGCTTCTTAAAATTGAAGGCGTTTATGCTCGAGATGAAACAGAATTCTATCTAGGCAAGAGATGTGCTTATGTGTACAAAGCAAAGAAGTAAGTTTATAGTATGGTTATGTGTATTGAGTTGTTTGAGATTTGTTCCATTTCCCTGTTGAAACAGGAGTACATTGGTACTGTTGTGGCTTCTACTTTGGGACGTTTAGGAACTTAATGGGAGGTTACAGATACAGAAGGATGTTACTTTTGAGGGTAGTGCTGTATTTAAGTATCTCCTGCAGTTAATCACAGCTGTTCGTTATTTCACGGAAGGAGCCAGCTCTTTATATTATGATATTAAGATTTTATAGAGTGCTTTTCCTGTATCTTAATTCATTTGGTTGATTTCCTTGAAATTATATTTCATATACATACTTAAAGATGTATGTCTCCAGAGCATCGATTCTCTATCCTGGGTTCTTAAGCCCATTCCAGACCAATTAAAATCTCTGAGTACATGCTTTCATCTTTGTCGTCCTTTTCTCCTACAATCAAGAGTGATCCTTTGACTTATGTCAGGTCATCTGTACATTGTTCAAGCTCCCATGTCATAGTAAAAGCCAAAGTCATTAAAATCTATGCTTTCAAGACTGTTTCTACTCTTAATCTAGCTAGGATTCACCTCTTGGTCTCGTCTGCCTTGTCACAAGCAAAAGACACACCTCCTCAGTCTTCATTACCTTCTTAGTGAGACTTTCCTGATTTTAAAATTTGATGCATACAAGTACCTCAAACTACTTGATCCCCTTTCCTTCTTTCTTTCTCAATATTTCAAAAGCTCTTAACCATCTTACATTCTATATTTTAGTTACATGTAAATAAAGGCTATATACTTTGTTATCCTCTGAAAGGAATTTGTTTTGTAAACTGCTGTATTTTACAAAATTCCAAACAATTGCATTGTGTCTGGCGTATAGTAGGTATGCTACGAAGGTATTGAGTGAATGATGCCGCCGGCTTTTATGTAATGACTTAAGTGGTTAGCTAGGGTTAACCACTGGTCTATGTCACTTAGAATTTGTACCACATAATAGTACGTACTAATTGCCTGGGTTCTCACGGTTTTTTTTGTATTCCCTGTTAAAATCAGCAACACGGTGACTCCTGGTGGCAAACCAAACAAAACCAGAGTAATCTGGGGAAAGGTAACTCGTGCTCATGGAAACAGTGGAATGGTTCGTGCTAAATTCCGAAGCAACCTTCCTGCTAAGGCTATTGGACACAGAATCCGTGTAGTAAGTACAATTATAAGCAAAATACTTGTTAAGTCAAACTAAGCTCAAGGTGTTGGACTTTGGTCTCTAAGAACTTTTTTTTTTTTTTAATATATTTTTATTGATTTCAGAGAGGAAGGAAGAAGGAGAGAGAGATAGAAACATCCATGATGAGAGAGAATCATGGATCGGCTGCCTCCTGCAAGTCCCCCACTGGGGATCGAGCCCACAACCCGGGCATGTGCCCTTGACTGGAATCGAACCTGGGACCTTTCAGTTCGCAGGCCGACACTACCCACTGAGCCAAACCGTCCAGGGCTCTAAGAACTTTTGTGATTATAAAATGTTACTAGTAAGATTATGCTACAGAATTAGTGGCTCCTGTGTAAATGTATTATGGAACATAAAATTCTTGACATTAGAAGGAAAGTGAAGGCACAATTTTCAAGTGAATTGTGCCTAGATTTCAGATTTTGCTTAAGCTTTGTGGAGGGAAATAATATTTAAATGAATAATTTTCTGCCCTGGCTAGTGTGGCTTGGTTGGAGCATCATTCGGCACCAAAAGGTAGTAGGTTCAATTCCCAGGTTTGGGGTTTTATGCCTGGTTGGGGCATGTGCAGAAGGCAGTAGATAGATGTTTCTCTCTGTGTGTGTCCCCTCCCTTTCCTCTAAAAAAAAATCAGTAAAATAAATGAACAAATTTCTGGCAAAGACATGTATTGGACATTAAATGAAGTGGCTAGGAAGTTAAAAATCAACATACCACCCTAACTGGTTTGGCTCAGTGAATAGAGCGTCGGCCTGCGGACTGAAGGGTCCCAGGTTCGATTCCAGTCAAGGGCATGTACCTTGGTTGCGGGCACATCCCCAGTAGGGGGTGTGCAGGAGGCAGCTGATCGATGTTTCTCTGTCATCAATGTTTCTAACTCTCTATCCCTCTCCCTTCCTCTCTGTAAAAAATCAATAAAATATATTTTTAAAATATAAATAAAAAACCAACATACCATTTACTGGCATAATTCTTAATATTTCCCCATCTTTTCATCATGACAGTTTTATTAGATTAGGTGCTAGTTTTATTTTGTGGAAGAAAACTGATGTCTGCTTTTGTTAATCCTCACCAGATTTTTAAAAAATTTATTTTCATTGATTTCAGAGAGGGAAAGAGATAGAAACATCAATGATGAGAATCATTGATGGGCTGCCTCCTGCAGGCACTGGGGATCAAGCAGGAAACCTGGGCATGCGCCCTGACTGGTTCAAAGGTTGATGCTCAACCACTGAGCCATGCTGGCTGGGCCCACAAAATATTTATTTTTAGACAGAGTGGATGGGTGGGGGAGAGAGAGAGAGAATGGCCCTGGCTGGTTTGGCTCAGTGGATAGAGCAGTGGGCCTGAGGAAGGATCCTGGATTTGATTCCCAGCCAAGGGCACATGCCCGGGTTGCAGGCTCGGTCCTCAATGGGGAGGCAGCTGATCAGTGATTGTTATAATTGATGTTTCTCTCCCTTTCCCTTTCTCTCTGAAATTAACAAATTAACGTATTTTTTAAAAAAAGAGACAGAGAAACATTGCCTCCCTTATGCACCCTGACAGCACCCCGACCAGGAATAGGGAATGAACCCAAAGCCTTTCAGTGCAGCAGTTAGTATCTATTTTTCATAGTCATGGCCATAGTCTTGGGTCACCTGGGGTACATTGAACCCTGGTGAGCAGTTAGAGGTTTCTTATCAAAGGAAGTTTTCTTATTGTCATTAGAAGAAGCAAAATTAAATGGACTTTCAATATTCTAGAATGTTCCTTAATCAAAACACGTTCACCTAAAAATTGAAGGCCATAAAAACTTGGTTCCTCCCCCTACCTACATATAAGTCATTGGATGCCTTTCAGAGATGAGTAATGGGACAATGGGAGGACATTTATTCATATTGTGTTACTAATGACATTTGTAAATTTGTATATATAACATGCACCTAATGACATTTTCTTTTCTCCCCTTCAGATGCTGTACCCCTCAAGGATTTAAACACTGAAAATAAATAAAATGGATTTGTTTTCTTGTGTTTTGGTCAAATGGCTTGAAATCACTTTGCCCCAAATTCACTTGCTATGTGCTTAAATGGTGGCAGTTATCAGGTATTTTCAGAGTATACAAGGAAGTCAGAGGGCTGTATGTAGTGATGATTACAGAGATTTAAACAACTGGATAGGAATAATGTATCAGGCCTTATAGGTTAAGGGAGAGAGGAGACAAGTTAACTGACTGGGGACAGTGAAAAAGAAGTACTTTGGAAAGTGATGGAGTACTTAAACCTAGCCCCTGATAAGCTTTTGGAGAAGTGGAGACATAGCATATTCCAGGAAGTACAGAAGCCAATAATTTTAGCCAGTACAGGTAAGCACCATGATACTTTTCTAGATTTGCACCTCAAAATGAATCCACAACTTCCTTGTAACAGTATATTTCAACTTTGGTACTGCATTTTACTAAATATTCTGGTAACCGCCTCCCATGTTAGATTGAGAGTCGGTGAAGAAACTTATCTTGATCTTTTAAAATAACTTAAAATAGTATGCACTGTTCAATATAGATTGGGTGGAAAACTTTGACTTAAAAATGGTAGTTGGGAGAAATTTGAATGGAGACTATATTGATGGTATTGGCAGTGTGCTGGATAGGCAGGCATGAGATATCCTTGGCGCTATGACTGGACAAAGCATTCCAGTGTATCACAAGTGGAAATAATTTGTATGTTGAAAATGTCAAAATAATGCCGCATGCCTCCATTATCTATGTGTGTGGGGTGGGGGGGTCGGGGTTGGTATTGCCTCATTAGTGTAACTTTATTTGGCTCTGTTTTAATATAAAAGTGCAGGATTGAGATATTTTAGCATAATAAGGAAATTAAGCAGGGCTGCAGAATATTTTAAATCCCAAAATGTTGAAATAAAAGTTTGAACCAAGTTAATCAGTTTGTAATATGGTGGTTGTAAATTGATGCAGTAGCAGCTAGTGCTTTATTAACAAGTCTTTTTTTTTTTTATTGATTTTTTACAGAGAGGAAGGGAGAGGGATAGTTAGAAACATCAATGAGAGAGAAACATCGATCAGCCGCCTCCTGCGCACCCCCCACTGGGGATGTGCCTGCAACCAAGGTACATGCCCTTGACTGGAATCGAACCTGGGACCTTTCAGTCCGCAGGCCAACGCTCTATCCACCTAGCCAAACCGGTTACAGCTATTAACAAGTCTTGACATCCCATGGAAATAAATGGAGTTTGCCAATCAGCCCCTCTTAGTATTTGGGTTTCCTAAATAGATGCTGGGAAACAATTAGTATGCTAAAAATGCATTGTGCTGTGAAAGACCTTTGAAGAAGAGGCTGTAGGAAAGGATTAGCATTGGGTACTCATAGCACCTAATCTAGGAAAGGTTTGCTTTAGTCCAGTGGTGGTCTTTAAGCCAAATTTGCTGTTGGAAGAGTCCATGTTTCACAGAAATGGGCTAGTATTTATAATACCTCTCATTTGACTAACCTCAATATAATGGACTAATTTGGGCAAGGGGGGATCCCTTTAAAGCCGAAAGTCCATTATATAGTAAATGGTTTTCCAGATGCTTATGTTAAAAAATTGATTAGTTAACCTGTTTCTACTTACATAGACAAGTTTGTGCAATTGAAATTAATTATGTATGAAAAGTTTACTTTCACAGGAAACTTTTCTATCTATATATATTACAGTAATTTTAAATTTATACTGAATAAAGTCTAGTAAATTCACCAGTCACTGCAAGTAAACAAATACACACGGCTGGGATGTGGCTTAGTACATGTCAGAACATCAGGTCAAGTGCTAGTCACTCCCTGAACATTGTTTATTTATGAGTAGTGGCTCGTGGATTTACATATGTAGCCTATAGTTGTAGATATGTAATATTTATGTTGGTGAAATTACTAGTGTCTTTTCTACTATATGGCCTATTTGATAAAATTTGTTAGAAATCAAAACCTGTTAATTATAAACAAATTTTGGTTAAAAGCATTTTAAAATTAATAGGGTGTTAATTTTCACATACTACATATAGGCCAGAATTTTTGTCCATTAAAACCAAATTCTATTAAATCAAGGTCTGCAAAATTGAGAGTTTACTGTATCGGTATTCTTGGGGTGGTCAGGGATAGAGGGATTGCTTGAGGCATTTGAGAAAAAGGAAATGACAAGTTTTATGGGGAAGAAGGCATGTGAGGAACCATTCAACTATATAATGTGACTAAAAACTATTGGGAATAGGAAAGTATCAAAAACTAAGATGCCAGGTTATGCAAGGTCTTAACTGTACTAGGGATTTTAGGCCTACTATACTTGTATGTACTAGTAATAGTGTCATTAAAGCACTTGATTGACAGGGTTGACCAGATTCATACTTTAGAACTCAGTAGGAACCCAGCATAAACTGAAGGAAACCCAGGTAGGGATTACAGTTTTGTTTTGTTTTTTAATTAAATCTTTATTCAGATTATTACAGTTGTTCTTTTTTCCCCCTATAGCTCCCCTCCACCCGGTTCCCACCCCACCCTCTGCCCTTACCCCCTTCCCTCCCACTGTCTTCATCCATAGGTGTACGATTTTTGTCCAGTCTCTTCCCGCACCCCCCACACTCCTTTCCCCCCCAAAAATAGTCCACTCCCTTTCTATGCCCCTGATTCTATTCTATTCACCAGTTTATTCTGTTCATCAGATTTTTTATTCACTTGATTTTTAGATTCACTTGTTGATAGATATGTATTTGTTCATAATTTCTATCTTTACCTTTTTCTTCTTCCTCTTCTTAAAGGATACCTTTCAGCATTTCGTATAATACTGGTTTGGTGGTGATGAACTCCTTTAGCTTTTTCTTATCTGTGAAGCTCTTTATCTGACCTTCATTTCTGAATGATAGCTTTGCTGGGTAAAGTAATCTTGGTTGTAGGTTCTTGGCATTCATCACTTTGAATATTTCTTGCCACTCCCTTCTGGCCTGCAAAGTTTCTGTTGAGAAATCAGCTGACAGTCGTATGGGTATTCCCTTGTAG